CGGATGAGATTTTCACTTGGTAGAATTTTGTATTGTTTTGTTTAGCTGTGTTTCTGTTTTGTCTGATTTATATTTGAATGCATTTCACATAATGGTTGCTACAATGTCAAGCAATGCTAATTTATACACAGCGATTTATAAACAGTGCTCAGCATAATTAAGTACATCCAGGGCTTAATTTGTGTCGAAACACTCCAGATCCAGTACCTCTGAAATTTGATCCGGCTCCTGATTTTACCGTTCCCTCTCCTCAACCCCCCTCCTCCCCTGTCCGCTGTTCACCTTCTCTTTCTTTCGCGACTCCTCAACCCTCTTCACTTTCGTCCACAACAACCCCAAACCCCCCCCACCCATCTATCTATCTATCTATCTATCTATCTATCTATCTATCTATCTATCTATCTATCTATCTATCTATCTATCCATCTATCCATCTATCCATCTATCCATCTATCCATCTATCTATCTATCTATCTATCAATCATCTTTTTTAAATATATACATTTTTTTTCAAATGTTGTAGTAAACATCTAGACTGATTTATTGAGTATGAGCTTTTCACAGTACTGTGGTTTATGATGCTGTGGGTAACCTTTTTACACACTGGTTCTCTACTGGTTTGGCCACAGGCACATTATCCCACGGTCACATATATAATATACATAAACCTAACGTTGTTGCCATCTTTCTGTGTGACTTTCTGTGCGGGAGCGCTGGATACACATTGTGCCCCCACCCCCAGTTATTCCATTCGTGCCTTGCTGCTTTCCACATTTCTTGAACTAGACCCTTGCATCCTGCAAATGAACTGTCTGCTGCATCCCATCTGAAACGGCGTTTGAAAGAAAATGTGTTTTTCTCACACACACACACAAACCTCATCTGACAGAAGCATCAACAGATTTCACACACGTCTTTCAAAATTAAAGTCTTGCATCACAAAAGCACTCCACGTCCAGCGATGCCTCTGGGTCCCGACCCACCAGTTGAAAAACACCATTCTAAATGATATTAATAGCATGTTGTTACTCTTCTTGTGATTATACCGCATCTATTACGGTCACTTACATCATTTATTTTAGTTTATGACAAAATATTAAGCGCATGTGCTATTAATTATGCATTTTAAAGTGCAGGACAAACTCCAACATTTAATGTGTTTGTATATCATGTAGATGGGGTGGTATGGAGGTGACATAGTGGTCTCCTGTCAGAGTAGGTACCAATACCCTCTCAATTGTACTCCAAAGATGAATTTCACTTTACACTAGTGATGTATTTCCTATTAAATTGGAAAATCGTGTAGGGGTTATAGTGCTTCTCGTGTCATCTCCTCTCCTTGCAAGGAAGGAGGACAATGGTAAAAAAAAAATTATGCCCAAGCCATCAAACTGACATCAGCGGAGAAGAAATGCAGAGTGGAAGCAGTTTCTTTTTTATTATTAAATATAATAAAGACAAGATTTTTCTTTTTCTTGCATTAATTAATTGTTCATCTCACGATTAGCAATGTGTGCTAAACCAGGGGTTCCCAAACTTTTTAGCCTGTGACCCCCAAAATAACAATGTCAGTGACTCGCAACCCCTATTTTTCAAGGTGGTTATACTGTAAATATATAAACGTTGCAGACACAACTATTATGATGTAACACATAAATGCAAAAGTCTATTAACTATATATATATATATATATATATATATATATATATATATATATATATATATATATATTTTTATATATATATATATATATATATATATATATATATATATATATATATTTTTTTTTTATAGTCATTTATTAATTTAATTACATTTTAATATAAAAAGAAAAGGCTGATGACTGATTTTTATTTGTATGTTGTTGTCTATTTAACACAACTATTAACCTCTGTGGGTTATGAGTAAAATATGGTCTTTCAAATAGTTTATTAAAATTTATTTAAGTCATTAAGCGTCCCCCACTCTGAGAAACCCTGTTCTAAACCATCTTGTTCAATATATTACCTGTAATATATATATATATATATATATATATATATATATATATATATATATATATATATATATATATATAATATTAATATAGCTATTATATCCAACGCTTATAAGTAATAATAAGTAATAATAATTAAATTGTATCATCATGAGATGTGATGATATGCATGTATGTGTGTTCATAGAGTTGCTTCTCTAAAAAAATAGTTCAAAAATCATGCTTTGTATTATAAATAACGTTTTGTATTTTAAGTAATTGTTTAATTAGAAAAACAACTCCCACTCAAAAGCGTTTTACGTCTAAAAACATTTTAAATCTCCTCTCCCTTGCATCACACTGCTTTGGTCTAAATCCCTGCAAGTCTAGTAAGAGAGACCTAAGTCAATAGTTGTGGAACTAAGTTAGGTTGCTGTACAAGCTATTTAATTTTATTTTATTTAGTCCACGTAAACAGGAAGTTGCTGAGTCTTAATTTTAGTATGTTGATGTACTCCCAACTGAAATATTGAGCAGGCAGCAGGGTGCGTCATTTCCTAATAGCAAACTAACAGTAAGGTATTAATATGCAGTTGCTATGAAAGCCCTCAGGTTGACGTCAACAGAAGGACCGCCACTCCAAACGCAGAGGCAAATAGTTGGATTTTGATAATCTAAACTAACAATTGTTTTTAGTGGAGTAACTTTCATGGATTAATTATTGACTTTAAAGGTTATTGCACACTAAATCCCAAATTGTCTGCCTTAATTTTTGCACGTTAAAAAAAGTAATACGACCTCATGTTGTAAAATTGAATTCAATTGAATCAGTTGTATTGACACACTGCCTACGGAACTTTCATCCATCATAAAGTCTCTGTTCAGGATTTATTTACGTACGTAAACATAAATGTATGAAGTATCATAAGCAATGTCTCAAAATTAAACTGTTTTCCTGAAATAAGCTTTGCTTGTCAGGATAATCCAGCACAGATCTTTGATAAGCAGAATAGCTCTCCTTTCTATCTATGCATTACAGGATGAACACAGTATGTAGCCTATTTCTCTTTATACTTTAGAGAAGAGGAAGAAGAACAAAGTATCACTGATCGAATTGTCTCCGATATATTTAACGTTATTTTGGGAATTGCGTGCAAGGTTTGTGTATGTGACAATTTTCGTATGTGAATACTGAAAAAACGCATACGAAAATTTCGCACTTCAGTGTGAAAAAATCTTAAAAATCAGAATAACAAAAAAAAAATGTTGATTTCATGCAAACTTTAACATTGAATAAGGTGATTATTTATTGCGTAGAGATGATGACAATGCATTTTCCAATGAGTTAACTATGAAAAAATATGCTTGATAAATCGTAATGTCTACAATAAACACAATCGCTGTTATGGCACAATCACAGTTTGACTTTCCTCTGTGTATATAAAGCCTTAAAAGTACAATTTCAGCTTGAAATATTTGTGTCCCCCTCAAAAATTGCTCTTACTCCTCAAAAACTGTTATGAAATGTAGGCACATGAGTGTTATCAGGTAAAAGCATTTGTTATAGCGTCTTATTCTAGGTTTGTTGTAGAGTTCTTTGTCTGAGAGAGGGTATGATATTCTCTAGACCGTGACTTGTCCGCCTGGGTTAAAAATAGCTAGCAGCTCCAAACCAGTGGGGCTTTCATCTTCCCTGTGCAGCTTGTAGATTGTAAGACGTTATCAGGACACCACAACAACTTCTTCTCTTTAGCTTTCTAAATGAAGGCCAAGCTTGATTCTCAATTTGTTGATGGCTTTATACTGTTTGAACCACCCCTGGTTAGATGTATTAGTATGATACACATTGCTGATAAAGGGTATCATGCAAAATACTTTACCTGCTTTCTTGCTAAATTTAAACTTCTACAAATTCTGCTAAGTTTGAAATCCTATCAGCATATGCAAGGCACAGCGTTTGGGCTCAGTTCTAGCAGTTATTCTAAAGTCTTACATTTAAGTGATTAATGAAGAGCGGAGAGCATGGCTTGTGTTTGTTTATTGGTTTCAGTGTGCCCCGTATGAGACCATCTCAGCAGTGTCTAACAAGAGCAAGGCTCGTAAATATGTTGTCATGGTGATGCCTGGCACAGTGGGCCACAGTGGCAGCTAGAGTATTCCCGTTCAGAGTGAAGGGAAGTGTAAATGTATGCTGGAGGAGGGGGGAAAGAGAGCACAGTTAAATTTGATATGCGAAACAGATATGGACAGTAGAAAATGATGTAATTTCTAATTTGCTGTTGTACATTCGTTCTGTTAGCATTCATGCAATGTTTTCAAAGACCACATGATGAATTGAGCATTTAAGAAAAATATTATTTGAAGATCAAGTTAACCAATCTATTTAAAATCAGGGTTTTTATATACAGTTGAAGTCAGAATTATTAGCCCCCCTGTTTATTTTTTCCCCTAATTTCTGTTCTGTTCTGGGAAGATTGTTTCACACATTTCTAAGCATAAGAGTTTTAAAAACTTATTTCTAATAACAGATTTATTTTATCTTTGTCATGATGACAGTAAATAATATTTTACTAGATATTGTTCAAGACACTTCTATACAGCTTAAAGTGACATTAAAAAGTTTAACTAGGTTAATTAGGTTAACTAGGCAGGTTAATGTAATTAGTCAAGTTATTGTATAATGATGGTTTGTTCTGTAGACTATCGAAAAAAATAGCTTAAATTGGCTAATAATTTTGTCCCAAAAATGTTTTTAAAAAAATTAATAACTGCTTTTATTCTAGCCGAAATAAAACAAATGAGACTTTCTAAAGAAGAAAAAATATTATCAGACATACTGTGAAAATGTCATTGCTCTGTTAAAAATCATTTAGGAAATATTTAAAAAATAAAATCAAAAGGGGACTAATAATTCTGACTTCAGCTGTATGTGTGCATAGATGAAAATAGAAAAAGAATAATTCAGTAAATAAAACATTCCAAGGTGGTTTTCTTGCAAAACCTAATGCTTCTCTTTCCTTTCTAGATGTCTTCATGTCTGTAGAGGAAGTACAGGAGGCTGAGGGGGAAGTGGTGTTGGAGCCAGAGCCCAGTGCAAGTCCACTTGCTACACTGCCAGACAATTTTCTCTCCTGTAAGTCTTTCTGTCTTAGTCAACTCTTTCAGTCGATTACCCATGTTCTGTATTGGTGTTTATTTGGCACAGAGTCTTTAGATTTGTGTTGTATTTGCAGCTACTGAACCTGCCCAGGAGATCCAGGTTACTGTCACTCTGACAGAGGGTCCCGATCCTCCTCCGTGCTCTTCCACTGCAGTGGGTGTATCGTCCTTCTCCTTCCAGGCCTCCACCACTACTGAAGACCACATCCAGGAAAGCAGTCTCATCGGTGCTTTGGAAATGGGGAAGGAAAGCGAGGATAAACTACCTGAAACTACAGAGGAGGAACCCGAACCGAACGTTTCAAAAGCTCTTCCTGCTTTGCCAACCAAAGAAACGTCCCCCATGCACACTCTGGCGCAAGAGGAGGAACCTATGGATGTGTATTCCTCGGACCCCTACAGTATGAAGGATAAAAGGATGACAGAAGCTGCTGTCGAGGATCCTGAGCAGAAACAAGAGCATGAAAAGCCGGAGGTACCAGATCCCGAGGTCACTTCTATCATACCTGAGCCTGAAAGTGTCCCGCTGATCCCAGAGAGCAGTCCTACCATGGAAATGGACACTACACCTGTCAGCGAGCGCAGTTTTTCCAGCTTCAGCTCCCCCGTTGAGGATAAGTGCCTCGTCTTGAAACATTCCCCGGGGCTCTCCTCTGAAGGCTCAATCAAGTTGACCCAATCCCCTTTTTCCACCGAAGCCTCACCCAGGGGGTCATCTCAGAACCAGACGCCTACCCACGGCCTGAATGCAGCGGGGTTCAGCCCCAATGTTTCCAACACAACGTTCTTCCCCCTTACGCCCAAGATAGGTATGGGAAAGCCAGCCATCTCCAAGAGGAAGTTCTCTCCGGGGAGACCAAGGGTAAAGCAGGTAAATCTTTTACATATCGTGCTTGTTGAAGGCTACTTATTTAGCCTCGGTCCCTTTAGGACTGCGATTCTGTCTGTGATCCCCAATTTTCAGCCACAGAGTAATTACTCCTTTGCTCTCCATGTTCCTTCGTCACATTGATTAGTGCCAGAGCGTAGCGTGTATTAATTAACATGGAAAGGCTCTTACTGTGCTCTCTCTGGCTCAGCCGCTGCCTCGCTCACTCATTCTTTTTCTAGCTCTCTCCCCTGCTTCCCAGCTTTCCCCCCACTGCCCTTCTCAAATACATCACTCACAGTATCCTGGGAGAGAGGGGGGGCTGGGAGTTGGCTCCAGAGTCAGGGGTTTATGCTAGTGGAACATAAAGGAGTCTTTTTGGAGGTGTGTAATTCGGATAACTGCTCACCGAGCTGGAAAGCACAGCACAAACCCATTTCCCCTTTGAGCTCTGGAGCAGGGAGGATGCCGCAAACATCTTTTTAGGGCCTTCTAAGTTGTCATAAATCTAAATGAAACCTGGCATTGCAGTGTCTCGGTGCCCAATAGAGTAAACGTCAAGCTACAATTAATTCACACATACTTTAAAACGACTTGCTCTGTCTCGCTGGTGGTCAACTTGGCATCTCACTTTGGGATAATTTGAAGTTTCTTTCATCTGATCGGAAGACCAGGGCTGTTAGGTTACCAAGCCTTGACCTAATGCAGAGTATACAGTTAAGTGAATGCAAGTATGAATGCTTGGCTGTTGTGTAGGACTGCGCAAAAATATAAATGCAATTTCACCAGATAGCTTGAATAGCTTGTAAAGAGTTTATAGTTTTAGATCGATTGGGATGTTTTTGTGGGGGAGCATATCTGCATAAAATATCATTTTAAAAATGCCAAGCATCTAGTTAAACACAACAGACAAACGATGCAAGTCGACAATCATTTTCTGCAGTCAAACAGTATTCAGAAGCAAAAGTTAAATAATCACTGTATTATACTAATAATAATAGTAGTACACTACCTGATAAAAGTCGCCTATCCACACTTTAAGAACAACTCAATTCAGTTCACCTTTATTTGTATAGTGCTTTTACAATGTAAATTGTGTCAAAGCAGCTTCCCATAGAAGATTAGAGTAAATTGAAATTTTTTTTATGAGCTGTAATGGTGCCATTAATATTTTCAGTTTTACTAACTTATATCATTCTGCTAATCTCTACAACTTCCAAAAACATATTAGTAAACCCAGTCAGCAAACCAAAACCTGATTGTCTTTTTGTTCTTTACATAATGCTTCTTCACAAAAGCATAAGGTGGTATGTTAGTCATATGACACTTGTTTCACACACAAGTGCTATGACACTTTTTTTCTACGATATGTTTCAGGTAGGGCTGTACGATATTGGAATAATCTGACATCGTGATATCTTATTTTTGTGCGATTTATATATTGCCATATGAAAACAATTTCGGCAGATGACTTGAATAGCTCTGTTTGGAATAAAATCATTACCTTTGATTGGAATACTCTCATAGAGGAGTCAATTAAAGAAACTGCGAGAGTAAAAAAATAGAGCAGAAATGAAAGTGTAATAAAATGTCAAGAAAATTGAAATAAGTGGTCAGATATACAGTGATACGATATTATTATGCTCACGATAATGATAGATCACGATATCAGCAATATATCATATGAAAACCATCCACAATATATCAAGATATTTGTAAATGAAGTTGGAAAAATGCAACTGCAACATTGATATGTGTTCGATGCGCGATTACAAGAAGCGCCACCCTTTGTACAGTACTGCTGCCCAAGTGGTAAATGATAGCAGTCAGTGCAAGGCTGATGAATTAATTCAGATCTTTCGTACCTTTAAATAAATATCAATACTTAGCTACATCGAAAATGTATAGCGGGTGGATTTATAACAATAAATCAGCATATACATTTGGTCGTGCCCTTATAATTGAATAATTATATGTAACAGAAAATGTTAACACTACAATCTTCATTGCTGATCAACTATAAAAATCCCAACTCCACTTTGCAGATGCTGCGATGTGACTATTGCGAATGCACACATTTTGATATCAATGCTGAATTGATATATTGTGCAGTTCAGGTCTAAGGTATTAAGCATACCTAAAGAAATAAATCAAGATAAAGCTTATTCTTGGGTAACTGTGATGGTAACAAACCTTAGTACTCAAGTAGGCAATAGAGTTATAAATGTATCTACCTTTTTATTTATAAAGATAAATAGGTTTAAAACATTTAACATACTTATTCATTGTATCTGGACAGCGTTTTTGAAATCGCTTGTGATAGAATTACTAGAGAGCATATATGTGTATATATGTTTGGCTCTGGTTGCATTTCTCTCTGTAAGACGCGCCATCTGGGCAGAGTGTAATTTGAAGGGTGGGCAGCTGTCATTGGCTCCAACTGAGATTTCCGGTTTAGTGTGTGTAAGTGCGCTCATGAGTGTGTGGGCGCCCCTGTGTTATCGGGTTTGTGTAATAGAAAGAAAGACTTCATTTTGTTTTGGAAATTAACCTTCAACGTTTCTTGAGGTAACATCCTGTTGATTCTCTTCAGAGATGTTTGGGAATGGTTTCCTGTCTGAAATTTTGCAACATTTTCTGAATCCTGTTGGGGTTGAGGATTAGTTTGTTGGTTTTTATTTGGAATATACACTGACCGGCCACTTTATTAGGTACACCGTACTAGTACCTGGTTGGACCCCCTTTTTCCTTTAGCCTTAATCCTTCGTGGCACAGATTCAGCAAGGCACTGGAAATATTCAGAGATTTTGGTCCATAATGACATGATAGCATCACACAGTTGCTGCACATTCATGATGCAAATCTCCCGTTCCACCATCTCCCAAAGGTGCTCTATTGGATTGAGCACTGGTGACTGTGAAGACCATTTGAGTACAGTGAACTCATTGTTATGTTCAAGAAACCAGCCTGAAATGATTATCCTGCTGGAAGTAGCCATTAGAAGATGGGTACACTATGGTCAGGTACTCTGGTAGGCTGTGGCGTTGACACAATGCTCAGTTGGTACTAATGGGTACCAAAGTGCTCCAAGAATACACCCCCACATCATTACACCACCTCCTTCAGCCCTAAATCATTAATACAATGCAGGACAGATCTATGCTTTCATGTTGTTGATGCCAAATTCTGACACTACCATCCGAATGTCGCAACAGAAATCGAGACAATTTCACTGGATATTCACTGGATATTTTTTTTTGGACCATTCTCTGTAAACCCTAGAGATGGTTGTGCATGAAAATCAGCAGTTTCTGAAATAATCAGATTAGCCCATCTGGCACCAACAACCATGCCACGTTCAAAGTCACTCAAATCACCTTTCCTCCCAATTCTGATGCTCAGTTTGAACTGCAGCAGATCGTCTTGACCATGTCTAGCAGTTGGACTGGTGTACCTAATAAAGTGGCCGGTAAGTGTCTGGTATCTGAAAGAGATTTTCATTTCCTTATATTGCCATATAAGTCACGTTAAAGTGTCTCATGGGCTTTTATCCAAAAAGAAAGTGAGTCTTGATTAATTTCATAGTACTTTGCACCATATTTGTTCTTTTTGAAAAGCCTCAGGACTGGAAAACTGACATTGCATGACTGTCCATTACCAATTCAGTTGTTTTTCCTCTCATATTCGTTACTTAACCAGATTTTATTATTTACACTATGGCTACACAAGCATGTTAGCATGATGCTATTTGTTTCTCATTTGCCGCCTTCCTCTCACTCTTTTAACTCATGTTTCATGGAGAGCTATTCTGTTTCTTCTTTTTCTGTTTTAATGATGATAATTCTTTGGTCATGTGCTTAAGGAAAAGTAATTTGCTTCATTAAATACTATTGTTTTTGTTTGAAAGCATGTTCTGGGTTCAATACAAGTTAAACTCAAACATTTGTTTATTACCACAGAAAATAATGCAAAACTATTTAGTGTCGTGGAAACATAGCCAATTGTATTAGTTTTTTCCTTATTAATATATTGCTACAGGCATGTGGATTTCGTTGTGTTACAGCTGGGAAAATAAGTATTGTACATGTTACCGTTTTTCTCAGAAAACATATTTTTAAAAGTGCCGTTGACTTGAATTTTTTCCTGGAAGTTAATAAATCCATATATGCAAAGACAACTAATCCAATTAGTTTGAAAAATTAAGTTATGTTTAATAAAATTCAATGACGCAATGAAAAAAGTATTGAACACATGAATAAAGGGAGGTGTAGAATAGCAGTGAAAGCCCAAACAGCCACTGAAATCTCTTAGTATCTCTTAGTTATTGTAAATTAATATTCGATGAGTCAGTCCAACATCGACTGTACATTAGCAGGATGTAGATGAAAATAAAACCAGGGTGGACTTTTCAGAAAGACAATGATTCAAAACACAGCTATTGAAACAGGTTTGGGAAACAGGTTTGGTAAAAGGCAATGATGAGAACATTTTAAGTTTTGGTCGAACTCTTTAAGGCTTTATATATGTCAAGTCAATATGTCAAGCTGCTGTGATCAACTCTTTGTTATGTTTTTCAGTGAATATTAAATTAGTGAGGGAGCTGCCGTTTACTTTGTTTTTTTATTGATATATTTTTATAAGTTTAAAAAATAGCTTCAAGATAGAGTAATTAGTAATCTGATTACTTTTTACATTTAAGTATTTAATTTTCCAGTAGTATTTAGTACTTAGGAATCTATTACTTTTTTAAGTAAATTACCCAACACTGGGTATTCCACATAAGACATTTTTGAGATTTTATTGACTTTATTTTGTTTTTATGTTTATATTGTTTGAGTTTTTACCAAAATCTGGTTCAATTACATGTAAACAGCTTCTTTAGAAATAATATTTCCAGGAAAAAAAAGCATGACATGTCAATACTTAATTTGCTCGATGTACAGTTGAAATCAGAATTATTAGCACCCCTTTGAATTTTTTTTCTTTTTTAAATATTTCCCAAACGATGTTTAACAGAGCAAGGAAATTTTCACAGTATGTCTGAAAATATATTTTTCTTCAGGGGAAAGTCTTATTTGTTTTATTTCAGCTAGAATAAAAGCAGTTTTTTAATTTTTTAAACACCGTTTTAAGGACAAAACTATCAGCCCCTACAAGCTATATTTTTTTTCGGTAGACTACAGAGCAAACCATCATTATACAATAACTTGCCTAATTGCCCTAACCTGCCTAGTTAACCTAATTAACCTAGTTAAGCCTTTAAATGTCACTTTAAGCTGTATAGAAGTGTCTTGAAAAATATCTAGTCAAATATTATTTACTGTCATCATGACAAAGATAAAATAAATCAGTTATTTGAGATGAGCTATTAAAACTATTATGTTTAAAAGTGTGTTGAAAAAAAAAATCTTCTCTCCATTAAACAGAAATTGGGGGAAGAAATAAACAGGGGGCTAATAATTCTGACTTCAACTGTATATGACCGTATTATTGTGTGTGGTAATCGACAGCATGTCAGAGATTAAGTTGTATTGAAGCTCAGACATACCTTATAGTAGCGGTTTGGGACAAAATGATACATGACAGCGTATAGTAATGTAACCAACCCACAGCTGTTATTTATTATTTATAATTCAGAAATAATTTTCATTTTGTAAAACAAAAAAGGCCTTGCGGGGGTTTGTGTTATGCATTGTAATTACACAGACTATCCCTCATTAGCTCGTTAAACAGGCTAAATGCTCCCCATGACGCTTTGCGCTTTTCGAAATTCTGTTTTTCCTCAAAGAGCTGCTTGTTGTCATGCTGACACCATCACGCTTGTTTTGAACAAACAAATAAACAAGGTTGTTTCCATGGAGGCGTAATAATAACGAGGATTTAGCAGACCTACAAAACTAAATCTCACACAAAGCAAGCAGCTTCTCATTTTACATTGCGTCACTGTCATGTTTCAGGAATTTGTCCCAAACGCAGTACCTTACATTATTTGCTCGGTATGATGCATTTGTGTATTGCACTCATTTGACATGCTGTGTTCTTATTGCTGACTATCACATTTACGTTGCTGCATTTTGTCGCCCCTCATCACCTTCCTCCCTCCGTCTCTTCTCCGCCGCTCTACCTCAGGGTGCATGGATTAACCGTAGCGCAATGAGCTCGCCGTCCTGGTCGCCAGAGCGCTCGGATGCTTGGGACAGCCCTAAGACCAGGCCGATGCACGGGCTGCCCGTCTGGACCATGAGATTGGTAAATGAGGGAAAGGGTTTTTTTTTTTTTGGCTCTGCAGGGGTTTGAGCTTTTATTGGGGGTGTGGGTCAGAAAAGATCCACTGGTTTAGGCTAGAAGGTAAGCTCAAAAATGGTGAGGAATTATCAGCAAAGAACTCAAGTGGTTATGCCATGGATTTATTTTATGTAGTGTAGAATTCCGATCTTGATACATGTTTTTTGTTGTTGATTTGATGTGTCATGCTGGAGTTTATACAAACAAGCTTTCCATTAGAATATGGAAAATGGCTGCAGGGGTCATCCAGTAGTTGAATCAGCCATTATAACTAATATTACAGCCACTTTGTGATCTCTGGTGAAAAGCTTGATATATGTGTGTGAATGGGTCTTTAAAGGTAAACACACTATGGAAAACGGCCAATAACAAACAGTTTGCACACGTTACTATGGCTGAAGTTGCAAAACAGCTTATCTGAAGTGGTGAAACCCAGACACTCAAATATTGCTTACAAACCAAGCATAAGAAAAGCAAACACTTTCTATTGCCATGTCTCTATCACAGTATAACCTCTCCCTGATGGCAAAATGCCTTTTAAAAGTGGTTACGCCTAATATATACCCACAATCACTGATTGGCAACAAGTGTGTTGCTAGCTCAGTCTCATAGGTTTTATTTCCCCCTATTGATACATCCAGGTTTGTGTACAGTTTTTTTTAGTCTTTGTTTATTATTATTACATTATTATACTGTTCTTTAGTATGTGATTTGTAAGGTTGGAATGTGAAATGACAGGTGGATTGGTGCTGCGCCAGCATTAATGCGGTCTATGTACCAGTCCGTTGTGGTAGAGAAGGACCTGAGCCGAAAGGCAGAGCTCTCGATTTACCGGTCAATCTATGTTCCTACTTTCACCTATGGTCATGAGTTTTAGGTTAATGACCGGAAAGACAAGATCTTGGATAAAAGCGGCCGAATTAAGTTTTTTTGCAGGTTGACAGGGCGCAATCTTATAGATAAGGTGAGGAGCTCTGTAACCCGAGGTGAGCTCAGAGTAGAGCCGCTGCTTCTCTACATCGAGAGATGTCAGCTGAGGAGGCTTGTATATCTGTTTCGGATGCCTCCTGGACATCTACCTAGGGAGGTGTTCCAGGCATATTCCCTCAGGGAAGACCCAGGACACGCTGGAGGGACTATGTCTTTGGGCTGGCCTGGTAAAGACTTGGGATCCCCCCTGGAGGAGCTGGAGGAAGTGTCTGGGGAGAGGGAAGTGTGGGGTGCTGCCCCCTGACCCGGCTCCGTAAAAGCAGATGACAATGAATGTGAATGAATGAATTGTAGCCAAATAAGTCTTTCAAATAACAGAAAATGTGCCAGTTTTAAAACAGTAATTCACAACACCAACCCAGACAACATATTACATTCAACTTACATTCAACTATCAAAAATGTTTATAATTATCACTTTTTTTAGACTTTTCAAAGTTAGAAGTTGTTGAAAGGAAGATTAACATCCCATAATGCAGTTAAAAAATATATATTTTATAAGAAATAAATGGGGAAAAATAAAAAAATAACAGCGTAACGTGGAAAACTTTACAGTGTATGCATGAATGTATACTTATATATGCATTAACCACACATGCTCATTGGAAAAGCAAAGTCCGCTCAAAGACACGCTGACAGGACATTTTTATATGACATGCTTATTCCTGCTGCTTGCAATTGTGCTACTGAGCTGTCAGGGCAACACTGTCAACAGTAACACCTCTCAACTCATTACTGTCAATAAAATTTTAGTCAAAAAATTAGTTTATTTTTCATATAGTTCAATTTAAATCATTTTTGGCCCAGTATTTTTGTTTGGGTGCATCCCTGATTAATGCAGTCTTTCATATAATGGCATGTTCGCATAACAAACTCTGCACATCTCTCCAAATGCATGTGCACGAGACACCAGAGTTGCATCCTTCCCATTGCAGCAATATCTCATCAGAATTGCTCTTCCACTCTGGCTGCACTCGAGCAGATTTAGAGGAGTGCCTTCCTTAACCCTCGTCTATTTTTTCCCTCTCCATAATTCATTTCTGCACAAATTAGACTCAGACTGTAAAGGCGACCGAGTGCGCCAAGCTTCCTTAGGCAATCTCTCTAAATGAAGTTGACGTCTCCTGTCTGAGTAGTGCTGCTTGGCTACAGTGAGGTAATTACCTGGGAGGAAGTGGGAATTGGGCCAGAGTTTCAGCCTCGATGCAAACGCAACGTGACACCTTCAGAAGCAGGGCGAGTTGGCAGAAGCCTGGCCTGAAATGTGATCTGTAAGTCAGTGTAGTGTTCAGGGAGTCGGGCCGAACCTCAGAGGGTCAGGTCTGGGGATGGGTGGATGAGTTTGTATCACAAACACAGATGCAACGGGTTTGGTGCCTTCCAGAAAGGTTTTAGGTTTGGTGGTAATAACTTTAGAGCTTATTCTGTGTAGAAATTAAGTGATTTTTTTGTGTGTGTGTGAATTTCATTATGGTATATTGTTAATATTTTTATTTATGATCTATTAAAGAGTAAAAATGTAGCAGAAAATAATAAACATTTAAATATGGAAATAAAATATTTTATCAAAAGGAGTGGTGATGGTGCTGAATTACATTTTTTTCTTCAGTGAAATCTTCTGATCGATAGTATTTTTAAAAAAAGTTGATATATAGAGGGGATAATAAGTATTGAACACGTCACCGTTTTTCTCAGAAGGCATATTTCTGAAGGTGCTGTTGGAAACAGCCAAAGAAATCCATATCTGCAAAGAAAACAAATCTAATTAGTTTACAGATTAAGTTATGCCTAGGCCCACACGGAATCTGCGTGTGCAGGAATCCTTAGATTTCCGCTGATTTTTAGCCCATCTAAAGTCTATTTATTTTCTTGTGTTAATGTGTGTAAATTTATATTTATTCAGTTTTGATATTAATTTCAGTATTATTATTGACTAATAGTGGAATTACCAACCTGCGTCACACATGACGTCACACAGGTTCAACCTCGCAAAGCGGTTGCAAAAAGGGACCGGTTGCAATAGCAAACATGTCGTCTTGTGCGGTAGGATGCCAAATTCGAGTCTAAAAATCGAAAACTTAACTTTACCGTACACCCCACTGCTTTTAATGCCAACTGCAGACGTCTTTGGCTAAAAGCCATCACAAGAGCTGAATGAAGTGAGGACCTAACGAAAAAAACTCGCAGTTCTCGTTTTATATCAGACAAGTTCACGCTATCATACACATTACTCGTTTTTGATTGCAGCAATGATTTCAGCAAAAACAGTTAAATATGGTGAATTAAACTTCGGACACTGAATGCTTAGAATGAAATGTGGAACTGTACGTTCACATACCCTGCCATACAGGTGCAGTTCGCTGTCAGAATGCAGTTGTTTTGCTTGTTGATGATTACCCAGGCCTTGTATAGCTCCGTCTTCTTTCCTTGTCTTTGGCTAGGCAGAACCCTGGTTTTTAGGACTACAAAGTTTTGAATCTTGTGATCATGGAACATTATTTCTTGCACATGACCACACAGAATAAAATTGTTGGCATCCAAAGACTTGTAGGCCTTTAACTTCTCTCTTGAAAAATCACTTGGAGTTTTAATGAGACAGTTGTATATTTTGGGCTGAAAGCTTGGCCATTTCTTATCCAACATCCATTGGGAGGGTGCTATCACAAATGGACCTTTCAGACGAACGCTGGTCATTTTAACGTTAATTTTGCAGAATAACTTCTTTTTACTGGGTGACAAGCTGTTATAATACACTGTAAGCATTATGTAAATAATATCATGGAACATTATTTCTTGCACGTCTCATCCTGTCTTCCGGATGAGACGTTAAACCGAGGTCCCGACTCTCTGTGGTTGTTAAAAATCCCAGGATGTCCTTCGAAAAGAGTAGGGGTTTAACCCCGTTATCCTGGCCAAATCTGCCCACTGGCCTCTGTCCATCATGGCCTCCTAACCCTCCCCATATTCAATTGGCTTCATCACTGTCTCCTCTCCACCAATCAGCTGGTGTGTGGTCTGGCGCAAAATGGCTGCCGTCGCGTCCTCCAGGTGGATGCTGCACACTGGTGGTGGATGAGGAGATCCCCCCCATTGTGTAAAGCGCTTTGAGTGCCCAGAAAAGCACTATATAAAATGTAAGGAATTATTATTATTATTATTATTATATAATTTATAATCGATATAAATTATCTCTAATACAACAACAAACTCTGTACCGCATCAGATGTCATTCCCTTATTGTAAATGCTACCACTCTGCAACCTCGCTGCACAGCATCCTGAATGTTTACATGCCGGTAAGTCACCTATATGAAAATGTTCAAATGATTTATTTACAATACAGTTTATAAAGGAATATTTTCCTTCTTTGTCGTGGCAATAAAAAAGCCTCTTAATGATCAAGAGACAAAGTTTTACAAGGTTTACTTCCAAAAAGGTTTTATTCTTTGCAATGAAATGAGAAGATTCTTTATGGCCCTAGTTATTCGAACTAAAATGAAACGCTTGGAAAAGTATAAACACATGAAGACGCTAGCTCTCTGCAGCTCTCAAATGGTCGCCCAATGAAGCTAAGCAGGTCTGTGCCCAGTTAGTACCTGCATGGGAGACTACATAGGAAAGCTAGGATGCTGCCGGAAGTGGTGTTAGTGAGTCCAGCAGAGGGCACTCAACCTGTGTTCTGTGTGGGTCCTAATACCCCAGTATAGTGAAGGGGACTCTATACTGCTCAGTGAGCGCCGTCTTTCAGATGAGACGTTAATCTGAGTTCCTGACTCTCTGTGGTCATTAAGAATCCCAAGATGTCCTTCGGATAAGAGTAGGGGTTTAATCAGGGCATCCTGGCTAAATTTGCCCACTGGCCTCTGTCCATCATGGCCTCCTAACCATCCCCATGTTATAATTGGCTTTATCACTCTGTCTCCTCTCCACCATTCAGCTGGTGTGTGTGGTGTGCAGTCTGGCGCAATATAGCTGCCGTCGTGTCATCCAGGAGGATGCTGCACACTGGTGGTGAATGAGGAGATCCCCCCAATTAGGAAAGTGCTTTGAGTGTCCAGAAAAGCGATATATAAATACAAGGAATTGTCATTATTATTAAGAAAAGGAGGTGTAGAAAGGCAGTGAAAGCCCAGACAGCAGCTGAAATCTCTCAGTAGTTATTCAGCAACCTTCTGCCCTTCTACATTATCAGGAGGATTAAGATAAAACCAGGGTGGACATTTCAGCAAGACAATGATCCAAAACACAGCCAAGGAAACTCTCAAATGCTTTCAGAGAAAGAAAATCAAGCTTAGGAATGGCCCAGTCAATCCCCTGACTTGAATCCAATAAAAAATACAAATAAAAAATTTGATTTGACAGACATGACCCACAGAACCATCAGGACTTTTACACACTGTTAAAGTCTGTGAAAAAATCACACCTAAGCAATTGATGTGTCTACATTCTCACTATGAGAGGCGTCAATAAACTGCCATCACATAAAAAGCCTCTTATATCTTGAGTATATAAAGTATTAAATACGCTGCAATGCTTTCTCCTTGTCATTTTATTGTTATTACACTTAACTAATTTTTCAGATTTGTTGGTTGTGCTTATTTTTATGTTTGTATTGTTTAAGTTCTTATCAAAATCTGGTTCAATTTCATGTTAGAAGCTCCTTTAGAAATATTATTCCTAGGAAAAAAAACATGACGTGTCCAATACTTATTTTTCCTGCTGTATGTGTTTGAAACAAGCATATCAACATACATGATTTGTGTAAATTTCTACCTCTGTTACTATATTTCTACTAAGGTTTAAAGCAGACTTGATATATTATAACTGACCTATATTTCCCAAACTCCCAATTTTCAGAAGTGTGCCTTAAATGAAGTGAAGTAATATCCTGTCTCTGTTTGCTAGGGTCGTGGATCTGGCTTTCCTGGAAGGCGACGACCCAGGGGAGCTAACCTGTCTGGAAGAGGTGGCAGGGGACGCTCCAGGCTAAAGATGGAGAGCAGCCCTGTGGTCACCCCAGGGGTACGAAGCCCCCACCTCTACACGCATAAATAAAACAGCACTCAGATGTGCTTAATGCTCACATTAAAGCCTGAGAAATGCACTCACGCTCAGCAGAGCTTCAGCAGCAGTTCCCGGCCCAAATGGCCTTTTCAAAATAGCAAATGCTGACATTTCCCCCAACACAAATGACTTGTGATGGGGGAGAGCGAGCCAGAATGTACTTGGCTGCCAATATTATAAAATGGGTAATTTGATTCTCAGCGGTCATCTTGTAGTTTACACACATTCATGAACATCTTGTCTTAATTTAATATACTAAATGCTGTATGTATTTGGTTAAAAAATGACTTTCACACACAGAACCCAAGTTATATACCTGTAAGATTCAGTAAGCACGGCATCGTTCAGTAAATTAAAAGAAATTTTATAGTCAGTTTTGTACATACATTTATACAACAGTTCTGTCTGGTTCTTGAATCTGATTGGCTGATAGCCGTGATATATTTAAGTAATATCAGCAACCGTACAGCCTCTTTACCCTTTGTGTATTACTCCGCCCACATACAGCCAGCAAAAAGCAGACACTACAGATCTAAAGTTTAAAAGATGCACGCTCAGCTGTTCAACTGTCAGCTTATGATTTGAATCCAATGCGGAAGAAAGTAGTTCCTCATACAAAAGGGTTTTTGAGACTCTCCATGTTTGATTTTGTTTTTATATACACAATTATGCCGTCAAACTGTTGTATAAATGCAATATCACACTCATAGCAGTGCGATATGGCTGTATATCAGCACTGTTGGGGGCACTAAGGCACTCGGCCTGCGGCATCGTGCCAGCACACGCCTTCCACCATTGCCGATATACAGCCATATTGCACTGCTACCCGTGTGATATTGATCATATATAGTTCTAATTATTATTATTATTATTATTATTATTATTATTATTATTATTATTATCATTATTATTGGGAGATGTAAAAGTGGAAGATAAAGATGTGTGAGCTTAAAGTATTTTGAGTATTTTAATATGACAAAAAATTGTCCATAGGTGTTTGTTTGTAATACTATTTTATGAATACCTTGATGTCATTAGACACAGAGTATAGTAATATGTCAGAAATGGGTGGATTTGTGTTGATAAAATGTAAACTGGTTCTGTTACAGCTGAGTTTTCTGGATTCTCCATATGTGGTAAAGGAAGAGGAGGAGAACTCCATGCACAACACTGTAGTCATGTTCTCCACCTCTGATTCCTTCACACTTAAACAAGTAAGTACTTTGTTTTAATTTGTGTTTGTCATGCACATGGACAGTATTTGCATACTTAAAGGTCCCATGAAATTGAAATAGAATGTTAGTATCATTATTGTTGGGTTTTTTTGGATATCTATAAGCTAGTGTGCACTAAAACGGTGACAAAATGTGCGGTTAGGAGATGTAAAACTGAAATAAAGATGTAAAGCTTGTTGTTTGTCACTTCTGCCTAAATGGATCAGCCATTTTATTCATGTCACCTCAGGCTTCAGTTTCTCATCAATTCATATCCAATCAAAAGCTCTCTTGTATGCCCCGCCCCCTTCAAGACGATTCTTATTGGATGCGTTTGAGCTCAAACACGTCAAACATAGAATAAAAATGCATATTTCAAGCTTTATAAAAAAAGACATGTCTCCGTTGGGAGTGTAGTTTGATTATTAGTTTGGCTCACATCCCATTTGTTAACATGGAAAAGGTGGAATTTATGACTTATGCTACTATGCTACAGACAGCCACCACTTTATTTATTAAGATAATGCTGCACGTTTTCAAAAACATTGAATCGGTGCTGTTTTTACACTGTATATATATATATATGTATATATATATATATATATATGTATATGTATATACATACATATATATATATATATATATATATATACATATACATATATATATATATATATATGTATCTATATATATATATATATATATATATGTATCTATATATATATATATATATATATATGTATATATATATATATATATATATATATATATATATATATATATATATATGTATCTGTGGTAGCATTTAGTTGCTGCTGTGTTCATATTGTGCAATGGATCAGCGACAGTAACTTACTTACTTCATGACTTTACTATTTACTATACTTTACTATAGAATTGCTGATAGCTCTTGCTCACAAACTACATTTCCCAGTCAAATGCTTGTGAGAAGTGAAAAGGAAGTAATTATTGGTGTAACGGATCACAAATCTCACAGTTTGGATCATTATGGTTTTTTAGTCACAGGTCGGGCAATTTTTTGGATCAGCTAAAAAGGGGAGACGACAAATGTAATTTGCTTTCCGTTTATATCAAATACAGCACTGCAGGAAACTTTTGGTTTTAACAAACAGAACTTTAAACTTTTAATTTCAATAATAAAATAAAATAAAGAAATAATCAGCTAAATAAAAATAAATTGTAAAATCAGGGTGTCCGCGGGGTCTTAAAAAGTTTTAAAAGAAAATTAAGGCCCTTAAAATGTATTAAAAAAAGCCTTAATCCCTTTTTTACGAGGTCTTAAATTTTGTTTAAGTATTGTCTAAAGTGTTTGACTCCAAAAAAGCATAAATATATTTATTTTCCTAAGTTGGTTTGAGCCTGGTGCATCCAACCAAGCGCCTCTGTCCAGGTGATGTCACGTAGGAAGGTGATGTGATGCTCTCCAGATGTAGCGAAACCATACAGCAAAATAGATGGCAAAATGGGATAATGCAAGTTTGCATACTCCTGGTTGTAGAAAGACTATTTCGATTTAAACAGTGGCTGAAGCCTGACGCTAAAAACAACCATGTAATTTATCCTTTCAAGGTTTGTTTCTTCCGAGCTTATCTAAGTTCTGTTGCACGGTTGTGCTCCAATGATTTATTTAACTACAACTGTTTATTAACAACTGTTTATTAAGTTTTTATTAAAGGTTTGATACTGAATAGAACCTGAAGTGGCAACAAAGCCTAAAAATACTCTGAGAAGGTCTTTAAAAAGTCTTTAAAAGGTATTGAGATTTCCTTTGGGATTCTGCATATACCCTAAAGATATTCTATGCAAAACTTCACTCTTACTAATACCGTTGCTGATAACACAATGTATAGATGTAACATTATAATTTGTACAGCCCATATTTGATTTAGTCTCATTTTCAATAAATGATTCTGTTATTCACTCATAAAACTTTGTTTTATTGCTAGATGGATCATTTTTGAAGAATCATTCAGTGTCGTGTTTTTGATGGCTGGTTGTCGTTATTGGTTAAATAATGTAATTGCTCCCTACAACTTTCATTTTTGAGCATCAAATTAAATGCATTTGACAGTGATTTTAAGCTTTTTCATAAACATCAGTGGTTTTATCTAAACTATAAATTGTTATCTTAGTACTTTTGTGTTATTTGACTGTTTGTTGCTTCATAACTACCTCAAAAGACTAAAGAACGAATCTCCAAGGATTAATAAACATATGCAAATGACCATCATTTTAAATTTATGTGGTGTGGTTGTTGAAATCAAGTTTTTTTTAATGATTAATTGAGAAGCTTACACTGAATGCATTAATGCGGGCTAAGCAAGAAGTGACAAAAAACACCTTTAATGACCTAAGAAACCCAAAACATCCCTAAAAACCCATCACAGCTTCTTTTGTCATCGTTATATTTTACAGGGAAGCCTAAATGCTTTCATACATGTGATTTGAATGACGCAAGGGGGGATCTCTCTGCGATTGTTACAAATTTAGGATTAATCTAGCAGTAAAAAAAAAAATAATGTATTAATCTGTGGGATATGTGTGTTACAAACAGTGTGTTGTGATCCATACGAATTAACCGTGATACACCCCTAGAACTAATGCAAGACCACACGTGAGATTCAATGTTCTGATGCAAGACTGGAAATGACTTCAGACAGTATGTCAGCGAGTGAACATTGGGCCTAAAATGGTGCATCTGTAACACATTTTTGTCATCAACATGCACTAAAGGACACTTTTGTAAAATTTCAGGCTTCCAAACAAAGGTCTGTTTGCAAAGCACTGCTTACACAAGTCATTTTCAAGACAAACAGCCTTCTGATAGTAAACAGAAGGAAAAATTTGCATGGGAAGCTCATGATTGTGCCAGTGCAATGAGCCAAATTGAACAGAAATACTGTAAATGTGACGACACCTTGAGGCATCTGAAGATCAGGGAAAACATCTCCATGCTCATCTCTTTTTGAGTAGGATATGAGTATTAACGTTACCGGGTGGGCGTCTGATCATACTGTACTTGTTTCTCCAGGATATGTGTGTTGTGTGTGGGAGCTTCGGTCGGGGTGCCGAGGGTCGACTGCTTTCCTGCTCCCAGTGCGGCCAGTGCTACCACCCCTTCTGCGTCAATATTAAGGTAAGGCTCCCCAAGCCCATCCCATCAGTCACAATCGACATAATGATGTGAATTATGAGCTGCTTTTATCTGGAGCGAAGGTTAATGGTGCGTGAGATAACTGTGACAGGTCAGCGTTGAGAGGACCTGGATGAAAACAGCCCAGAGGGTAATGCGTTAAATGTTAAGAGGATTATGAAGCACCCTATAAAGTCTGTGCCTTATGTTGATAGACTAAAGCAGAGATTTTTATCATGTGAAAGACTGTGGTGACAGACGAATACATCAGGGCGCTTTCGGTATCTCCCGGCGCTTTGAGATATGCCGTTTAAAACTTCCTGATCTTCATTTAATATAAGAGGCCCAGACGGATCCTGTAGATTCCCAGTGCAGATTTTGAAATCTCTGAAGAGTTTTGCACACACTGATTTAGTGTGGGCCTGATTAAGAACAATTAAAGCATTAAACCTCAACGGTGTGCATTAAAAAGATTGTTGGTAGTGAAAGTGACTTATTAAAGTACAAATGTAATCAAAACTAACCCTATGATGTTTGGTCAAATTACTAGTTTTTTGGTGAACACTTCATTAAGAGAAAAAAAATAGAAAAATCTGCTTAAATAACATCTACAGAAAAACATGTTTTTTTTGCTTATCTGAAACCAGTTCATCAACATTCATCCTTGTTTTTGTTGCAGCATTTTAATATAGAATTTAGCTGATGGGAAATTTTCAGATGTACATTTATAGTCATTTTCCGAAAGCCTTAAATGAATTCTCCTCATGCAAAGCTTAGTAGTATCCATTAAATAAATGTTCTCAATACACATACTTCATTTTAAATTCAGTTGGTAATAGACAAATGTCATAGCCAGGTGTCTTGCAGATCTGTTTACATCTCATTCATTCACCCTCTCCTCTGTGCAAGCAGCTGACTATTAGCAATCATAGCTGCTCTCGAGAATTGCTCTTATATATGATAACAACTAGCACTTTTATTTAAATATAATTATTTATTTGTGTTATATATATATATATATATATATATATATATATATATATATATATATATATATATATATATATATATATATGTTTATATAATTTATATAATTCATATATGTTTATATAATTTATAAATATATTATGTAATAATATATAAATATATTATTAAAGTCACTGTCTCTCTTTAGAGCATTAAATACCTTCATTTTAATGAATTATGTTACTGTGGCTTTTACAACGGTGTTTCTAAACCCAAAAGTTCAGGGGAAATTACTTTCAAAAGAAGCTCAGACTCCAAAATCTCTCAATTCTTAATTCGTTTTTCATAGATGATTAAGTGCCTTATGAGTTTAGAATGTCACGAGGTTATTAGATGATGATACAATTCTATTGTTTTAATGCTATAATGAGGACTGGCAGTTTTCTTGACTACTTTCTGGTGCTCTTTTGGAATTGTTCTGCTCCATTCACTGTGTATGAAAATAAGCAGAGCATTTTGTATTTCATGTGGTGAAAAAGTCATAGTTTAAATCACATGATTTAAAGAAATAATTTTTATTTCAACTATTTTGTTTATATGAGACCTTTATGAATTGTAATAGTAATATATACAGTATACACTAACTGACAAAAGTCTTGTTATCACATTATCTATATCACAGAATATATATATATATATATATATATATATATATATATATATATATATATATATATATATATATATATATATATATATATATATATTATGTGATAATTTTCTTGGTCTCTCACACAACATAATTGAAAAAGAATACAAATTTCACAGGACCTCTAACACTTATGTAAGCCTTCCTTCTTTGATATGGCTCAAATAGTCCATTTCAACCCCAGAGATGCTGAACAGCAGACAGTGAACATCCTTGGATGTGGTTAGATTGACTTATCACCACCCACATACATTGATCTGTAAATACAGGCAAATCCTTCTGACAAATACCACTGACCCTAAAAACATCTGACGGCTGTGTTCTTTTTGTTTCTTAGATCCATCCAGATTATTGTCTGCTAAATATATAAGCCTCCGTTGCCCTTTAGACTATTGTTTGACCTGTGATCTCTGAACTCAAGTGTGTGTGTGTCTGTTTTAGATCACAAAAGTTGTGCTGAGTAAAGGCTGGCGCTGTCTGGAGTGCACAGTGTGTGAAGCATGTGGGCAGGCCAGTGACCCCGGGCGATTGCTGCTCTGTGATGACTGTGACATTAGCTACCATACATACTGTCTGGATCCACCACTGCAGAATGTACCCAAAGGCAGCTGGAAATGCAAGTGGTATGTATACACACACACACACACACACACACACACACTTCTCTAAAATTAGATGCATCTTTGGACTGCAGCCCAGTTTTGTAGCACAGTTATGTCTTCATTTTTGTGAAAGACAGCCACGTTTGAATGTGTTGAGATATATTCATAAACATCATCAGCCAGAGAATGGAGGAAAATTCAATTTATGTTTATTTTATATAGGGCTTTAACCATGCAGATTGTGTGAAAGCAGCTTAACATAGAGGTTTTAGTAGATTGAAACTGTGTCAGTCCAGTTTTCAGAGTTAGAGTTCAGTTTAGTTCAGTTCAGTGTGGTTTAACTTTCACTGCTGAAACTCCCAACACTGAAAAGCAAATCAATCGATGCGCTGCTCCACAAGTCCCAAACCAAGCAAGTAAGTGGCGAGGAACAAACTTCACCAATTGACGAACGTGAAGGAAAAAACCTAGAGAGAAACCAGGCTCAGTTGGGCATGACCATTGTCCTCTGGCCAAACTTCCTGTGCAGAGCTGCAGTCTAGGTGTCGGAGGCTGAAGAACTCTGGACGTCCATCGTGGAGAATTGCTGGTGTGATTAAGTCACCGGAGGGTGTTCAGGCTGACCCATGAGATCAATGCCGAGACTCGTCTGTCACTGTTGTCTTTTAGTAATCAGTCTCATGGTCTCCACTCCTCCATGACCACCACAGCATCAGTTCAGTATATGACCTGGTCCAGGATTATGGATACCTTGGCATCATTTTTTCACAGGTCTTGGATGGCATTAATTGCACTGGATAATCTCTAGAGGCTTCGGGATAAGTATCCCCAGTTTGAAATAGAGAATAAAGAAAATACTTAGCTCTTCCAAAAACTTTTACCTAGTTTTGAGCTGCGAGAGTGTGTCTGACATTATCAGGAAGGCTATTTCAGAGTTTAGGAGCCATAAATGAGAAGGCCCAACTTCCTTTAGTAGACTTTGCTCTTCTGGGTACTACCAGAAGTCCGGAGTTTAAAGATCTTAAAGAGCGGGTTGGATTGTAGCGAGACAGAAGCTCGGTTAGATAAACAGGAGCTAGATTATTTAAAGCTTTATAGGTAAAAAGCGATATTTTATAATCAATACGAAACTTAACAGGCAGCCAGTGTAAGGAGGGCAAAATTGGGGTGATATGATCATATTTTCTAGACCTGGTAAGAACTCTGGCAGCTGTATTTTGTACTAGCTGAAGTTTGTTAATAGAGGATGCTGGGCAGCCAGCAAACCGAGCATTACAGTAATCCACCCTTGAAGTCATAAAGGCATAAACTAGCTTTTCTGCCTCTGAGATGTATAGCATGCTTCGTTACAGGAATTAACATGATTTTACTTGCATTTGTGAGTGTGGCATTGCTATATGCTGGTGAAATCTTTGAATGAAGTGACAATATTTCAAAATGCGAATTTAAAAAATAATCAAAATGTGAGTATTTTCTGTCTTGCACTGCAAGCTCCCACAACATATTGATATATATATTGTACTGCCTGCAGGATTCATGTTTTATCCCACTCTCGTCCACATACGCCTGCAGGTCGAAGCACATATGCATTATTGTCCACTGTGTCCTGCTTCTGCTTGCAGAATGCAGGAAAGGGCTTTTCCTTTATAATCATCTCTAAAAAGCTGTCATTCATTTTAAATCTCATTCTCACAGTTTCATTACAGCCAGAGAAGCTGACAGCACAATGGATTTACACTTTCATCTCTACACTTTGTTGTACAATGATGAATAACTGCAAACTCAAAAACTCAACGGATGAATGGGCTCTAATTAACTTGTCCAGAGCACGAACACAGGTACTCTGCATCGCTAGTATGCAGCTTTTTATGAGAAAGCTGATCCTAGATCAGCGCATAAAAGCAGCAACAGGTTAAGTACAGCTTACACATGCTTGGTCTGTGCTGTAGATGAAAATTTTTGTTTTTGAAATTTTTTGTTTACTAGAGTCAGGAGGGATACCGTGCCACACTCTGTCATGTCAGGTAGTCCTGCCTGAGTGCTGGTGTCTACATGACTTTTTCAGTGTGAATTACTGTAGTTAAACTCATTTGCTAAGTTTGTAAGTATATTCATTTTTTTTTACTCATTTTTTATTCCATATTTAAGAGCTGCTTTGGTGAGGAGCTTTTTACAATAAGTTAAATTTTGAACTGTTCATATAAAGCTATCATATGGCTTCAAGGCATTTCAAGCCAATGCCTCAGTTGTTCCTTCTATTACCTTTCTCACAGCATTTAGGCAAGTTCTGATAGCCCACTCTATACCCAAATTTCAGAAAACTACAGACTTGGGCTGTGCGATGTAAAGAAAAAGTAGTTGTATTTTATTTGCATGATTATTCCACCACACTTTGTGTTTTCATAATGGTGGGTGGTACATGTGTTTGATTTGAGCAATGGCAGAACAAAATTGTGCTCATTCAAATGGTAAGCAAGCTTGTGACTTGCTCTTAGGTGCATATTCATGTTATATGTATATATTTCTATCGCATTCCTATCGTAGCTTTTTCCGAATATCATATAGCAACATTTCAAATTGTGATTACCATTCAATTTTAATTAGCACACTTCTGCTACACACTAGACTACCAGAACTCTTTCATTCATTTCAACCAAAGAACAATTTCTTGGGCAGAAACCTTCAGAAGCGAACATTCATCTAAAACTTTCAAATTCCTTCATTTTTCTTCGTCTCCTATTTATCAGAGCTCGCCACAGCGGAATGAACTGCCAACTACTCCAGGATATGTTTTACGCAGTGGATGCTCTTTCAGATGCAATCCAGTCCTGGAAAACACCCATACGCTCTCACAATCATACACGCACACATACACTACAGCTAATGCAGTTTATTCAATTCACCTATGTCTTCGGACTGTGAGGGAAACCGAAGCATCTGGAGGAAACTCACATAAACATGCAAACTCCACAGAGAAATGCCAACTGGGCTAGCTGGGCTAGCTGGGACTCGAGCTAGTGACCTTCTTGCTGTGACGTGACAGTGCTAACCACTGAGCCACTGTGCCGCCAACTTTCAAATTCAAAATTAACATTTTATTTGTCACATACACCATATAATATGCAGTGAAATGCTTAAACAACAACTCGTGACCTTAAAAAAAAAAAAAAAAAATAATAATAATCTAAATTTGGAGAAATAGAAGTTATGCAATAGAAAATATTAGCATTATCTAAACTATTTAAAGACTTTCGATATAGAGTATGTGGTTGTAGAAAAAAGTACAAAGTGTAAAAATATAAAATAAATGTCTGTACAAACTGAAACTTAGAAGTGTTTGGTGCATAAGAGGGGAATCATCTGTTGAACTGCATTGTCATACTGCAGAAGACTTATTGGAACCCGCATGGACCCAAGATTCTCCCAGAAATCAGTCAATTTTGGTGAAGGAGCAATCATGATTTGGGGTTACATTCAGTATGGTGGTGTGGAAGAGATCTGCTGAGTGGATGGCAACATCAACAGCCTGAGGTATCAAGACATTTGTGCTGCCCATTACATTACAAAGCACAGGAGAGGGCAAATTCTTCAGCAGGATAGCGCTCCTCCTCATACTTCAGCCTCCAAATCGAAGTTCCTAGAGGCAAAGTAGGTCAAGGTGCTCCAGGATTGGCCAGCCCTTTCACCAAAAATAAACATTATTGAGCAAGTCTGGGGTAAGATGATGGAGGTGGTAAATCCAAAGAATCTTGATGAAGATTGTGCATAAACTTTACAAATGTGCATAAACTTCACTGCTCAGTTGTTGAAGCCTTGAATCTGGTTACTCATCTTGCTGGATCTGTCCACTGCTTTTGACCACCAAATCATTAGGTCAAATCTAATGACGGTGCATGTCAGGAGCTGCACTCGAGTCTTACCTCTTAAGTCGATGCCTCTGGGTGTCTTGGAGAGCTAAAGTGTCTGAGCCGTGCCATCAAGCTACTGGGTGCCCCAAGGCTCCATTCTTGGACCATTTATTTTCTCTGTCTTAATGGCATTTTTCTAGCCCAGACATTTTTTTTTACAGGTGCCTTATTTAAGATTGCCATTCTACTTCAGTTCTCTCTTCATCTATTTAAATATTTTCAGTGTTTCCTCTTTATCCTTTTGTTAGCCTTATATGTTTCCTTGCATCTGTCTCTCCACACATCTAGCGCTCTCTTGATCTTTTGCAGCTGTTTTCAAACAAGATCGAAAGGGATTTCCTACATATTTGCCGTAATGTCTCACGTAATCCCCGTTCAAACAGAACTGGTTTTGCATTACATTGTGACGCGTTCAGTCAGACCTCGACTTGGATTGGAGCCATTTAAATATTTATTTTTAGGGCAGTTCAGTTGATGCCTGTGCAAACAAGAGGTGTGTCCATTCACATAAAGGCCACAAAATGAGTGTGAAAGAATTGATTCAGACGTTTACATTCAAAAGCGTGTATATTTGCGGTAACATACACCCTCATATCAGTGTGTAATTGTGTTGTTTTCTAACAGGTGTGTATTGTGTACTCATTGTGGTGCCACGTCGCCTGGCTTGCGCTGCGAGTGGCAGAATAACTACACACAATGCGGCCCGTGTGCGAGTCTCACAGTGTGTCCCGTGTGCACGCGCAGCTACAGAGAGGAAGAGCTGATTCTACAGTGCCGGCAGTGTGACAGGTGGGCAGCTCTTCATCATGCCAAATGCTGTAACGGCAGGATAAAAGAGTATTATGAGCTGTAGATTAGTATATAAATAAATGCAGGTGTTGATTCATGGCAATCGGCCTGTGATGTACTTTTTTAATGGCTGACTGCTTGTGAATGTGCTGATATTTTGGCTGTGCAGATGGGTTCATGGCTCATGTCAGGGACTGAACTCCGATGAAGATGTGGAGAACGCAGCGGATGAGGGCTTTGACTGCACTCTGTGTAGAATGCACACCGTGCCCACACCTGGTAAGATTTACCAAACGCTATTAATGATTTTTTGTAATTGAATTCCCATAAATAATTGTGTAAAATGTCCTAAGGTGTCACGAAACAGCAAAAGGTCTATCACCGATGGCTGACAAACTTCACAATGCTGAGCCAGCATCGCGATCCACACATTTATATTGATATATAACTTATTATTTGCATGTCATATTAATAACAATAACAGTCTGTTCATGTGCTGTTTTAAATGTTAATGTTAATGAAATGTTAAGTTATGCTGTGTCATTATGCTAAATTGGGTAGCACAATCTCCTCACAACCAGAAGGTCGCTGGTTCCAGCCTCGCCTGGGTCCGTTAGCATTTCTAGTTTGCATGTTCTCCCTATGTTCATATGGGTTTTCTCCGGGTGCTTCGGTTTCCATCACAAGTCCAAAAACATGTGGTATCGTTGAATTGGGTAAGCTAAATCGTCTGTAGTTTATGTGCGTGAATGGGTGTGTTTGGATGTTTCCCAGTAATGGGTTGCAGCTGGAAGGCCATCCACTGCGTAAAAAACATATGGCTGGATAAGTTGGCGGTTTATTCCGCTGTGGCGACCCGAGATTAATAAAGGGACTAAGCCGAAAAGAAAATGAATGAATTAATTATGCTAAAATTACCAGTAACACTATAATAAATGTGTGTAAAGGGTTGCATGTGGCAAGTGTATAAGTTGTGGAGTTTCCAGTTATCACATTAAATTGGCATGTGTAGCATGATTGCAGAATGATTTCATGGCTTGTTTTATTTGTTCAAACTACAACGAAGTAGGCAGATTTGATATGTTGATATCCATAAAACTTTCCTGCACGTCTGAACAGAAATGCTCTAATTGTAACCTCAGGTGAATACGCTTCAGGATGTCTCTCTTGTCGATTTCCGTATGATGTGCATGTTAATGCTTGATTTTTCTATAACAGATGGCCACTAGAGTGTTTTGGTCAATGAAACTTTGTTCCAGCAAAATGTGGTTCATTAAAAAAAAGCAGATGGGCTGAATTTTAAATCAAGCTGCAACCTGTTCGTGTGATTGAAGCAGCAGTTAATGTAATCTGCCTTTAATGGCTCCAGACTGTCCCCTTATCAATAAATAACTAAACAAATGATGGTGAATACTTAGCGTTAACCCTTAAATAAGTCAAGCATCCAACATCTCGTTACAGGTGCCGCAGTGCCAAAGCTGGTGGAGATCAGCGAACCTCCAATGGTGGCACAGATTCTAACAAAAGTCAAGGAAAACGGTAGGTGTTTTGCTCATCGCTCTCTGCTGCAACAGATGTTCTGTGTAACAGTTGTTGCTTAAATAGCTGAAGTGTGAGAGGAGCCGTTTCAGTGCACTCAAGCAGTCATTATTGCTGTGTTCTGTCCTGCGCCAGAATTCCAGCGGACGTACACTCAGGATGGCGTGTGTCTGACTGAGTCGGGATTGTGTCAGCTCCAGAGTTTATCTGTCCAGACCACCCGCCGCAAGCGACCCAAACCCAAACTTAAGCTGAAGATCATCAATCAGAACAGCGTGGCAGTGCTGCAGACGCCTCCTGACGCCCAGTCGGAGCTCTTCAGAGATGGAGACCTGGATGACAGTAGAGGTACAGAATGTATTTGTGTACATGTATATATTTAGATATTTTTATATATATATAAATATAGATATATATATATATATATATATATATATATATATTTTTTTTTTTTTTTTTGTTATATATATTTTACATATATAAGCACAGGAGAGGGCAAATTTGTATGTGTGTATATATATATATGTATATATATATATATATATATATATATATATATATATATATATATATATATATATATATATATATATATATTTAGATATTTTATATATATATATATTTTTTTTTGTTATATATATATATATATATATATATATATATTCCCCTCAAAAATGTAGCAGCATTTGTCAGACGGGTCAGGATGCACAAACTTAAAAGAGTTGTTCCTACAAAATAAAAAATCAAAGCTTTCATTCTCAACAAAATTGGCATTGGATGCAGCAGAAACTAAAATATCTAGTTAAAATTGTGACTAATGGCCCATTTCCATGGGATGGTATGGTATGGTTCGGTACACTTTTTTTCTGTTTCCACTGTCAAAGAGTACTAAAAAGTGAACCGTACCGTACCGTACCACTTTTTAGCACAATAGAAGGGTATCAAAAGGCAGAGCCAGACGTGCAGCTGAATGCTATTGGTTTACAGAGAAATGCCACTAGTGCATGCGCAAACCAGGAGAATGAAAACAAAGCCATTGCTATTTTCACTAGCCACAATTTGAGTGTTTTTTGTCCTGTATAGTTTAAAGAGAACCAATTCCACCAGTTACGTTTCCAGGCACTGATGCTTCACACAAAGCAATATGAGCGCACATGCTTTTAAACACTGGCGGCACAGGTGATTTGATGTGCGCGAGTGTCTAAAACACTGAAGCCCCTGTCAGTGAATGAGGAAATTGCACAGGATCATCCTATTATTAAGTATACAACGGTTTCTTTTGCTCATGCGAACACAGTCCTGTTGGTCCTCTCTCACGTTGGCCCCTTATTGGGCAATCCTTATTGTTGAAAACGCTGCTTTTTAAGAAAAGTGCAATTTTAAAATGAACTTCAACCAGCCAAAGCTGAAATCTACCCGCATTTGGCAGGTGTTAATGTCAAACCCTGGTCACCACCAACAGTAATAATTGATTGATTTCATTTGATATTTTGTTCTTTAGTTATAGATTTGCCTTCAGGTTTTGTTGTAGTTAAAAGTAATAACTCTGAATCCAATAATTAGGGCTGCACGATATTGAAAAAAAAAATGTTGCAATATTTTGTTAGTCTGATATGTATATTGCAAGATGACTTGAAAATCTACTGTATTTGGAAAGAATTTATCATTGTTTGGATGATTCTGTGGGTGTGTGTATCTGCATACAATCAAATAAAATAAACAAAATAGCTATTCAAATTAACAGTGCGTTATCATTTTCTGAGTTTAGCAGTATTTAGGCACAGTAACTGAGTATTCATTAATTTTCCTTCACTTAAACCCTATTAATCAGGGGTCGCCACGGTGGAATAAACCGCCAACTATTCCCACATATGTTTTACCCAGCGGGTGCCATTCCAGCTGCAACCTAGTACTGGGAAGCACCCATACACTCCTGCACTGATACACTACGGTCAATTTAGTTTAGTCAATTCACCTATAGCGCATGTCTTTGGACTGTGGGGTAAACCGGAGCACCCGGAGGAGAACATGCAAACTCCACACAGAAATGCTAAAGGACAAGCCAGGACTCAAACCCACAACCTTTTTGCTGTGAGGCAACAGTGCTACCCATTGCCACCGGTAATTGAAAAATAAAGATTAAAGAATTGAAGAATAAAACTTAAAACAATTCAATACAATTCATTGTCAATAACGTTACCAACAGTACAATGTATTATGCCCGAATGCTTTAAAACTCCTTGTACAGTCACAGGCCTTAAAATCCCATGCAAATGATAAATTATAGACTTTTTATAGTTATAAAATTATAAAACTCTGTGGCGCAGAGGGTAGTGCTGTCACCTCACAGCAAGAAGGTCGCTGGTTTGAGCCTCGGCTGGGTCAGTTGGCATTTCTGTGTGGAGTTTGCATGTTCTCCCCGTGTTCGTGTGGATTTCCTCCGGGTGCTCCGGTTTCCCCCACAGTCCAAAGACATGCGCTATAGATGAATTGGGTGAGTTAAAGTCCATAGTGTATGTGTGTGAATGAGTGGGTATGGGTGTTTCACAGTGATGGGTTGCATCACTGCGTAAAACATATGCTGGATAAGTTGGTGGTTCATTCCGCTGTGGCTACCCATAGTAAATAAAGGGACTAAGGTGAAAAGAAAATGAATGAATAAATGAAATGATAAAACTCTAAATTGCATATCCTGTGATGTGACTATTGGGAATGATCACATTGCAGTATCGATACTGAAACGCTATATTGTGCAGCCCTACTAACAATTGTCATTTTTAAAGTTCCTCCACAGTTTTGCGTGTCACCCACTCTGACCATGGTTGTAAATTAGTGCCGACAGCCATCACAGCTGAGCATAACAGAGAAAGACAGACAAATCTAGGAAGTAGGGTGGAATAGAGATGAATTATTTGTTGAAAATGCGTAAAAACAGAGTGGAGTGATTGGAAAGAGAGCGAAATCGACAGGAAGGTGAGCCATGAAATGAATTTGACTTGGAGAGAGAGGAGAGCCTTTGAAAACAGCAGTCAGCAAATTATACCTGGCTTGGCATTTCAGTGATCAGAGGCTGGATGGCTCTAACTGAATTAATAGCCGACCCTTCCATCAGAGCACCAGTCTGAGAGAGCAGGCGGGGGGTAATGAGGAGGAATGGGGCCACTGGTTTAACCCACTCACTGCCAAACACAATCTGTCAAGCGGTGCTTTAATACTTTAAAGCTCTTGAATAACTCTAGCTCTTGGGTTTCACATTTGAATGTTGAATCCTAAAACTTCAACACTTGATTATTATGCAAAAACACATTGGGCTCTATTTTAGCGATCTAGGCGCAAAGTCTAAGGAGTATGGCGCAAAAGCATTAAGGGCATGTCTGAATCCACTTTTGCTATTTTAAGGATGGAAAAATGCAGAAAAACTGAACGCTTCACTAATGAGAAAAGAGCAGTATAAAAATTTTTGCTAAAGTACATTGTCATTATAAGGCCAATTTAGCTTTCCAAACATAGTACAACAAATGAAGCACATTGTACACAAAACTATTTATTTAACATTGCATTTAGTAATTTATTACAAAAGAAGAAAACTATAAGCACTGAAATTGAAACAGGTAACATAAATATAAATAAATGAATTTATATTTGGATTATCGTTTCTCTTTGTTATTTTCTGCATTTACCATATATATATATATATATATATATATATATATATATATATATATATATATATATATATATATATATATATATATATATATATACATACACACATACACACATATTACTCTTTAAACAAATAAACAGGGAAGGCAGCTTTTGTAAAAATTACATAAAACATACAAATTTCTTGTGAGCATGTAAACATACAATATCAGTACTTCATAAACTTTACTTCATAAAAATTAACTCATAAGTAAAACATTTCAAAATTAAAAAACGGTATAGCTAGACTCAGGGAAGAAGACTATTGTCATTTTTTTTTTTAAAGAGAAGAGCATAAATCAAGAATTTCATCAGTCTTTAAGGACTGCAAATAGCATGATGTGTATGTGTATGTTTTCTCTGCTTCTCACGCTGAGATTCTCACTCTCACAATGTAGTGCGTAACCAAAAATACGGGTAAAACTGCTGTTAAATTAAAATACAGAAAGTTCCTTTACAATTATACGGTAGGTATCCCTGTATTTTTACGGATTTTTTACAGTGTGGAGTGAATAAAATGTTTATATTTTAAAGCCATGGCAGGGTAAAAAAAAGGAATTTAATGCAGTGCTTCTTGTCTAGTCTGAGAACCACTTCATTTCATATGGTTAAGACAGTTCACTGGCTGGCTGACTGAAAATTAAAAGTGTGTGCATATAAAAATGTGGCTATTTTATTTTTTGATGCTTTGAGCTGTATTTGAGAAATGTGCCTCAAACAATCACCTCCTGTTGGTGCACCACATATTCAGGCTTCTTTTGTTTGTGTGATATTTTCAGATTGCATTGAATGCAAATGAGTGTGTTTTTATTGCTTGTGGTTATCAATGTCAACGACTGAACCACACTGTGCAGTGAGTCATGCGAGCTGTTGTTGTTGTTATTTTAATTATTACTATTATAGTGTGGTTTGGGGAATATTCTGTCAGCATCTACATTACTCTGTGATGTTTGGCCGCATTGCAGAGGGTGACCCAATGGACTGCGATGGGAAATCTGACTCCAGCCCAGAGCGTGAGCACTGTGATGACCACCTGAAAGGGGTCGACGACAGCAACAAGAAGAGGAAGAGGAAGCCATACAGGCCGGGTAAGTAAGAGAGAGAGAGAGAGAGAGAGAAAGAGAAAGGTGCACTTATCGGAAAGGACAGCTCCACTGGACTGTGAAATAGTGCGGCTGCAAATTCTGGACCTTAAATAGCATCCCACAGTGCTTTGCTCTTTAAAGCTCCTAGCCGGGGAGAACTCCGGAAAGAACGTTCTCTCTGAGCTTTTCTCTGACTAAAGAAGTAATCTCTTTAAAGTAATGTCCTTTTTAAGCACTGCCTACCATTTCTTTTTTTAAAGGACGTATGCTGTATAGACGTATCTGCAGTCTTTTTTGTTACACCATCCTAGTTGCATTTGAGCTCTGTGTTAAACTTAATGACTTCACACCAATTTATGTAAGGCCTTTAGTTAGTTTGCACTATTTACACCGCATAAAAACAACCCAATTCAACTATATGGCCACATTTACACCTAGGATAGATGTGTTAATGATATATCCTCAAACCAAGGTGTTGCAGTATTAAATTATGGCAATGTGAATCGCTGATGTAAACAGTATTATTCATGATGTTTTTGTTTGTTTTTTCTTAATCCAAGTGTCTACTTGCTGTATTTATACAGTATAAAGCTGCTGTGACAATAGAGTTTGTGTGTGCGAAATTCTGTCGTATGGCTCTGCGAAAAGGGGCGGGATTAAACCAGATGATTAGATATTTAAAAAGCGAGCAATTTGCTCCGTGTTTTAAATTTCTGTCCAGAGAGGTCATGTTTTGATCCTGGATTTGTCTCACGCAGTCAAGTGATGCGATTTCGCAGGTCAGAGTTCCCCAGGCTTGAACTCTGCACTGCAGCAACCTGTGAAACTTAACGCATGACTTTGCGTTTCCGGTCTGACGCATTCACGTGCGTATGAATGGAAGTCTATAGGGAGACAAGTCCAGTGTGACCACAGCTTAATTAAGTGTTAATTGTAATTGTATAATTTGCAGAATAATTAACGATGATTCTGCATTCATGCATTCGCCCTCTTGTCATTTTAATTCAATTCAATTCAGCTTTATTTGTATAGCGCTTTTACAATGTAGATTGTGTAAAAGCAGCTTCACATAAATGGTCATAGTAACTGGAACAGTGTGGTTCAGGTTTTAGTGTTTAAGTTCAGTTCAGTTCAGTTTAGCTCAGTTCAGTGTGATTTAATCATTACTGAGAGTTCAAACACTGAAGAGCAAATTCATCGATGCGTAGCTCTACCAATCCTGAACCATGCGAGGCAGTGGCGACAGCGGAGAGGGAAAAAAAACTTCATCTGATGGGAGTGAAGAAAAAAAACCTTGAAAGAACCAGACTCAGTTGGGCACGACCATTTTAATTTCTCCGCTGGCCAAAAGTCTTGTGCAGAGCTTCATTCGCTGTGGTTTCATTAAACTCGTGAGATCTTCACATTTAAACGCATACTGTTTGTTTTTATAGTGTTACCCCCATTTTTAGGCCCACAGGGATTCTGTGCGTGCACAATTCCGCAGATTTTTAGCCCATCATTGATTCTGTTTATTTGCTTGACTAAATGTGTGTACATTTTTATTTATTCAGTATTTTAAGTTAATTTAAGTTATATTATTGACTAATTCGAAAATATTCGGTAACACTTTATAATAACTACACACTATGAATTATTTATTAAGCATTAGCAAATAGTGAATTCATTATCTGTTAAGCATTACCTCTACTTTAATAAATGTTAGTAAGCAGTTTATAACTGCAACTATAAATGCTCTATTCTTGACTAACAACCACATTTATAATGTGCTTAATAATTGTACTTTCATACTTTGTTAATGATTTATTCATTGGATGTTATATGAAATTAATTAGGAAATTAACCATGCCAACTTTAATGTAAAATAGTTTGCGATATTTAATTTCGGTCCATGGTTCTTTATGATATTTGGATTTTGGCCCTTCATACGAAAAACTCTGGGCACCCTGCACTAAAGCAAATTATTCACATGTCGCATTATTGTACCAAAGCCCACATATTGTGTTTAAAAGTGTAGTTTTATCCACATCTACAGCAGCGTCACATCTAACCAGTTGTGATTAGATCACTGAAAACATTTTTATAGCGGTTAAAAACAGGGGCTCTGATCCCTTTCTGTTTCTGTGCAATGGATTGTGTTAGGGATGGGGTTGTTGGGTCAGTTGCAGACAGTGTGGTACAACCTAGAAATAGACTTACCTGAAATGGTTTTCCAGGAGCATAGCCAAGATGAATCACCCTCTCCCAGCCCAAAGCTCATGCGTCATCCTGAATTATGGAGATAAATGTCAAGATGTCACTGTCAGGGTCCCACATTATTAATTCCTGATTGCCTCCATCACCCAGTTTAGGGGTCCAGCTGCTTTTTATTTCTGGCACTGTTTTATTTTCAATGACTTACATTTAAATTCATCCCTCTTTAGGTATCGGTGGGTTTATGGTGCGTCAGAGAAGCAAGGCAGGACAAGGAAAAGGCAAGCGGTCTCTCAGCCGGAAAGACTCCACAAGCTCGCTCACAGAGAACCTCACGGGACGGGATGATGGTAGGATCATCTCAGGTTCTGATCCATTTTTTAGTTTGGCGAATTCTGTAAGTTGTTGCATCAAGTAAATCTTTTTTACACCAGGTTGGAATGAACCAGACACTCCTGTGGACGGAGCTCCTCCTATCATTAGTGAGCCCCTGGAGAAAGTCAAGAAAAGATATAGGAAGAAAAAAACCAAACTCGAGGAGGCGTTCCCTTCGTATCTACAGGTCAGTGTTTCTTAAACTGTAGACTTTAGGGCCAATCATGCTGGTTGTTTAAAATCTCCAACACAAAATAAATCATGAATAATGACTAAATAATAGATTAAATCAGGGGTTTTCAACCTTTTAAGACACCCCCCCCCCCCCATGTTTGTTCAATTTCACTTACCTATGTTAGTGCCATTGTTTGTGTAAACAGTGCAATCAAATTATTACCGTCTTGTAGGACTTTTTGCTGTCATGAAAGGTAACATCAGCTATATGAACCAAAATCTTTCATTGTTGCAGGCTGTAAACACCTTTTTTTGTGCTGTAAAGTTATGATTTTAATATTCATTCATTCATTTTCTTTTCGGCTTAGTCCCTTTATTAATCCGGGGTTGCCACAGCGGAATGAACCGCCAACTTATCCAGCTCTTGTTTTATGCAGCAGATGCCCTTCCAGCCGCAACCAATCTCTGGGAAAAAGTTTACCAGTAGGGTCAATAGTAATTTGCTCTGTTATGGAGCCAGGACTAGTGGAATTTTGATAAATTGCAGTTTCTGTTACTTCCATATTAGCTTCACAAGTGCAAGCGGGAGATTGCTGCTTGAAAAAATATGACTTATTTGTAGAATATAAGCTATTTAAAATATACAGGGTATTTAGAAATTGTACGTACACTTGTTTTCTTCAAAAATCTAGAGTGTGCCTCACATGTTGTTTATAATGTTCAATCCGGAACATTATTGTTAACACAAACCAGATGAATACATTTGAAATAAGTGTAATAATTTAGATAAGTGTCTTCTGACTACTGGTTTACTTTGAAAACATAAGCATTCCTGTTAGGACTTGTTATGTGAATAATGAGATGTAGTGGTCGTTTCAACAACATGTTGCATGAATGCTTTGTGTGAAGATGCATTAACTATTATAGCTGTCAGTTTTTTAGTTTGTCAAACCTGAAAGTTCATCACCAGAGGAATGTTTTGAATCAATGATTTAAACTCCAGCCCTTTAGGCAGCATTGTGTTTTATTTTATTTCATTGATAGTTTGGGATTATTAGATATTCTGAATTAAACGTGGCAGCATCTTGGCATTTAAACCATTTACAAAAGTCACTTTAAAAATGAGGTTCACTAGACCTGTGTTTTCCAACCCTGTTTCTGTAGCAGACCAACAGTGCATATTTTAGGTGTCTCTCTATCTGACCCATTCATTTTAGGTTTTAGAGTCTCTTCAATTTACTGATGAGTTGATTCAGGTGTGTTTGATTAGGAAGAGGTTGAAAATGTCTTATGTTGGTGTGTCTTTAGGAACAGGGGTGGGAAACACTGCTTTAGACGGAAAAATATCATACTTAGAGTAACCAGAAAAGTCATTTAGCAATGCTGTAGCAAATCCCATAATGCTAGAACTCCATAGCAAATGCATAGTGCTTCTTACATGCAGCTATTATTTTATGTGCTTCTGATGGTGTATTGCTAGTGACCGCATCATTAACATGTTCATGCATTTGTTACAGGAGGCATTTTTTGGGAAAGAACTTCTGGATAAGAGCAAGCAGACCAAGTCAGCTTTGGAAACAGGAGCTGTGGAAGAAGCCAGTCATACAGACAGCAAATCACAGAGCAGCAGCTTCCTAGACCCTTTATCTGACCCGCTTCTGAGCGCCACCTCCACTCCAGTCTCATCTAAAGCGGGGACACTGCGTATGTACAATATTATTTAGAAACGCACATAGAAAAATAGTGCTGAATCATCTCTATCTGTATTCATGTTGACACATATTTACCAAATAGATTCACGCAGTCCTGTCTAAAGATCTTTTTCACTTTAAGTTGCCTTTGATTATATTTTTTTTCCTGCGCTCTGACCCAACAGGTAATATTTTCTTGCTCTCGCCTGCAGTGAATCCTGCAGGGAGGTATAATGCACATTATCACTGTACTTCCAGCTTTCCCTTCTGCACACACTGAATGCATCACACAACCCAACAGCATTGCTGAATCTTACCGTGTATTTCCAGTACAATGCATTAGAGACTGTCTCAGTTGTTTTTGCCACAGGAACTAAAAGAAGCTACAGTGTACAAATGAACTTTTTTTTTTTTTTTTTTGCCCCCATGTGCTCATTTTTTTGTCCTCTTCAGCCTTTATTTGCATACTCTTATAGGCTGAAGGGCTTGTTCAGACACCTCATTCTTCACCATTTCTCTTTATCCTCAGTTCTGTCAACCCTCATTTACACCCAGTCCAGCAGACCTCTGCTCACAGCCAACCTAAAATGTTTTTAAAACCCAATTCGCCAGCACTTTTTCTGAATTCCCTGTCGAAGCTCTCTGGGAGGATAGGAAGCTGGCAGTCACTGTGCAGTGTTTAGAAGGCTTGTGCGTATTCGTTTGTAGAGCAATCACAAAGCTATTTGAAGGCTTTCAGGGCCGTTTGTTTGTCCTTAGAGATTTTCATCTCCCATAGAGCAAAGCTCCTCTCTCTGCTCTGTAGAGTCTCCTATTTAACTCTTTCATAGCTTGGTAGTCTTGAAATAAGTGTATGATTTGGAATTTTGTTATGCATGTGTATGTATTTATTGAAAGTTACTGAAATTTTCTGTGTCAAAATTATAAAAAATTATATATTTTTGATATTTGGGTGGGCGGTATGACCAAAAAAAATCTAATATATAACACAATATTCCAGATGAGGATGCAATTGTCATTAAAAAACATTTTATTTGTTAGGCCTTAATTTTTTACCCTTTGGGTTTAAGATGAATATAGCAACATGAGCAGTTTTGTTTAAGTAACATTTTACTAGTGAGCTTGCTTCAAGGTTTACTGTCTACATACAGTGTATACAGGGAGAATTCATAAAGCGTCACTTTTTCACAATTTATTGTTACGGCCTTATCCAAAATTCATTATTTTCCACAGAATTCTACATACAATACCTGCATAAATAATGACACTGTGAAACAATGTTGTTTATACTCAAAAATCACACGTACATACCTGTAAGTATTCCCAGATCTGGGAAAGAGTACATACATTTTACCTTATTGAGGGTCCCAATGAGCACAGTGGCCATCATCTGTAAATAGAAGAAGATTGGAGCAATCAGGACTCATCAAAGCGCAATGAAGGTGACCAAGAAACTGATGGTGACTCTGAAAGAGGTCCAGCATTTTTCTCTGAAGAGAGGACAACCACTTCTCAGTAAAAAGCACATGATGACCTGCCAATAGTTGCCAAAGGCACCAGAAGGACTCTCAAACCCTGAGAAACAAAACTTTGTGGTCTGGTGAAACAAAGTTGAACTCTTTGTCTGGAGGGATCCAGACACCGCTTATCCCCTGGGAGATACCATCTACATAGAGAAGCATGGTGGTGACAGCATAATGTTGTGGGATATTTTTCAGTAGCAAGAACTTGGAGACTAATAATGATTGAGGGAAACCTGTTCCAGAGAGTTCTGGACCTCAGATTCTGGAAACCGATCATCTTTTATCAAGACAATGACCCTAAGTGTAATCCTAAATGGCAACTTTCTGCATGGGAGTCGGTTGCTCTACCAAGAAAGCTAAAGATCATGGCCTCTAACTTCTGTCAATAGAGCACCTTTGCTCAGAGGAGTGAGGTTTACCTGCACAACACTTCACTAGCTGGCCTCTGCTACACTCACCCCCCTAAACCTCACTCCCATCACGTCACCAATGTAGCCCTGCCGGTCTTACACCACCTAACCTGCTCCGAGCTGAGATCAAACTGGCAACTTTCCACGCAGAAGTCAGTTGCTCTACCAAGGAGGCTAAAGACCTTGGCCTCTAGCGTCTGTCACTGGGCACCTTTAGAGGTCAGAAGAGTGAGATTTACCTGCACAGCTCTTCACTAAATGGCCTCTGCTACACTCACCCCCCTAAACCTCACTCACATCCGGGTCACGGCACCAGTTTAACAATGCCGGTCCTAGCTGGGATCAAAATGACAACTTTCCGCATGGAAGTCGGTTGCTCTAACAAGGAGGCTAAAGACCAAGGCCTCTAGCGTCTGTTGGTTTACCTGCACAGCACCTCACCAGCAGACCTCCGCAACATAAGCACACAGCCAAGATAACAAAAGAGCAGCTACCAGATTATTCTGTAGATGTCTATAAGTGGCCCATCCAGTGGCCAAATATGAACCCAATTGAACATCTCGGGAAAGATTTTAAAACAGCTGTGCACTGACACTTCCCATTTAACCAAAAATAGATGTGCAAAGCTTGTGCCATCATACTTGAGGCTGTAACTGTTTCTTCTAGATCTGCACAGATCCACCCATCCATCTTCTGCCACTTATCTGCAGTCTCAGAAGGGTACCCTAGACTTCCCTCTAGCTATATGCTTTCTCCATGTCCTCCGGGGAGCTCTGGTATTGATCCTGTATGAATACTGATGAAGCAGTAATGTTTGTAGAATTTTGAGGAAAACAATGAGATGAATCTATTTTAAAATAAGGCTGTAACAGCAAAAGTGGAACGCTGGGTTTTGTACTGACAGAAATTGCACTGTTGTTATCAACCATCGCACAGCATACAGAATACGTCTTACCGCCCAGCCTTTGGTGAGATTTAATCAGGGGCACTTGGTGGTTCATATGGATGCTTGTGCTCAGAAACACCCTTGTCTTCTTGATCTCCAGCCAATGTGGAGGATCCCTTAACCGAGCTGGTTCTACATTCAGATGATGATCTCCTGGGAATGCTGTCTGATGACCTGGTGAAGCCAGGCCATGAATCAGGTATATTTAGCCCCCAAGATCTGTCTGCAGGATAGTCTCCCCTCTATTTCCCTTCTGCAGATGCACTAACAACCCTAGAAAGGTCACCTGCAATCATGCGTCATCACAAGTGCATTTCCTTTTTTGCTTTAAAATTACACACTTGCATTTCACATTCTGCTTGCTTTGCTCTGTTTATTTTTGGTGTTTTAGCGTCATCCTCCTTTTTCGTTGTACTTTTATGTATACATTGTTTTATAATTATTTGGTTTTATCTGGTTTGGGTTCTTGTAGGTCTTGATTTATGCCCTTTCCAGGTGGACAGTTCCCCCTCTCCATTCGGTAAGAGCTCTATTGGCACAGCCCCTCTGGCTGTAGAAGTAGAACTGCCCCCTCTCCTGGCCTCTCGGCCCCTAAACGGGCAATCAGACTTTTTGTAGTGCCGATTTCTGCATGATCCCTTTTCCAACACACACACACACACTTACACTCAAACTTCTATGTGGCTTCCTGCTTCTGTCTTTTTACTAACCACAAACAAACAAGCAGCATGTTTTCTTGCACATGACCTTCTGTGAGTTGAGAACTAAACTGTCTTTAGATGGATGCTGGGTTTGGCTTCTGCTGTACCTTAGTTGGCAACCGTGCTTGTTTGCAATTTCTGACATTCGAAGTGTGTTTGAAATGTTCTGTATGTAGTCCTTTTTAATTTTCTCCAGGGTCTAATTTGATAATTTTATTTATTCATAATTGCCAGCTTTTAAGTTGGCAAGGACACATTCCCTTCTCTCAGTGGAATGGCCTTGCTGTGGAGAAACTAGTGGTGTTTTATTAGTGATGTAACTGCTTCAGTGTGAAAGCAAGTTCTAAAGGGTTACAGAACAAAGTTGCACTGCTCGGAGTTTCACTTTAATGCGTAATATACAGTAGTGGCATTAGAGGATGTGTTATGTTAGGAGGGGGTAAATCCAGCAGTTTAACGACAGCTAATTTTTCTATGTTCATTAAAGAAGAAAAAAAAACTTATATTATAGATAAAAAGAGACAAGGATGTGGGTTGAGCAAAGAAATTAGAGAATAAAAGGAAACAGAACAGTGCTTGATTCTACTGCCCTTGCTGCTGAGGTTTTTGTGGTTTCTAATTCAAATTTACCCGTTTCATTCTTTGTGCGCGAGACCTGTCTAGACAGACTCAGGCCGTACTCACACTAGGTACAGTTGCCTCGAACCGGGCCAAAGCACGCTTGTCCCCCCTCCCGTCTCCCCCGACGGCCCGCGCTCACACCACAAACGGGCCTCGCCACGCTTACGTCATCGCTACTGCACTGTTCAGTGAGAAGCGCTCTCTCACTCAGCAGCACAGTAGAGATTTCTCTAGTTATATCGTTTCAGTCGTTTGATATGCCGTCCAATATTTCGCCAAACAGTCCTTAGGGATGCGGGGACACGCAGTCAGATATTTCGCCGAACAGATCCGCCACTTTTGGCGCTCATAAACAATGATAAAGCTCTCGTGCTGCAGGAATGAGGAGGTCTGCTGAAGGCGCGCAGCTGTCGAGCAGTGAGGGGTTTGCGTCTTTAATAAACTACGGCAGTTTGCGTTCACTGAACAGTAAGAATGATTAATAAATCCATATCAAACAGTCCCTTTAAAAGTTACGTCTCGCTTTTAGTTTCGGGCCAAGTGAACCGGGCTCAGGCACACCTCTTCCAACCGGGCCAGGGCCGGCCAAGTGAACCGTGCTTGAGCCCGATTCAGCGCACTCACACTTCTCAAACGATCCGGGAAACGGGCCTGGGCACGGTACGGATGGCATAGTGTGAGTAGGCCCTCAGTCTCACATGCTCTGCAGACCCACAGAGACCCGCCTGGGACTGGGAAATTTGTCCAGCCCGGGTTTCGAAATATCCTAAAATGTCTGGGATTCAGCTTTTACTTTCGCTTTCCAAAGCTCATGAGCGTTGCATTAGCTTTTAACTGAAGCCTACTTTCGCTCGGCTTCGCAGCAGACTGAGCACAAGCATTCGCGAGAGCGAGAGAAGCATTCAATAATTCATTTTTTTATCTAAACGATTTAGAAAAACTTTAATATATACTCAAAGTGGACAAAATGACTGGTCTAAACTGGCTGCAAAATATGTGTACATCTTTAGTAATGGTTAATCAACACATTTTAAATTTTTGCCTCATTTAAATCTACAAGTTTTTAAATTCTTCATTTAATAATTATTATTAATATAATATATTAATATAATAATTAATTACAATTATTTTTAGAGATATTGTCTTGCTTTATTCCTTTTTTTCTTTCATTTATTTCTCATTCGCAAATTATTTTATTAATTTGATGATGTTAATATATTACAGGGGCTATTTTATATACATATCTAAAATTCTTCGGCGTTCAAGTTTGCTTTGAACTTGAAAGAGAGAGAAGCAGATTTTACCTGTCGGTGGGTGCACATGGCTCCTGAATAGCATAAAACAGGGTTTCCGCGAGGTCTTAATGTCTTAAATCCCAAAATCTAAATTTAACTCATTAAAAAGACTTAAATTTGGTGCAGTATTGTGTTGTAGGTATTGAATCTTTTTTTAAGCAGGTCTAAATTTTAATTTGTTCAGGTATTGCTACCCGATCTGGCCAAAACCCATACAATCACCAACAATCCATTTCAGTAAAACCTTTAACTCTTCATTTAAAAAGGTCATTTTTAACTGTATGTATCATAATGCTTTAATTATTTTAACATTTGTTTAAAAGTGCTCCACGTATTTACTGCTGAGGACACCAACCTGGACAGATTGTTGTGCGTAGATTTAGTTTATCCTAAAACAATGGTTCATTTTTATTTATTTATAATTTTTTTTTTTTGAAGAAAGTTTACGTTAGAAGAAAAATTATATGAATACAAGCTTGCTTGTTTTTACACAATATTTAAAATATTTGCTAAGAAATTCTTTATTATTAATGTATTATTGTATTATTAAATGTATTAAATTATATTATATTTTTTGATAGGACTTCTGGCCATTTTCATCTGGGCCATTTGAAAAAATCCTTAGCCTTTAGTCCTTTATGAGTCTAAAATTTCAGTCATAATGGTCTTAAAAATGTCTAAAGTCTTAAATTTAACTTGGTGAAACCTGCAGAAACCCTGATAAAAGTAAGAGAAATATTTGATTTCTTTTTTTATTTCAACAGTCTTTTTTACTTAAACCCATTGAAAAGAAACAGTTTATAACAGTGTCATAATAAATTAAAATATTGTTCAAAATTAAATTATGTTTTTTGTGTCGCATATAGTTAGCTATTTGTGTGATGTGGGTAAATGGTGTTTCAATTCAGCTACCATCGAAAGTATATTTCAAACCTATGGGAAGCTTAAAAAGTTGCATCTCTGGCATACTTTTTTTGCAAGCCTTGTAATATCGCTCTCACAGACACCATGGTAAATTACATTTCTGTGGTGTTAACGCAACCGAGGTCACATTGGGTTGATATGACTTAACAACTTTTGAAAGTGGAACAAGAAGTTTAAGTCAAGCCAAAATTAATTGTTATTAGTCTAAATCCAGCAGAACAGCGAAGCTTCCTAAAGCACAGTGGCTGACACTTTGATGTTGGTGACAGCGTTTTTATGATTAGTCATTGCAGTTGCTTGCTCTTTCATTGATTTAGCTCTCGTATGTTCTACTGAAAAATTATATCATGCAATGATGAATGAATTTCTATTTTAAAAAGACTTTTTCACACTAACTTGAAGTAGCACTACTAACTAAGTTTCTGTTTTTCTTAGAAAATGTGAAATAAAAGGAGGAGGACATCGTCTTTCCCCTCCTTATTTTACCATGACATTAAAAATCAGTCCTCAGTCCTCCCCTGTGCCTTATCTCCACAAAGACGCTGCAGAAAATAAATTGCTTATCAACTCTGATTTAGGCGTTTACAGAATGACAGCTCTGTTTTCATGCAGTTTTTTGAAGTGTGTTCAGTAGAGCTGGGAAACAGAGTTTGAGACTAGCTGTTTAACTTCTCTTCCCTCCAGCTGGTTTAGACATTGGCACCCTGCCAGATGATCAGTCAGTTCCCCCTCATCCTGGCCCTGCTCGAGGATCTCGACTACAGGAAGAACCTCTGGACGTAATACTGAGCCCTGAGCTGGATAAGATGGTTTCTGATGGTAAGACTTAAAGGTTGCTTGCACTTTGCTATTAGAACTTTAGAAATATTGGCTGAAAACAATTGCTTTGTTGTTCTCACACACTTGATAGATTGCATACAGTTGAAATCAGAATTATATCTCTGAATTATTAGCCCCATGCAAATGTTTCTCCCGATTTCTGTTCTGTTATTTCTAAACATAACTGTTTAAATAATTAATTTCTAATAGCTAATTTCTTTTATTTTTGTCGTGATGACAGTACATAATATTTTACTAGATATTTTCAAGATACTAGTATTCTGCTTAAAGTGACTTTTAAAGGCTTAATTATGTTAAGTTAGGGTGTTATGATTAAGTTATGATGGTTTGTTCTGTAGACAATTAAAAAGAACTATAGCTTAAGGGTGCTAATAATGTTGACATTAAAATGCTTTAAAAAAAAATTAAAAACTGCTTTTATTCTAGCCGAAATAAAACAAATAAGACTTTCTGCATAAGAAAAAATATTATCAGACAAACTGTCAAAATTCTTTGCTCTGTTAAACATCATTTGGGAAATATAAAAAAAAAAAAAAAAAATTCACAGAGGGGCTAATAATTCTGACTTCACCTGTATATCGCATACATAAACTTTGTAGTTTTAGCACAGCTATCTGGTATTATAAATAATAATTTTCGCAACAGCTTTTTTCGCCTGCTGTTAGTGGTTATCCTTTACATTATATTAATAACAGTAAGTAATTGTTATATGCAATCACTGAAAAATGTTTTGACATTTGGTAAATGGTGGGAAAAAATGCTAAATTTGTTACACCTCCAGTCCTCTAGTCTAACTCTTGTTGTTACTGGGTATGATAATTCTGGTCACCTTTATATTACACTTGATTATGGGTAAAAACTGATCTTGCAATATTTGTTTTTCTAAGATATATATTGGGGTATTCTCTTTACATTTAATAACTGAAAATAATTATTATATGCAATCATTTTAAAATGCTTTGACATTTGATATATGGTTTGAAAAATGCTATTGTGTTACACCTCTAGTTCTTTTACTCTTCTAGTTACTAGGCGTGATAATTCGGGTCACGTTTATATTACACTTTGGGCTGCAGGATATTGAAAAAAATATATTATATTATATATTGCCATATATTGTTTTTCTGAAATAAATATTGCGATATGAATAAACTATATTTAAATAACTCTATGAAGAATTCATAATTTTTGATTGGTATGAAGATTTCATTGCATTAAAGGGCACCTATTTTACCTCTTTTACAAGATGTACAATAAGCCTTTAGTGTCTCCAGAATGTGTCTGTAAAGTTTAGCTTAAAATATCCATCAGATTACTTATTGTAGCCTCCAGAATCTGCCCATTTTGGCGTCTAAATATAGCGTAGCTGTTTTTGTTGCCTGTGGCTTTAAATGCAAATGAGCTGCTTATCATGAGTTACGTCAGATAAACAGCAGTTAGTGACAGATGCAGACACTGATGAAGCTGAAATACAGCTCGTTAGTCAAAAATACTAAGTAAGTTTATTTAATGTAGCTGTGGTGGAGTTTATTCAAGCCTTTCTGAAATGATGAGTCTCACACAAATGCTGTTTGCAGTGTTTACTGACACCATGCAGCCATGGTGATTATGGAGGTTAAGAATTAGATAGCGATTTTAATGTCTTTATTACAGACATGCTCTGTAATAAATATTTGAATCTCAGTTTATTTGCAAAAAAATTGTTCTGTGGACATGTTGATGCATGCTATTATAGAAGCATGGCACCTGTCAATCTATTCAGTGGGTGGGGAAAACTGCACTCCCCTGTCACGTTGCAGGGGGCCTTAAAATCTCTGGGATTTGGATCCTAATTTAACATCAGGAAAATTTTAAATAGATACTTGTTGGGTTTATTTCACTCCAGTATGACAGTAGACACACTATACCTACAGACAGTTCTGTCCAAACAGCTTGCAAAGATGATTTTCATCATAGGTGTCCTTTAATAATTAAATAATTTTTTTTCTTTTCTTGAAAATTAGCTTGAAATCTGACATAGTCACAAGCCTTAAAAATATGTCACTCTATTAGGGTTTTCTGTTCTTTTCTGGTTAATTCTAATCCAAAATCGACATACAGATCCTGCAATTGGGCTATTGTAGATGCACACGATGTGATAGTGATGTTGAAACAATATATTGTGTAGCTCTACACTTGATGTTTGTTTTTGTGTTAATGGCCTGCTTTTTTTTGCTTCCTTACAGGGGCTATTCTGAGTAAGCTCTACAAAATCCCAGGTTTGTTGTTTCTTAGAATATATATTTCTTTACTTTGTTTTCTGACATTTTTACCTATGTAGAAAAGTCAATATAATTTCTTGCAAGATTTCTCAGCAAATAAAGTATACAATTCTATTACTCTTAACATTTTCCATTAACCATTTGAGAATACGTTTAGATTTTTACATCATATTTATTCCATTTAGAACTGGAGGGTAAAGATGTGGAAGACTTGTTCACAGCAGTTCTCAGTCCAAACGCCAGCCAGCCGCCTCAGCTTCCTCACCCACCCAACACTGCCCCCAACGCCTCAGCACCAGCAATGTCTCTCCAGAACCAAGGTTTGAAGATGCCAGCATTAAGTCCTAATATTAACAGCTAAGAGAACCAGACAGATGTTTTTTGTTTCTGCACTTATAACTTATCACACATGAACCTGGCTCAGCTGATTTTGAGAGTTTGTGTTTCTCTGTGGTGTCGTTTGCAGGAGGTGTTGGTGGAATGTTCCCACGCATGCCTATGATGAATGGCATGATGGGGCCAAACACCCACTTTCCTCCGAACCCTATGATTCCTGTAGCTGGAGTCTCTGGTACATTCTCTTCCGTTCACCGTATGCCTTTTCCAGAAAATGTCAGGTGAGTGGATTGGTACAGGCATTTCTTTTTAAACACCTTAGCATTTCAGTGGCTGAAATGAAAGACAGTAAATGGACTGATGTGTCACCATAGGGAGAACTACAAATGTGTAAGTCAGGCATTTTTTGTTTTATTTTCGGAAATATCATTGATATTTGTTTGTCATTAAAGTTAGCACCTCCTATTTATCAAAAGTCCATGTTATTGTGGCAAAAAATGACTGATTTGGCACTTTGTTGTAAATAATTTATATTTTGCTGTAAAATATATGCAGAAATGTACAGATCTTTGCTCTTCATTACTTTTTTGATCTGAAGAACCATTTATCTCTGTAATTTATATAAAGGAGACACTGAGAGAAACTAAATGATGAAAGTAAACAATTGTTAAAATAATAAAAGCATGAGGAAAATCATGTTAAAATTTTACATTTTAATGGTTGATTCAACGAACGTAGCATTGTTGAAAATAGGCTTTGAGGTTTTAATTCAATAAAAAAAAACATTTATTTAGACACCAAAGGCTTCTTTAGATATCTTCTGCTCCCGCAACATTTCTGTCAGAACATTAAAAAGACGCTAATGGTGATACAAATAAGAGTTAGAAGAATAACTATCCATTATAACTAGTTAATAGTCCATTTCTAAACTGTTAGTTAATGAGTTATAAATGACTTGTTAAATAAAAGGTAATAGTTTGTTAATTATTTATAACTGTGCCTTATAGATGACCAATAGATAACTCACAAGCTGTTAGTTAACAAGTTTTAAATGACTTGTTAACTGTATTTTAATGATTTTATAATTATACCTAATAAATTAGTAATTGATCATGAACAAGCTGTTGATAAATTACTTACTAAAGACCTGTTAATTATCAGTTAATAGTTTAGATATGTTATTGGGACGTTTTTATAATTGCCACTATTCTTCATTTATTAACTGTTAGTAGATAAGGAATAGTTGCAGCTAGAATAACGACTCAATAACATACATAAGCTATCAACTAACACTTAACTAATATATTGACTCACACTTAAGTCATTTATAACTCATTAAATCACAGTTTATTAATGATCTGTTAGCTAGTTATAATGGATAGTTAATCTAAAGTGTTACCGAGTTGTCTACAGGTGGTCCAATTGTTCTCCTCAGCTCATATGGCTGAACCAATGTCAAAAACTATAGTTAAATTATATACGGAGCTCAGCATAATTGAGTACACCCCATTTGATTCATTTCTCAGTGAATATAGGCAATGCATTTAAACAAAACAGATTTATTAAACAGATATATTTAGTAAAATGAATAGAAATTGAAAGATAATAGAATTAAATTCGACCAATATGTTGCAAAAATAAATTACTACCTACAAAATTTCAACAATTTTTTTTTTGCTTCTTTTGATTTTTCCTCTTTTTTTTAAGTTTGTATTTAATATTTTTCTGTAAAATATAAATTAGGTTTTACTAGTTTTTAGACCGTTATTGTAAGTTATTTTTTTAGATAAGCTCCAGATTTGGCTTCAGTTCTGACTAATCTAATGTATGTGCGCAAATATAATGTTGTATAGCTTCCTATTCAAAATATGAATTTAAAAGATAGACTTTTGAGGGGTGTACTTAAATATGCTGAGCACTGTAAATCACTGATGGATCTACAAGGGGATTGTTCTCTGTACATTAAAGTACGATGGGAGAAAGAGAGTGGTATCCTAATCTCAAATGAAGATTGGCTAAACATATGTAAATTAAAATGGGCTACTTGCCGTTTTTCGTATTGGAGAGAATGTTGCCGGAGAAATATTATTTGTTTTTTCCATAAATGTAGTTTCATGGGTACTCAAATTGTTGGAGGCATTGCAGACCACATGACGCTAACCATTTTCACATATTTTAGGGATGTCTTAATATTAGAAGTTTTTGGAAAGGGTTGCATAGCATTTTAGGAATTGATTTCAGCTTTGAGGTACTTTATTTAGGTATGCTGTCAATAGATTTCTTGGAAAAAAATAAATAAATATATGCATCCTATGTACTCATAATATATGAGTCATCCTTGCCTCAAGTAAAAAAAAAACCCATTACTAAATGCTGATATAAACCTAATCCACCACCAATGCAAGATTTGATTGATGTTTTGACAAATATACTCATTATGGAGAAAATTACATACAACCAAAATATACTAGTGTTGACTTGTGGTTTAAATGAATTAAGTACATTACCCCCAGTTTCTTCTCTTAAATATGTAGGCATTGTAGTAGTAAAATGTTTACATCTTGGAGAGATATTAATACATTGATTTTACAAAGTACAGGTATAACAAACTTTCTGGATTTTCACATAAGACGTGGTCACACAGAGGATTAAATGAATGAATATTTAGATTTTTGTAGATCGTGGTTTGGTTTATTTGGGTTGGAAAGGTTTTGGGTAATATGTTAATTTATCTAATGGATCTATCATTGTTTAGATTCTTTCTTCGTTTAATTGTCTGTTATTTCTCGCTCTATTTTTGGTCCTATTTGTTGAACACCTGAGTAGGTTTTGGTTTATAAATGTTTTTGTTGTTGCATTTTCTGTTTATCATTAAACATTGTGTGGGATCATGTGACCTCTTATAGTATAAAGAGTGACATATTAATGAGGTGCAGGTTGTCTGATAAAGAGTCAGTGTGCTCTTCAGTCACAAGCTATGTGATGTGAAGTTTTGGTGCCTTTATATATATATATATAATTTTTTTTTGATTGAGCACCCATGAGATTGATGTGCATTCTTTTGTTCATTTTTGGTCACTATAGGGAGAAGAAATTCAGCCAGACAAGTGGTGATGTCATTGGTCCTTGGTCATCTCCTGTACCTGTGCCTGGATCAGTCCCTCCACCAGAGGTGGAGACTGACACCATGTCCAATGCTCAGAGGAGCACATTAAAATGGGAGAAAGAGGAAACTCTTGGTGAAATGGCTACTGTTGCTCCTGTGCTTTACACCAATATGAACTTTCCAAATCTTCAAGATGAATTTCCAGGTGAATGGACTGTCTTAAAACACATCCAATAGAAATTCAAAATTGAAATCGAGTCAAGCTACAGACCAACCATCTGGCTTTTTTTCACAGATTGGGCAACTAGAGTGAAGCAAATTGCTAAGTTATGGAGAAAAGCAAGCTCTCAGGAAAGGGCACCTTATGTGGTAAGAAACTATTTCACTAAGCTTCATCAAAGGTAAATGTGTATGAAGAGTCCCATTTTAATGTGTGCAGTACTTTAACAGAGATTATTTTATATGAATGGAAAACATGTTTATGTAAAATTAACCAACAATATTAATCTGACCTGTTCTCATGAAAGTAAAAATGTTGATATTTAAATATTAGATAAATATTTTATATTTAAACATAGTATTTTATATTGCTCTAAATGGGTGAAATCAGTTTTTTCAGCCTTGCGTCAGTATTAAACATTCCTAATCCATATATATAGATGCTTCATTGAGATAGATAAATGTAGTTTTTTTTTTTTAGTTTTTTTTTTTAAGTAAATTAATTTCTCTTCATTGTGTGTCTTTTGTAAATCATAAAAAAAAATAGATTTTTCATGTAAGTGGGTTTTAATGTGTGGTAGCTTTAGGAAAAAATGCATTATATTAACTGTTTTTAGTCTTTGTCCTGTGTATAAATTTTTGCTTTCTCTACCACACTAGCAAAAGGCAAGAGACAACAGAGCAGCCCTTCGTATAAACAAAGTTCAGTTGTCTAATGACACAATGAAAAGACAGCAACAGCAGCAAGCAGTTGAAGTCTTTGATCCAAATGTTTCCATGGACACAGATCTTCTCTTCAAGGACCCGCTCAAGCACAAGGAGTCTGAGCAAGAACAAGAGTGGAAGTTCAGACAGGTGATTGACAGCCCAGGGGATTTTTCTTGTGTTGTGCCAAACGAGTGTCGCAGCATCTGATTTAGACTTTCACCTTGATATAAATTAATGTTAATCAGCACATTATAGTGTTTTATTAGTTATTAGTAGCTATTCAGTAACATCTAGTCCTTTGTCATCAGCTATTTTAGCTCATTTGACAGATTGAAAATGAAACTGCCTGGCTATATTTGCCTCTTAGCCTTTGAGGCATTGTAAATGGAAATAACAGTGCAAGTGAGTGCTTTAAACAATTAAATGGTAATAAAGTACGTTTACAAAGTTTTGGTTGAGGTGCAGCTCAGGCATACATCTGGCAAGACCCAGTAACATATATATGCTGAGAGTTGTGTGCGTGTTATTTAACTTTGTTTTTTTGTTGTTGTTTTTTACGGCAGCAAATGAGACAAAAGAGCAAACAGCAAGCCAAAATTGAAGCCACACAAAAATTAGAACAGGTTAAAAATGAGCAGCAGCAACTTCAGAAACAGCAGCAACAACTGCAATATAGCGGAGACGCATCAAATAGTCCCCATACCAGCAGTGGAGGTAATTCTCCTTTACAAGCATTAACCCCCAAGGATAGCTTTGCAATGACCCAAATGCCTGGAACAGCGTCATCTGGTACATCAGCTGATGATGTATTTCTGCGACCTCAACCTCCACCCCTTTCATCTACATCAAAGACCCCCACCCAGGACACTCAGTACCCACAGGGACCCTCATCTCAGCCTCAGTCTCCTCAAATGTTTTCACCTGAATCATCCGGGTCTCGTCCGTCTTCTCCATATGATCCATATGGCAAAATGGTAGGAACACCTAGGCCACCACCATCTGGGTCAAGCACACCTCGCAGAGGTTCTGTGTCTGACATGCAAGAAAGATGTCGGCCCTCATCAGCTCATGAGTCATTCGGGTCTCCAACAACCACTAGCACTGACCCATATGCAAAGCCTCCAGATACACCTCGACCTTCAGATCCATTTGTGAAACCTATGTGTACTCCAAGACTAGGGTCATTATCTGAGCAACAAGGTCGACAATTGATGGGGAATGTCACTCCTGGAGACAATTTTTCCAGACCAGGCCAAAGGTCAGAAGCATACCAGCGCATGGCCCACAGCCGCATGGTTCTCTCTGACCCCTACTCTAGGCCGCTGTTAACACCTGTTCCTGGGAGTAATGAGTCTGGATCTGTGCCAGTGTTCAAAACACCCATGCCTCCTTCCGGTTTACAGCAAGATTCATTCAATGGAGGTCAGCAAGGCATGAGAAGGGGGTCATCTGACACTTTCCCTCATGTTCAACATACTGACACTTATTCAAATCAGCCTCTCACACCACATCCATCAATGGCAGATGGTATCAATAATGAGGGCAGAATGATGCGCCCAGGACAAGGGAGTCATTTTGCTCAACCTTTGTCCATGGGCAGGCACCCTCAACGAGATCCATATTCGCAGGCACCCTCTACACCAAGACAAGACTACCCTCAGCAAATGTCTGATCCATATGCCCAGATGCCTGGTACACCACGACCACATGATCCATATGCCCAGATGCCTGGTACACCAAGACCAAACTGTGATCCATATCCACTGCCACCACCCACAACTCGAACAGAACCAATTGATAAGTTTTCTCAGTCTCAACCTAGCAGTCGCAGACAGTCTCCTTCACATGCTATTGATCCATATGCTCAGATGCCAGGTACTCCTAGGCCTTCTCCTGGAGAAAGATACTCAAAATCTCCAGGTAGTCTGAGAAGCTCAGATCCTTTCTCACAACCTCCTGGAACTCCTAGGCCAATAAAAAATGAAATTTATGATCAACAAGGAACACCAATGCCCATTCTTCCTGACCCTTATTCTCAACCCCCTGGCACACCTCGTCCAGGAGCTGGCCTAGAAGGCTTTTCCAGACTGAATCCCAGGTTGAATTTCATAACCCATCAAACGGATCCACTTGGACTTCAAGCACAAAGTAGAACTCAGGACCCTTTTTCTCGTTCCTGTGGCACTGATTCTCAAACTCCAAAACATCCTGGGATTTCAGATGAAAATATCTCCATACAGCAGACAATTCCTAACCAGACACCCATTCATGATCCATTTGAACAAGCACCATTAACCCCATGTTCACAAACAGGAGAGAGATCATCACAGGATGTTATAGTAAGCACAGGGAACCCATCAGATTCGCAAAACACAATGCAGCCACCACTTGGAGAGACTGAAGAAAAAATTAAACAGGTCTGGAAACGTTCTCTTCCGATAGACAATTGTATCCTATTCCTTAAATCTCTGTTATGCATTTTAAAAACATGTTATTGATTGCATGCTTTAATTTTTCTTTTCAGCGCCAAAGACTACGACAGTTAATTCTTAAACAGCAGCAAGAGAAAAGTGCAATAAGAAAGGAAAAGGGACTGCAGGAGGCAACTGCTTCTGCTGCACCTGGGACTCCAAGACATTGGTCACAAGATGATTCTGGTCCTCAGAGTGATATTTTTGGTAGACCCCCACCTCCATATCCAGGTACTATGAGATCTTCACCAATTCACGCTGGACAAAGATTTCCTGGAACTTTTCTTGCTGATCAATGTGGACCCATGCCTAATGAACCCCAGTGCTCCAGACAACCATTCCCCAGAGACCTAAACAATGTTGGCATGAGACCGCAAGGACAAAGGTAATTGTTTTTCTTTTATCAACTGTATCAATTATTATCAAACTTATACATTTCATGTTTAAAATGTCTTACTATATTTTACAGATTTGCATTTCCTCCTGGAGCTCCAAACCAAGAACAGTTTCTCAGGCCCCCACACCAGATGCAAGGTGGCCCATTGGTTGACAATGTTCCACCACATATGAGGCGACATCTCTCTGTTGAAGGTGTTAGGTCGATGGGTAATAATCATCAAATAGGCCTTCCCCAGCATTTTCCACCACGTGGCATTCCAATGCAGCAACATAATATAATGGGTCAACAATTTATTGAACTTTGCCACAGGGCTCCAGAGAACAGAGTCAGACTACCTTTTGGCCCACCTAATGTTTTGGATTATCCTAATCACCCCCAAAGGCAACCCCATGGCTTCACAGGAAATATGGTATTTACAGGGAACCAAGGTCCTAGATTTATTGAGCCGTTGTTAGGTCAGCCACGACAAGAATCAATCAGTCACTTGCAAACTTCTGCTAATATTGATAATCTGCATCATAATACTACACAACAGCAGACACCACTGACAGCACAAGTTAGCCATTCAGTCAGAACTGATTCAGTTACTCCTGCCGAATCTCCACTACACCCTGACACAACTTCAGGTTCAACAGAGGAAATTCCACTGCCTTGTAGGGATGGTGTTGAGAAGCTAGAAACTGATGACTCTGTTGTGAAGGACCTTGATGATGTTGAGGTCAAAGATTTAGTTGATGATGACCTGGACAATCTGAACCTTGATGCAGATGATGGCAAAGATTTAGACCTGGAAACAAATGACCTTCACCTCGATGATCTTTTGGAATCTGGAAAATTTGATCTTATTGCTTATGCAGATCCAGAGATGAACCTCGAGGACAAAAAAGATATGTTTAATGAAGAGTTGGATTTGAGTGATCATATAGATGATGAACATGGGGATACCTCAGACCTTCAGAAAGCCTTATCTGAAAAAAGAAATGCCAGGTGTGAAGGTGGCTCAGCTCAGTCTACATTAGAGGGTGAACAAGGTCTTAATATTCTCAAACCAGAAAAGACTCTATCAAATGAGGTCTTAGATCATTCTCAGTCTGAAATAACTATCAAAACTGAGATCCAAGGTCTTGCAACCTCGGTGGATGATCATCGACCGGCGAGTTCTAAAAGCAGTCAAAATGATGTTTCTGGCCTTTTTGAGGACTCTTGTGAAGATGCACACTGTGCTCCAACACTGTCAAGCTTGATGGTCAAAGAAAAACTAGAGGACACTAGGAGTGAATCCATAATTTCTGCTATACAGGGCGACCCTAATTCCCAGACTAATCTTGACTCAAACATGAGTATGGTGATGCTGCAAGGACAATCTCAAGAGCACAGGATAAAGTCGGGAGTAACAATGGGGCACAGGGTAGATTCAGCTCTAACCCAAGGGACACTTTTAAGTAACTCAAATATGATGCACTCTGGAAACCAACAGGTTCCACTTCAAGGGTTTGGACCTTCACAAGGACAACATATTCATCTAAACATGCCTGCGGTTGGTACACAGCAGCCGGTTCTAATAAACCCCCAAAATCAGCAGGGCATATTCAGTCCTGGCATACCAGTGCAGCAGGGGTCCCTAATGCAACAAAGTCAGCAGAACAGACCTCTTCTTTTGGAGGAACAACCCCTTCTTCTTCAAGATCTGCTGGATCAAGAGAGGCAGGAACAACAACAGCAAAGGGATATGCAGGCCATGATTCGACAACGGTCAAGTGACCCATTCTTTCCTAACATTGGTAAGGCTAAACTCTTCTTAAAGTAATTGATAATTCACCCTGTTTTAGCTGCATTGTCAGTAAATTGGTTTAATCATGACTTGATGTCTGTGCTATCAACCAGCTCTTACCTTACAATCATGTCTGTATGCATATCATATTGGCTTGTAAGCTTAATTATTTTGAATGTTGGCTTTAATTTTGTACATTACAGTATATTATAACTCCTGAAGCATTCTTGCATGTTTGAAATGTAAATACAAATTTGATATACAATTCACTATGCTGTCATGATTTGTTTAGATTTCGATGCAATTACTGACCCAATAATGAAAGCAAAGATGGTGGCTTTAAAGGGGATCAACAAAGTGATGGTACAGAACAGCATGGGTATGCCACCAATGGTTATGAACAGGTAAATACTTTACTGAGCAGTTACTGTTTTAGTGCTAAAAGCTATTCAATACCCTTACAATTTACAAATGCATAGCTTATATAAAATTATTTATACCTTATATATGTACTATACTTATACCTGATTTCTTTTATCTGAACTTAAATTTCTTAATCTTGAGTACTCCTTATGCTTTTTTTCTTCATGGCAGAATGCAACAGGTTCCAGCATCACATGCCCCAGATACACCTGCTTTTTCACAACCTTTCTTTGGACCGGTATGTTCACTGGTTTATGTAGTCTTACCATTTCTCACCAGCAATAAATATAATTTAATGACGTTGAATTATTTCCTTTAGGATGGAAAGTTGCCACCACAGATTGCTAGACCCACCCCCCCTAATTTTGGGCCAGGGTTTGTCAGTAAGTTTTTGTTGCTGTTGTTATTATAGCATTTTTTCACTAGTTACAAAGTTGTTGTTTATCATTTAGTATCTTTTTATCATTTTAAAAGTAAATAAAATAAAGCTAAACATCCCAAAAATCTGTTTTTTTTTCCCAGATGAGTCTCAAAAAAAACAATATGAAGAGTGGCTTCAGGAAACTCAACAACTTCTTCAAATGCAGCAGAAGTTTTTAGAGGACCAGATTGGAGCCCACAGGAAATCTAAAAAGGCTCTTTCTGCAAAACAGCGCACTGCAAAAAAAGCTGGACGGGAGTTCCCAGAGGAGGATGCGGAACAGCTGAAAAATGTGACTGAACAGCAAAGTGTGGTTCAGAAGCAACTTGAACAGGTATAGTTATTTAATGTTGAACATCTTTAAAATGAACTAGCTAAATAGTTTGCCAACTGTAAAATGTGAGTAGTGTTGAAGCGAACTCAAATTTGGTGATCCCTGATCTAGGGCCTCATTGGAGCCTAATTTTTATTTATTTATAAATATTTATTTTGGGGGGAATTTTTTTATTATGTCTGTTGTTTACACTTATCTTTCATCCTGTTTTTTTTAGATTCGGAAACAACAAAAAGAACATGCTGAGCTCATAGAAGAATATCGTGTTAAGCAGCAACAACAGCAACAGCGTCTCCAAACTGGTATGATGGGTCCAATGAAGACCATGCCTGTAATGCAAGGACAGCCCCCTGGAATGATGCCTGTTGGGCCTCCTATGGCACAGCCTATGATGGGTTCTATGTTGCCCATGCAGCATCCTCACTTCGGTAAGCCTTCTCGCATGCCCAGCATGCCAGGTTGGCATCCAGGTACTACTGGACCAATAAGTGGACCTAGGATGCCACCTCACCTGCCCCCTCAAATGGCACTGCCAAACCCTGCCCAGCCACTCCAGGCACAACCACCTGCTCCTATTGCTCCTGGAGGTAAACCTGGGCAGTCCGGCACTGTAGCAGGTGGGAATGGTGGTGGAGCCAGTAGTAGTGCACCACATGTAAAGTTTGATGATAATAATCCATTCAGTGAAGGCTTCCAGGAGCGGGAACGCCGAGAGCGACTTCGAGAGCAACAGGAGAAACAGAGGGTGCAGCTAATGCAAGAAGTGGAGCGACAAAGGGCATTGCAGAGGCTTGAGCTGGAGCAGCAAAGCTTGGGGCTTGGCCCCGACAATAATGGGGACAGTCTTGCACAGATGCCCTTCTATAATTCTGACCTATCACAAGAGTTCATGCAAACACCCAGGCCTCAGCAGCAACAACAGCAATTGGGCCCATTGTTCCCTCAGCAAGGAAATGTGCCATGTGACTTTGTGGGTCAAGGTTCAGCCTTTATGCAGGGTGGCGAGCACAGGCCGATTCCTGGTAATGGTTCCTTTGGCCCTGAGATGGGTCCTAATTTTCAACCTAAGAACCCCATGATGCCTGGTTTCTCTGCCGGTCGGCCACGTCCACCTGGGTTTGGAGGAACTAGAATGCCACACCACGGTGGAGGTGAACCTTCCTCATTTGGTATGAATTCCACAACCCCTTTACCTCCTAATTTCCCTGGGTCAGGACAGTCTCTCATTCAGCTTTACTCTAACATTATCCCAGAGGAGAAGGGCAAAAAGAAAAGGAGTCGAAAGAAGAAACGGGATGATGATGCAGATTCTGTAAAAACTCCTTCTACACCTCACTCTGACATTACTGCCCCACTTACACCATGTGTATCAGATACCTCATCTACACCAACACGCAGTGTTGCCATAATGGGAGACCAAGACACGTCAGAGTTTTCCAACCCCTTAGGCTCTATGACTGGACTGCCATCCTCAGAGCTGGAAATTTCACTCTCTGGCAGTACTCCACTGAGGCGACAGACAAGTGTGAGCTCAGAGGCAGAACATGGCCTCCTCCATGACATCAAGCTGGAAAAGTTAGAATCTAGTGTGTGCCAGAAAGCTGAAGGAGAAGCCCCAGTTGGACATAGTGCAGAAGAAACTGGAATTATAAAAACAGAAGAAGTAAATGAGATCATCTCCCACAACCGAACATCCCAGAGTCCAGCTCAGAGCACTAAAGGGGAACCTGGGAATGAGCTGCTCAAACACCTTCTAAAAAACAAGAACACCCCACCTCCTCCCTCAGCACCTCTCATGCATCAGATGTCCAACGAGAGTTTACGATCAGAGGATGAAGGTCTGAATGACAGCAAAGGCTATTTAAGACAGGACAGCACAGATTCTATGGTAAGAACTTTAGATATTAAAGATGCAATACATTTTCGGCACCAAAAATGATTTGGTTATATTGGTTTTCACTGTAAGATAAAAGTAAGCTGAAAAGGGGGTTATGCCCACGTTGCACTGTCTATCAAGCTCTTTTACAATTATTAAAATTAATCACAAATAAACTGGCAGGTGTGCCCAGAATTTTCTTCAAACATGATACAAAGGAAGAAGCATTCGTAAAGTGCAGAATTGTAAAATTTAGATTGTTTTTTATTAGTCTTGTTCCTAAGCTGAAAGATTTTTTTGTAATTGTCTGTAGAGTGGTATCAACAGCCGTTTGACAGATCTAGAGCCTTCACTACCAGAGCAGTGCAAAAAGAAACAGCGCAACAAGCGTACACCAAAGAATGGTGTTGACAAACCACCTTCACGCTGGAAGAAGAGGAAGAAGGACGAGGATGAGAGACAGGCAATATACACCAACACAGACACATTAATGACTCAGCTCAAGCAGGTAAACATCTTACTGCACAAAGACGTTGTCTAGAAATTTGTTTATATTATAGTATATTTTTGAAAACTCAAGAGTACATATTTATGTTAATGATTTTACTTATGTTTTGCAAAGGGTAAAGCATGTAATTATTATTTAAGCATATCTTAATGTGTATATTAAGGGGTCCCTCTAGAAGTTATTGGAGTTTACCTACATCTGTGGTCTCAAACTCAATTCCTGGAGAGCCGCAGCTCTGCATAGTTTAGCTTCAACCAGCTCCAACTCACACCTGCTTAATAGTCTCTAGTAGTCTTGAACAACTTGATTATTTGCATCAGCTGTGTTTAATTAGGGTTGGTTCAAAACTGTGCAGAGCTGCTGCCCTCCAGGAATCGTATTTGAGACCTATGATCTACATCATGTGTGGTCAGCATTTGCTATTAAACACATATGTCCATTCACAACTTTAGGAAAGCTTAGAAATGAAATCTCCAAACAAATTAGCTCATAAGATGCTTGCTGTCATGTGCCTATATGAACAATACTGTTGTCATTCGATTCAACACTTGTCCTTTGCTCTGTTCCTGACAGCAGCTGTCTATGTTGCCACTGATGGAGCCTTTGATTGGAGTCAACTTTGCACATTTCCCCCCATATGGCAGTGGGCAACTCAATGGAGAAAACAGACTCTCTGGTTCTTTTGGAAGTGCATCACTGGATGGAGTATCTGACTACTACTCACAACTCATCTATAAGGTTTGGCCTTCACGTCTCTAGTTTCTTTACTGCTCTGTTTCTCAACCACGTTCCTGAAGGACCAACAACACTGCATGTTTTGGAAGTCTCCTTTCTCCGTGATACCCTTTACAGGTCTTTCAGTCTCTGCTAATGAGCTGATGATCTGAATCAGGTGGCGTTTGGTTAATGTGACATTGAAAACTGAGGGTCCTTCAGGAACGGGGTTGAGAAACACTGCTTTACTGCATCATGGTTAAGCAAACATGGTGAATCTGCATTTTTTAACATTTGTTTTGCCCTGTTTGGGCTTTCAGCAGAACAATCTTAGCAATCCTCCAACGCCTCCTGCATCGCTGCCTCCTACACCACCACCTGTAGCCAGGCAAAAGTTGTTGAACGGCTTTGCCACTGCAGAGGAACTTGCGAGGAAGGCAGAAGTAATGGGTAAGCACGAGAGTATAAACCAGTTGAAAATAAATTATGCGCTTTTATTATATAGGTGCAGAGTTTAATAAACTGAATGCACAGCATTCAGTTTGATTTGAGCATAATTTGGACACACTTTATTTTGATGGTCCATTTGTTGAATTTAAGTTACATTGCATCTACATGCCAACTAATTCTCATTAGATTATACGTGGACTGTTAGGTTGGGGTTAGGGTTGGTGTAAGTTTACATGTACTCACAAAGTTTCTTATAGTCTGTTGAAGGAGCAGTATCAGCAGATATTAGGCAGACAGTCTACTGATACTCAAATAGACCATCAAATATAAAATGTTACCCATAGTTTTTATAATTTCAAGATTTATATTTGGATATCTTTTATTTATTTATTTTATTATTTATCACATTGTGGTAAAATAAATGTAGACTGAATTCACAATAAAATGCCTTGCATGAAGATAAACTTGGATCAAACTAAAGTTGCCAAAATATTCTAAAGATTAAGTACATAATTTTTCAAAAAGAAAACTGCATTAAAGGGGTGGTCCAGAGCGTATTTATAAGGCTTGGTTGTGTTTATAAGATGCAAAACAATGTGTGCTTATGCTTGACTTGTAAAAAATCGCGTTATTTTTTCATCTCAATTACATCCAGCTACTCGGCTAACATAAAAAGATATTTCCTATCTCCTCCGCAAGGCACGCCCTCAAGAGGCTCTGATTGGTTAGCTAACATAATGTGTTGTGACGCGGGGATCACCAGCAAAAGTGTCATGCCTCTAATAGCATACACTTTTGTGATGTGTAAATACAGTCAGTCAGAGTAGCTGTTAGCCGTATCAGCTGTAAATGATACAGAGGACACGGCTGAACCTCACGCCTGCTCTCTAAAATAAAGTCTCACAAGTGTCTTTCACATATATCCGGGTTATAAACATATGCAAGTAATATGAAATGTTCACATATCTTTTGCTAGTTCGTTATTTGAGATGTAGAATCCAGGGAAAGCGGCTGCATAGAGAGACACTGCAGCACTGGTGAAGATTGTGGATGTTTACAGGGGTTTGATGGAAAAATATAAATTTGAAGCAAAATTGTTAACAGTGCCAACAGCATTTCCTGTTGTTTACATCTTTGTTCACGTCCTAACTACAACATACTGTTAACACTAGAAACTGTGCCTGTGGTTGATCAATTTTAACAAATAAAAATACTTAAAGGTTGTGGCTCACAATCCACAGCTTCTTCTATTATGGTTGGAGCTGCCCCTTTTTAGCTGAGTTTTAAGCCAAATCTAGCACTGAACTGGGAGAGATTCTGGAAGCTGCCCTTTTGTCAAATGCTAGCTATATATTTTCTTTTTGGTAATCTCTGGAACATGATTAAAATTAAATTGTAAGCACTTCTCTTTTTGTGTTGTGTCATTCGGAAGCCCAAATACAGACACAGAAGAAGCTCTGTGGGAATAGCAGCGCTTGGACAGCATTTAGCTTACTTTGCTCTGCTATATGATAGGATAACAGTGCCTCTGACCACGGCCCTTTGCTGCGCTGGGTGTATGCATGTGGTGAATGCAAGTAACCAGAAGCGTTTGTGATCTAACTACCGGTAACCTAGATGTATGTTTTTGTAGTCCCCAAACTTTGTTCGCTGTAGTCTTTGCTAACTCTAAAAGCCAAGTGCTGCGTACGAAACCGCATACTTCCATACTATATAGTACGCTAAAATCAGTATGCGAGCCGAGTAGTATGACCGAATTCGTAGAATTCGAAAATCAGTAGGCGAGAAGTACCCGGATGACTTACTACTTCCAGCGAGATTCTGAAGTGCGCGTCCCATGCACGCTGCGCTATGCCATAATGCCCCACGAGAGAATTCACGAATGGAAGTGAGGCGACGCAACTGACGCAGGTAGGTCACGTGACCATGACAAAATGACGGATGTAGTACGTCCAAATTCCATACATACTTTTCACATTCATAATGTATAGAACGTACTTTTCTAACGGCCGAGTAGTACTTTTAAATTCAAATGCAGTACCTACTGAGTAGTAGCCGGTTTCGGACGCAGCCAATGTCTCACTTTGCATTGAACTTTGAGCGTCTTGCATTCAGAGATATTGTTTGTGTTCACACAGCTACATTACAAGTAATTTTTAAAATATGATATCGTAGTGGACCACCCCTTTAACACACAGACACAAATTCAGGAACAACATATGAGTAAAAAAAATAAATGCTTTTTCGTAAACTGTATTTTGTGATAATCTCTCTCTAGTTTCAAAAAGCTTGGGTCAAAAGCAGCTCACTGCTTCATTTAAAGCTGAAGATGACCTGCTGGGACACACCATCACTCAGGGCCCAAAGACTGTTGATGTTCCTGCTTCACTTCCTACGCCACCCCATAACAACCAGGAGGATTTACGGTAGATTTTCATGTTTAGAACATCTCGTCTCATGTAGGCAGATTTTTGTCTGTTAAGATTAGTCTACAATGTATCTTATTTGGTTTTCTGGAATACTAAAAAACAAATACCCCAACTCTCAAAAGTTACAAACACCTAAACTTAACAAGCTCTTGATGCATTAGATCACTAGCTGAGATGTCTTATCCTGAGATGATGTGTTTTTAACACTTTGACTTGGGTCAATATATGTTTAATGGTTCTGTTTGTCTTTAATAGGGGTCAGGAGCATTGTATTGACAGGGACACGCCAGACAGTTTTGTCCCATCATCCTCTCCCGAGAGTGTGGTTGGCATGGAGATCAGCCGTTATCCAGATTTGTCTAGAGTTAAAGAGGAGCCACCATCCCCTGCTGTCTCTCCAGTCATTCCAATACTGGATTGTAAAGGTAATCTGTAGAGACTAAGGTAGTGTTTATACTAGTGCTTTTTTGCATTAAAATGCATACATTTTGCTAGGGTTATGCCTGGCGTCCACATAACTCTACTTTGAAAACACTGTAGATCTCAATTCATTTGAAAACATCATTGTTGCATTAAGTGTAGATGGACCAAAGCACCAAGGGTATAGATTAAGCATGGACAGATGTGTGCACAGCAATTTTCCTGAAATATTCATGAAATGTCCCACCAATTATTTCATCCTCACCAAAATAAAACAATGCTCTGTCATTAATTTGCAGTAGGTGTGCAGAACGAGTTCAGTCATTTTGTCTACTCGAATCATATCCAAGATTATAATAGTTTTGGATTTTTCAATAAATATAAACAGTTTTTATTTCATTTGGCTTTTTGTTTTTAAATTCAGTTAGTTTTAGTTTTTAGCGGCAGATTTACTAGTTTTTATTAGTTTCTATATTTTAAAATTGCTTAGTTTTAGTTTAGATTTTATCCGTTTCAGTATTAGTTTTAGTTTTTTCTAAATAAAGGATATTTGTTAGGTGCAAGATTTAAAATCATCGGAGTAAATATTGTATAATAAAGACGCAATCAAAGACAGGCTACATTTTTTTCATTCACCCATCCTCAAATTCAAGTACAACAGCCCACAAGATAGCAGCCTTAAGTAAAATATACGTGCAAGCTCTACAGTAGTGATGGGAAGTTTAGATCCTCAACCGGATCTTTTGTGACAATCTTCTCAAGTTTGGACTCAACATATCAAAGATATGAAGTCAGCAATCCTAATTTCTGTCAGTTAAAACATCACTATGATCTGAAAAGTTTCTTACAATTGTGTTTTGCAACCCAACTGAAGCATGTTTAAATTTAATTACGACTTTCTGTTATGTAATAAACTTACGTTTCGCCAGATTCTCTCAAGTTGTTTGTGGATGAGTGCTTAACGTTACTGGAGACGCAAATTGTTTTTAAATGATTCTGTTCGATTTGATGAGATCTGGTTCACTCAGAAGATTTAGTTCACTTAGAAGATCCAATTAGTTTAACTTAAGAAAAAAAAATATTTTTTTAAATTTAATTTTATTATCTAATTTTCGTTTTTTTATTTTTATTTTTTCGTTTTCTTTAACTATAATAACCTTGGTCCTATCTCCCTCAACCACATATGGACAGTGTGATTTGCTGTCCATATTCCTGCTGAAAGGCTGTTGCTACATTTGAATGTTAGCAGCGCCAAAACTGCAAGAAACTTTTCCAACCCTTGTCTTTTTTTGCAAGACTCATGTGAGACTTAAGGACATTAGGAGCTGCTTTTCAAAGAAAAGTGTAACTTTAGTTATATAACACTTACAATTAAGTTCTCACTACTTAATGACTCCATCATTATGATAGCTACTAAAGCTGTGCAATTAATCAAAATTAAGTTTCAATTTTGGCCTCCAATGATTATGAAAAACAGTTATCAGATAAAATGGTTATTGTGTAACATGCCTCCCACTTTCCAGGCGTCTGCATTTATTCAAGGGCAAAGCTCGATTTCAGTAAATCATGCACATTGAGTTTTGCAGCATGGGACAGGCTTAATTTATTCTTTAGTTTAGGTGCATGCATAAATTGGCAGTTTTGGGCAATAGTTTGTCTGCGGTGATCTTATCTAGTTGCATGCTTCGTCTCAAAGTCTGAATGCTTTGGATACGGTTTACCATGGTGCACTAAGATTTATAGCTAATTTTAAATCCCTAACTCATCATTTTGTGCTATATTGACCTTACTCTAAAATGCGGAAGTGGGCCTGTTCTCGCGATTGTTTTAGAACTTCCGATTCAGTCGCCTATGGGAGAAATGACTATAAAAATGTCAGAAAACGGTCAAACTACTTGCTCTACAAACAAATGTTTGCATGACTATACAGACCAAGTAGAATAATATAATAAGAAAATATCAGTTTGCAACATCATGAGCAGTTTTTAATGTCTAAAAATAAATGGAAGTGAATGAGACCGGAAGTCTCGAGCCAAAAAGATTCAACTGGCTGCGCCCACTCGTCGGTGAAGAATAAGGTGAATACCAGGTTAGGTTGGTCTGCTTTGTCCATTCGTAGGCTCAAGCATTGCCATATCCTTGTTTACAAATTTATACTGGGTTTACTCCCATCATATCTACAGAATTACATTTGTAAAAAGCCTGTTCTTAACTATGGTCTTCTGTCACATGGTGATCTGTTCACAATGTGACGCTAAGTGATCATGCCCATAAACCCTCAATGAAGTAAACTGAAGTGCTTATTAAACTACTACTGTCAAGAGCAAATCTACACCGTTGCAAAGCACAGACATTTGAATATTGTTGTGTAGCTAATAAAGATTTCTCTCTGGTTGGGTCTTCTGGGCTATACCATATTGTCCTCTGATTTACTAAACCCCTTTTATACAACACTATGCTACCAGAAGATGACAAGAATAAATGCTGACACATGCCCAGCATGTGTGAATGCTCATGTAGCATGCATTTTCGGTTGTATGGTCTTGACAGAGAAACACAGTAAAAATGCCAGCATGACATTTCATGTGTTCACCCTTAAAGTTGTTTTAGAGATGTGACTTGGTGACTGAAGACTGTATTATAAGCAGCACTTTATATTTCACTGAGAAGAAGATCCCACAATGCGTTACAAAAATCTTATTGTACTGAATTTCAGCAGTGTTGGATTTACCAGTGCCTTCGGCTAAAGTCCAAGGTTGCAGTACCAACTGCATCTTTAACTTATCAACATGCGTTTAGCAAAATGTCTTGGAATCAAAATTTCAGATGAGCACTATTTGTATATCCTCTGCAGGAAGTTGTAAGGCAGAATTAGGTTTTTGAACAGAGCCGGACATCATCATCTGACATAACTTTTCTTCTTTGTCATTAGGTTCTGAAGCCAGACGATGGGAAGTCAAGACAGAGCCTCCAAGCAATTTTTTTGCTTCACAATTTGGGCAGCTCTCTACATGCTTAAGAACTGACCTGGTGCCTGTATCCATTACTCTGAACCCAGTGGCAGCAATGGTGAGTGCCCACAATTACATAACCCATTCTGTAACAGTTATGCCTTGCTCGGAGCAAGATAATTACATCTCATCTCTGAGCATGTGTCTGCTTCTGTCACAGAATATTCAAGGAGTGGTGTCAGCACTAGCAAACATGCTTTGTGTATCCATACCGGGGAACTATGAGGTGACTCGCTCTCCAGGACCAGAGCACCGCAGCTCAATAGACATGTTGAGCGGACTTAAGGTTCCTCATCCAACTTCCCTGTTTCACCAACAACCTGGTATGAGGCTCCACAGACCACCTCTGCCACATCAAACATTTAGCGACGGTTAGTATATGTTAAACACAACACACATCTATTTCTAACATGTTCATACAGACTTCTCTGTGCAAACTAATGCAGTAATGGTCACAATTTCACAGACACAACTTTATGAGATTTGTTTCTTTCAAGTGTTATATTGACAGACTCATAGGCCCTGTTTACACTAATACGCTTTAGTTATAAAACAACGTTTTAGAACGAAAATGATCCATGTCCACACTGGCGTTTCACCAAGCGTTTCTGAAAAGCTCTCCATTCAAACTATACTACTGAAAACACACATCACATGACCACACACATACTCTGTCTGAGCTCCAGGCAGTCAGCGGGTGCTTTAAGCACACCTCCCCAGATGAGAGCAGCGCATGTCATACAGTTCATCAAGGATCTACCACTGGATCTAGTCTCAATATAGTGTTAAGTGTGATATTTAAATCATCTAGTCACTTTCTAATGACTCTTTGGTATTTTGAATCTATTACTTGTTCTCAGGAAACGCAAAGATAAGTTAATGAATCAATGTATCCATGTACACTGACTCTCCATATTGACTAATTGCTTGTCTATATATCCTATATTGTATAAACTTATTGTCCGTTATACTTTTAATATGGTCATTATTGATAATTAATACTGATATTCAGCAAAAGAGAGGGTATGTTTCATATTTTCCAATAAAAATAAAAGAAGGCAGTAATGGTGCCCTTTTGTTATAAATATGCATACAGTGAAGATGATGGTCATATAAATGTGCAGCTACAGGATGTCTTAACATTTTTGGTGTATGTTAAGTTAATATCAAAATGAAAACAGGCAGTTCCTTATATCATGTTTTCATTTTATTGTTAAGATAGTGAAGCAACAAATCAGGGTGATGTGAATAAGGTTATAAAGTAGCCTTGAGGAAACTTGAGCCTTAACTTAAAAAAGGATTGCAAGACTGTGCACACATCCAAGTGGACGCTGCACACTGGTGGTGGTTTGGAGAGACCCCCCTCATGATTGTGAAGCGCTTTGGGTGTATGGCCATACACAATAAATGCGCTATATAAAATACACATTACATTACAAGACTGAACTGTGTGCACTTCATATTGAGGAAAAAGCCCCAATTAGCCGGGTGAATGTCTGCAGCCACGCCTCCGTTTTCAGATGTCTCCATTTTCCCCATCCACACTGACATGGAGCAGCAGCATTTTAAATTGAAAGCGGCCTCTTCAGCGTTTTTAAAACGCTCCATTTTCAGCACTGAAAATGCTGGGCTAGTGTGGACAGAAAGTGTAATTGTAGCAAAACATATGTGTTTTAAAACTAAAACGTGTTAGTGTAAATGGAGCCTTAATTGTTAAGTGTTATGTATTTTCATTTCTTTAAAAATGAAGGTCTAGTGCACTTTAAATGAATTCTTCTAAGAATGGTTGCTGGAAATACTTCAGAGATCATATGAATCATTTGTTTTTAAATAGCTGCTCTGTCTCTTTTTTAATTCTTTGAATAATCATGGTGTTTTAAGTAATAAATGTGTTGAATGTACTACAAATATTTAGATTGAATAGTCATTTTATTTAAAAACGACCAAAGATTAAAACCAAACTTTACAAAGCCAAGAAAATATTAACCTACTGTAGAGTACGTATTTGTTTACCTCGCTGCTCGTTGATTTTATTCCAATCAATTCATAAATCAGTAAATAACACACTTAAAAGAGCGGCACAGATTTTCAAAACACACCAGTTGTTGTTTTTTTTATAATCTGCTAGAAATATCTGTGATTGATTGTGTTTCTTTTATTACAGGTACAGCTATGGTCAGACGAGACTACGGTCAGATGCATGGAAGCAGTCTAGGATCCAAACCACAATGGTGCTCCCATTGTAGGGTGGTGGTCCTTGGAAATGGGGTTCGGAAGTCTACCAAAGAGCTGCCAATGAATAAACTGGTATGCAGCACTAATGTATTTAAAACTCCCAAACTGCATGTCTCATAGATACCTTGTTGAGTCATTAGACAACATGTCACCCCTTAAGGGCTATAAAAGTGTTTGCTGAACCGGTTGATGTGGGTCTAGACTACATCCTCTGACACAACCCTCAAGAACGGTAAAGCCGAGGGCCACAGAGCACTTGAAAATATGCAGCCCCCTCAAAGCCCCTTAAGGAGGCACAGAATAGAGCTTCAATTATGCTAATCCGGCTCCTGATAGGAAGTGAAAATCTACCCTGCTGCAGTCACAGGGTTAACTGACATTACCCAAGGGGATGTGTATACCGAGGCACGTTTTGTTAAAGAGCATAAGATGCCCAAGTTCAAAAACAGTTAAGCCCATTTCAGGTCATTTAAATCATGGGACACCTTTGAAGTCTCCCTCACCCTCCTCCCTTTCCTTTTAATAGTATGCAAATCTAATTCCTTATGGCATCAACAAAGGTTTGCAACATATGCAAGCTTTGATCTCTTGCAAGTGAGGCACTTCGATTTAATGATAATTCGTGCCATTAGATGGGAAATGGCATGCCCCTTATTTTTTACAACTTCTGTCCAAACTGAGCATGATCTTAATGACGTTCTGTCTTACAGGGCCATGGAGGAGCTGTGGAGAGCCTTGTCTTCTGCAGCAATAACTGCTTAGTTCTTTATTCGGCTTCCATGCAGAGTAAATTGTTAGATGGCAAGGTGAGTCGAAATCACAATAGTTATCTCTGGTTGTTTTTAGGGATGCTCCGATCAATCGGCTGATAATTGGTACTAAGCAATCTAGCTGATCTCATGAACTGATCGCTGGGGTTTGTTTATGAGTTTACAAGCAAAGGAAGATGGACTTGCGCTTCTATATATTATGCATAGTCTACAGCAGCCGCAACATGTGAGGAGGTAAATGATGCGCGGGGGCATGAACGATCGATGCACTCGCGTCACAACATTTAAAATATATACAGATGTGGTGTGACCTGTTTGTACAGTCGAGTGATGGTGTCTTTGTTACAAGTGCAGCTGTTGTATTTCCAGTGTGCTTTGACATGAGCAGAGCGATCACCCCTATCTAGTATCTTATCAAACCTTATGACCTCCCCGGGAAGCTCCTCGAGTCTCCCGCTTATTCATACCAGCTCTGTGATCCCCAAAAATTTGTTAAAATAATAATTCCTTACATTTTTATAGCGCTTCTCTGGGCACTCAAAGCGCTTTACACAATGGGGGGGGGGATCTCCTCATCCACCACCAGTGTGCAGCATCCACCTGGAGGACGCGACGGCAGCCATTTTGCGCCAGACCGCACACCACACACCAGCTGATTGGTGGAGAGGAGACAGAGATGAAAACAATTGGAATATGGGGATGGTTAGGAGACCATGATGGACAGAGGCCAGTGGGCAGATTTGGCCAGGATGCTGGGGTTAAACCCCTACTCTTTTTCGAAGGACATCCTGGGATTTTTAACAACCACAGAGAGTCGGGACCTCGGTTTAACATCTCATCCGAGAGACGTCGCTCACTGAGCAGTATAGCGTCCCCGTCACTATATTGGGGCATTAGGACCCACACAGACCGCAGGTTGGGCGCCCCCTGCTGGCCTCACTAACACCACTTCCGGCAGCAACCTAGCTTTACCATGTGGTCTGCCATCCAGGTACTGACCGGGCACAGCCCTGCTAAGCTTCAGTGGGCGACCATGTGAGAGTTGCAGAGAGCTAGCTGCCGGCAAATAAATACCCAGAAATCGTGGCAACGAGAGCGAATGAGCAAGAGAACAGATCGTGAGAGGCACAGTGATGTTCTAAGCATCACATTTGTTAGGTTAAATGAATAGAGCAGTAAAGATATCGCAAGTGCAAATCCCTTCCCCTCTCTCATTGAGAGATCTGCTGTCAGTTGGAGACAAGCAAATGCATGTCTTGCATGTATTTAGGTCTTTTTACATTATAACTGAAGGTTCTGTTTTTTTTAAAATATTGAGTTCACTAAAAGCTGGCTGGAATTATTAGATAAATAAAACCTATGAAGGTAAATTAAATGGAAAAAATAACATTTTACCTGAATATTTAATAATATAACTTCTTGTAATATACTGTATTATTTATAGACCGATTTAATTTTAGGAAAGACGTATTAGGGTGTTTTCACACCTACCATATTTACTGTAGTTTGTTTGAATCCCACTTTTCCCTCTTGGTGCGGTTCGTTTGGGCAGGTGAATGTAGCAATCGCACTCAAGTGCTCACCAAAAGCGGACCAAGAAAAGTGTACCGATACCTCCTTGAAAAGGTGGTCTAGGTACACTTTTAGATAAACTCTGGTGCGGTTCGTTTGTGGTGGGAACATGATCCGAAATAAAACAGACCCAACCTCAAAAAATTCTGTGCCTTTTTAGACTAACCCATCTGCCGTAGGACAATGTGCTGCCCCATCTTATGGGGTGTGGAGGAAAAATATTTGTTGACATCGCTTTACCAGCAATTTTAAACAGATAGAGAGAGAGAAAAAAACTTTACCTGATGGATTGTTGGTAATATTTCCAGAAGAGGATCATTTCGCAGTTTAGCTATATTAATTCACGCCTCCTCCTGAAGTGACTTGCGATGCGGCTTCGCCGTTTGTAATGCCGTTTGTTCAGCCGCAGCCGCGTTTCATTCTTGAAATGTATAGGTTGTCTAAAGTGATGTATACTAACTATAGTATACTATGACCAGGGATACAATCAGCCAGCGCAGTCATCCCTCCATAGTAAAAAGCGACATTTTGTGTCTGCCAGTTTGTTTACTTACGGGAGTTCCATTGGCATTTTCCAGCATATTAATTCTGACCAATGGAAAAGCAGTTGAGGAAAAACGTTCAAAAACATCTGGCCAATGAGTGATGTGGATTTTGTCACATGACTGCATTTTCATTTTTTTCAACTGGTTCGGAACAAAGCAATCAGTGTGGTGTGAAAAGGAACCAAAAATAGCCGGAAATTGCTACAATGTATCATTTGTTGTTCTTGGTCCGGACCAAATAAACCGGACCACAGATGTGAAAGCACCTATTATATGTGTGCATTTTAACTTCTTATTCATCAAATATATGCTCCAAACTTTTTCCTAATGGGTACTCAGTATCAGCCTATCACCATGATTAGGAATTGGTAGTCGGTAATCCTGATCGGAGTATCCCTATTTGTTTCTTGTAGTGATGACCATCTGTAAAATACAATAAATGGTGTCGTCAGTATGTTTAACATATGTAACTGAAGTGCTGCTGGTGGATTAATCAGGCAGTTACATCACTGCCTAATGCAAAGTTCCAGAGTTCAGAGGTAAAGTGTGTTCTTCTTCTGCCCTCACAGCCAAACTTTCCGCCTCCATCTGAGTCTGGAGACAAGCAGAATCCCACAAAGGTGCTTCATCAATACAATAACAATATATCTGATCTTGACGTCCACTGTCTGGCCCAGCTACAGCCTAAGCAGTCTCCACCCCCAACACCGATAATATCCTTTCCCTCGATCACTTCCGAGATGCTGAGAGGAGATTGTAAGCCTGATACTCTAAAGGTCACAGTCAAGCTCAAGCCTAGGCCACGAGCGGTACACAATGGTGGGGATGAACCTCGGTATTTATCAGGGAAGCGTTGGAAGGCTCTACGTTGGAGAAGGTGGAGTGTTCAAATCATCGTACCCAAGGGTAACTATCACCTGCCGGTGGAGGAAGAAATTGATGCACTTCTAAAAAAGCTGGGGACCTCTCTTAGACCTGAACCCATGCCCAAAGACATGCGCCGCTGCTGCTTCTGTCATGAAGAAGGAGACGGGCTCACCGATGGGCCTGCTCGATTGCTAAATCTTGATCTGGACTTGTGGGTGCACCTCAACTGTGCCCTTTGGTCTACTGAAGTATACGAAACCCAGGCTGGAGCTCTCATTAATGTAGAGCTGGCCCTGAGAAGAGGCTTATCAGTGCGCTGTGCATACTGTCAGCAAACTGGCGCAACAAGTGGATGCCACCGCTTGCGTTGCACTAACGCATACCATTTCACTTGTGCCCTAAAAGCGCAGTGCACATTCTTCAAAGACAAGACCATGTTGTGCCATCTGCACAGACCCAGAGGAACCAGCTTGATAGGAGGTGGGCTGCTAGGGACTGAACACGAACTCCGCTGTTTTGCTGTGTTTCGAAGGGTTTACGTGCAAAGAGACGAGTCTCGGCAGATTGCCAGCATCATCCAGAGGGGGGAGCGAGAACACACCTTCCGCGTAGGCAGCTTGGTGTTACATGCAGTCGGTCAGCTGCTACCTCAGCAGATGCTAGCTTTCCACTCAATGACTGCCATCTTTCCTGTGGGCTATGAGGCTAGTCGGATCTACTGGAGCATGCGTCATGGCAACCGTCGCTGCCATTACGTGTGTTCCATCAATGAGAACGATGGGAGCCCCGAGTTTGTCATCCGTGTGGTGGAGCAGGGATACGATGACTTGATTCTGACTGGATCCTCACCGAAAGGTAAGCAATAGCATGATGAAAAGTAGTCACCAATACAGTCACATGTAATAAAGAGCCCCTATTATGCAGTATTTAATTATGCAGTATATTTTGATTTTGGGGTCTTCAACAACAGGCTGATATTCATCCAAGGTCGTAAAACACTTTCATTGTCTTATAATGTGCATTTATTTTACCTGATTATCCCAAATGATTCGTTTAGCGAATAATTTGTTTCCAAACCCCTTCTTAGCAAGATGCTAATCTGCGCTGATTGGTTTGATGACCCAATCTGTTGCGATTGGTCGACTGTGTTCAGCGTAAGACAGAGAAACTGTTATGAACAGGGCTTGACATTAACACTGGCCAAATGCAGTTAGATTTCAGCTGTTAGACAGACTCTCCCACTAGCCACTTTGGCTGGTTGGAAATCATTTGTAAGTTGTAGTTTTCTTAAAAGCAGAGTTTGACAATAAGGATGACCCAGTATTTGTGCAAATGTGATCTTGTAGCATGACTTAAAAAATGAATTGTGTTTGCACAAGCAAAAGAAGGCAGGTGAATACTGAATGAGAGGATGATCACTCACACGCACAGCTGATGTGATGCATTCGACTGTTAAAAAGCGTTCGCGCTCCCGTTTACTTGCGTGAAGCAACTGTGCCTAGAGGCAACGCAACTGCTGCGATCGGTTCTGTTTGAAATAGACTGGACAAAGAGCGATGATCGTGCACCCACGGTCCTGCTGTTTTCTGCAAACAGTATTTAGCCGTTCATGAAGGGTCGTAACGTTATGTATTTGTTTCCATGATTCATTGAGTTTGTGTGTATGTGTTTCCCTGCGATGCTGTCAGAGCCTATACAGCAAAGATGTTGGTTTGCAGCAAGCATTTTTGTCGAGAGAGCTGTACGAGAATTGGAGAATGGTGGACTTTGTCTTTTATCGGTTGAGTTTGTTACCATTCAGACACATCGCCTATATTTGTGCTGCTGTGTTTGCCAATTTTTTAAATCCTCCAGATTACTGGCAGGGTTAATGGTTGGAATAGACAGGGCAAGAGACCTGCTGCACTGCTATACACTGTGTCTGCATTCAGACCCGGGGATTTAGGAGTAGAGAAGTCACCCTCATTTATAGTGTTTATATAAACACAATTATTTTAATAATGATATATATATATAACAAATTGTGGTTTTGTTTATATAAAATTACAAATAGCTTATGTAGCAGGACATTAAGCTACTGTTTATTTCTTTGCATTTTAACGTTGTAAACTATAAAATCATGCGTCTCCTCATGGTTTGTGTCTCATTTTGTGAGCCAGCTGACGACAGTTGTTCGCTCCCCTTTTTTCCACCTGCTTTGCCAGCCACGCCCACTGCTTCCTCTTGCTCACCTCTATTCTGAAAGAGAGGGGGTTTCATGGCCCTTTAATAATAAATGGCCAGCAAATTCTGCATTGCAGCATGGGTTATTGTATCAATCATCAGAAAAATGACAGAAAAGACCCAGCACACGGTTGGCTATACTGTGGTGTTGTTGTGAAAATGAACTTTAATCCTTTATTCCCCACAGCTGCATGTCTGGCCAACTCTATAGTATAGATATTAATTCTATGATCCCTCACACTCTGCTAGTGCCTGAAGGGAAAGGCGCGTTCACGTTTTACCGGATCCGGCAGTTCATATTTGATATTGTTTCGTGTCGACCTCAGTTCGAACGGAATGATCCGGACGAACGAAAAATCATTTAAACAAGTCAAATCTTTTACTACAAAATCTTTATTTTTAACAAGCATTTTCAGGTTTAACTCACAGCTGGATGTTTTCATTCACTTAGTGCTGTGTCAAACACTGCATGAAAGGTAATATTCAAAAATCCATAATAGGGGCTCTTTAAACAGGAATCTAACCACTAAAAAGTTAGCTCACCCAAAAATTTAACTTCGGTTGTTAATTACTTACCTTCATGTTGTTCTTTCAATTTCATTAGACCTTTGTCCATCTTTTGAACACAAGATATTTGACATGAAATCCAAGAGCTTTCTCATCTTTTATAGACAACAGTTGTCCTGTGATGTTCACAGTCTAGAAAAGAAACCACAATCTGTGAATACCATGAGGCTTCGTTGGTTAAAATGTAATTTTAAGAGCTCTAAGAAAGCTTTTGTTCACCGAAAAAAACTAAAAAACTTTTGTTCACTAACATCTTCTCCATGCATCAGGTTTACTACATGTGTTTGGCGTTAGACTCGGCTGTCTACATTGTAACTTTGTATTGGCAATGTTATATTGTCCATCATAAACGCACAGCTTGACCTGAGGTGGAAGACATCTGCAAACAAAGTCCTTCCGTTTCTGGACTTTTAATGTCTCTGGAACATTTCTGTATATGGAGGGTCAGAATTGTATTTTTTTCAATTGTGTTAAAAAGATGAACTAAGACATGATTTGAAAAACATGAGAGTGAGTAACTATTTACAGAAAACATTCATTCATTATAAAAAACAGCCTTCAATTTAGTAAAAAGAGCTCTTCAGAAAATGGTAGTGTTGTTATAATACAGCTTGAGTCTGTTCAGTGATGTTGCAGAATTCATTCATTATGAACAATCATTTCATAGATCAGGTTGATATTACAGAAGTTTAAGTGTAATTTAGATCTTAATCAAGCCAAAGGGAAAGTGGCAGGGAATTTAAACTTCACCAGAAGTAACTATGAGACTTTGCTCATGTTGTGGTGCAGGTGTGTGGGATAAAGTTCTGGAGCCTGTGGCGGAGAGAAGGAATGAGACCGGATTTCTGAGGCTCTTCCCTGTTTACCTAAAGGGAGAGGACCTATTTGGCCTGACTGTATCTGCAGTTACAAGGATTGTGGAATCTGTAAGTGAAACGTCAAATATTTGTTTTATCCACTTATTAAGTTGAAACATTCTCTCTGTGTTGTTTTCGATAGATGGTTTCAGATGTGTGTTGTGTGGAAAATCAAGCAGAAACACGGCAAATTAGATTTCTGAAATGTTTGTTTGCATTTCTCATCTCATCTTTTGTTGGCATGACAAGAATTTTTATATTGGCAAATTCAATCATTTTCAGTATGGCCTCCTCTTGTTTATAAACAAGTATGTTGTAATTAAAAGGCTTAAAATTCCATGGGCTGATCAAACAAATGAATAAATAAAATTCAGTTGCCTGTGACATTTCAGATCTGTGTTTTTTCGCACACATTCCTGTTGTAGTAACAATACTCTTTGCCTTCAGCTTCCTGGAGTGGAGGCATGCGAGCGGTACACGTTTCGTTATGGACGAAACCCGCTGATGCAGCTCCCTTTGGCCATCAACCCCTCTGGATGTGCCCGCTCTGAACCTAAAGCTTGCACACACATCAAGAGGTTTGTGTTAAGGTATTCTGTATAACTTAAACCTTTTTTTTCGTCCGTGTTTGTACTGGATTTCCAGCTTTCCCTGTGGTCTGTGAGTCTACATCAATTCATGTCCCGGTTTACATTGTGAGTTACCATTACACACAAGCAATCATTGAGCATCCGAATGATGGAAATTGGTTTATTTTACGTTTGTCATTGACAGAAAATTAAATGTAGTCAAGAAGTAATAAGTCATTTAAGGGATTGACTATGATTTATTTAAAAAAAAGCCTTCTTGTAAACCAGACTCATCTGTTTGTGGATCAATCTACATGTTCATGTTGTATGTTTGCTTGTTGTTTCTATTATCACATTACTGCTCAGATAAATATTCAGTTGTTTTGCTGTAGCATTGTAGGACAGAAATTGTTATTTGAATGCATTAATGGACCTGGACACTTTAACAATTTGCCTTCTCTGATCTGAAGAATTTAGGAGGTTTTTTTCTCCTCATAATGAGGCATGTTTGTTTGTGTTTCTCATGTAGACCTCATACCCTGACTAGCACGTCGAAGGCCCTGCAGTCCCCTGGGAACCCAGCTGAGATCGGTGTCCCTCCATACAGCAAGCATTTTGTCCATTCCAAGTCGGCTCAGTATCGCCGCATGAATGCCGAGTGGAAGTCCAACGTCTACCTGGCTCGTTCACGCATACAGGTAGAGAGATCATGCTTAAATTTCAAGTAATTAGTGAAAATTATAGTTGCGTAGCTAAGAAGTGACTTTGTTTATAGTAGCATGTTGCTGTTCTTACTATTTTAGCAGTGTAAAGTGTATAACTCTGGAAGCATAAACTACTGTGCATTACTTACTGACTATATTCACATGAACTCCTTTCAATCAGTCCAATCATTCTTGCATTTCCCAAAAAACAACATTCGGTTTTGTCATCAGCAACATTGATAGAGATTCTATATACAGTTGACGTCAGAATTATTAGCTCCTCCTGTGAATTCTTTTTCAGATATTTCCTAAATGATGTTTAACAGAGCAAGGACATTTTCACTGTATTTGCTGGCTTTTTTTTTCTTCTGGAGAAAATCTTATTTGTTTTGTTTTGGCTAGAATAAAAGCCATTTTTAAATGAAACAAAGTAATAATTTTAAAGTCAAAAGCCCAGATAGAACAAACCTTCAATATACAGACCCCCTATTTTTGGCTATTTTATGATCGCTAAATTCAACGCAAACCTTAGAAAAAGTGTCTTTTTTTTGTGATCCTGCAAAATTCTTAATTTAGAAGCAAAATAATTGCAAAAAAAAAAATGTAAATAATCTCATAAAACATCCAGTTCCAAACCATATAATCAATTTATATTTGTTTCAGTTTGCAATAAATTGCTTTACTTATAGACGTTGCATACGGAGTAAATGAAATATATTTGAGTGTCTCGAAAAAGTGATGTCTCATCTAATCTTAACAGTACATGTAAAATTGTTTGGCCGTTTTGTGACTGCAAAAGAAAATGGGAGCAAACATCTAACAAACGGAGCGATGGAACAGTCTGAAAAGCAAGCAGCTTTAGCCTATTGTGATATGCTTCAAATCAATAAAGGATTTCCCTTAACACTTTATCTGCCGTTGACGAGAGAAAATGCATCCCTGCCATTGTCGAGTGTTAAGGCAATCTGTGTTTTTTTTTGTGCATTACAGTAGGGAAATCACTAGCACAAGTCTTGAGTGAGGTACATGATGTCAGATGCTTCTGTAAGTGAAATTAGAGAAAGAGAAAGTAAGATAAAAAGTAGAGTTAAACACCTTCCTTTGGCTTAATCTTTACCGTTTAGATCTCGTCTTGACAAGACCAAAATAAAGAAGCTTTTTCTTTATAATAATTTGTGTCATTGTTTCAGATTGCACATCTAAAATACTAGGCTACTTAATATTGTAAATAATATATCATTTACAATTTTTTAGATATATGTATATTTTTTAATCACAAAATTGTCCTCAAATTTCTGGAAATTATCACCACAAAATCAATAATCTTTATCACAAAAGAAATCGTAAAAACCTAGGGGGTCTGGATGAATCATTTGCCTAATTACCCTAATTAACCTAGTTAAGCCTTTAAATCTAACTTTAAGCTGAATATTAGTATCTTAAACAATATTTAGTCAAATATTTTGCATTGTCATCATGGCAAAGATAAAACACATCAATTATTAGAAATCAGTTATTAAAACTATTATTTTTAGAAAAGAATCTACCTTTTGTTATGCAAAGATTGGGGAAAAATATACAGGGGGGGGGGGCTAAAAACTTAGAAGAGCTAATAATTCTGCCTTTGATGGTATTATATGGTTTTTAGCACAACCTTATAATTTAATATGAATTGTTTGGGTTCTTTTGCATAGTTCAGAAGTGAAATCCATAATTTAAAACACAGTAATCATGTGTGTGGGGAAAAAGTTGGATATTTAGTAAGCAGTACAATGATTCTGTCCTGTGGCCAAATCAAGCTCTCTTTGTATAAGAGTATGAAAGTCAGGACTGATTAGACGTTGTTCCTAGACTACTGGAGAAAGGAGAATTTGAGAAAAATGTGATCGCATGTGTCATATGTCATCTCGCTATTTCTGCATCATTGCATATGGATAGTTCTTTCTAGTTTCTTTTATTTTTAATTCCTCGCTCCATTTACATGTCCTCTCACTTGGACTAGAAAGCTCAGATGAATTGATTAAGGGTTCTGCATGAAGGCTTTTCAACTCAGTTATGCCATTAATCCAATTGCTAACATAGTATTTGGTTTCATGTACAACGCACTTTGACCTACTTTGAGTGCAATATTTTTAACCTTATTAATTCCCTTATTTTTGTTTTCTTATTGAGCTGTTAGCAGTTGCCATTTTGACACTTAAGTTGATAACGTAAAACTTTCTTGTTATTATATTTTGATGTTATTAGACATTATTGTTTTAAATGCAGTATGCAGAATAATCTAGTTTTCTGTTACGGAGACAACCTGTATCATAATCATTTACAATTCACTGTCGTAATTGTTATGGATATCTCAAGCATGTAATAATTCGAGTTTCTGCATTATTTTACTTTAGGGTTTAGGGTTGTATGCTGCGAGAGACATTGAAAAATACACTATGGTTATTGAATACATTGGTACCATCATTCGCAGTGAGGTGGCAAACAGGAAAGAGAAGATGTACGAGGCACAGGTATGCATTAGAATCAAATGTAAATCTAAAAGTCTTTCTGAACAGGTTTTGTCCAAAAGCAAACTGATGTTATTGTTTTTTTTATTTTTTGCAGAATCGTGGAGTTTACATGTTTCGCATCGATAGTGAGCATGTGATTGATGCGACTATTACAGGGGGACCTGCAAGGTGGAAAATTTACTTGAATTTCTTGTCATGATATAACTGTTTGCTCCATATACTATACTATATACTATATACCAGGGTTTCTATATAACTATTCAGGCTAAGACTCTCTAAAATATTAATGACGGTGACTCGTGATCCCCACTATCCTCTAAGAAGGATGTAAATATACAAATCTTGCATGTTGCTCCATTCTTGGTGTAATTTTGGAGACCACTTGGAGCTCATCCACCATGTTAAGTCATAACCTGTATTTATTTTTACGGCACTCAAGTAGAGTGCCGTAAAGGTGTCAAAAAGTTCAACGTGTTGCCATAAAATCAATCTGCTGCATCTGACGCTATTGCTGTGTCTTTAACATAACGTAATCATGGTTGCAATCCAATAGGAACAAAAAACTAAACAATAAATCAAAAGGTTGAAGAAGTTTTAAGTATAACCATTAACTACTATGTTTATCGTTTGTAGGTTATGGATAAAATATGGTAATTTGAATAGTTTAATCAAATGAATTTGACTCATTTTTGGACGACCTCCACAGGGCATCTTAACTCCCACTTTGGGGAGACACTGCTATGTACAAATACATACATGCTTGTACAAAACATCACACATAATCAATCTTGTATAGCTAATAAGGATGTCACTCTTCACTATAGTGATCTCACAACAATTTGTTTAACAAAAAGAGTTAATTAGTTTAGTTAGAAAAACTAATAATTTTTTACTTGGCAATTTTATTAGCAATTAACATATAAATCTTTCATCAACATATCCACGTTTTCTGGCAAGCTGAGATATCCGACATTTACAGTGTTCCCTGCTGATTAAAAAAAAGTTTTACCATGAAAGGCCACAAACATATATACACTGCCTGACAAAAGTCTTGTCGGCGATCCCAGGTTTAAAAGCAACAAATAATAACTTGACTTCTAGTTGATCAGTTGAAAAAAGTGGCAGAAGTTTTTTTTTTGATGAATCATCTGTTGAACTGCATTCCAATCATCACAAATACTGCAGAAGACCTATTGGATCCTGCATGGACCCAAGATTCTTATAGAAATCAGTCAAGTTTGGTAAAGGAAAAATCATGGTTTGGGGTTACAGTCAGTATGGGGGTGTGCGAGAGAGCTTCAGAGTGGATGGCAACAGCCTGAGGTATTAAGACATTTGTGCTGCCCATTGCATTACAAACCACAGGATACTTCAGCCTCCACATCAAAGTTCCTAAAAACAAAGAAGTTCAAGGTGCTGCAGGATTGGCCAGCCCTGTCACCCGAAATGAACATTATTGAGCATGTCTGGGGTAAGATGGAGGAGGAGGCATTGAAGATGAATCCAAAGAGTCTTGATGAACTCTGGGAGTCCCGCAGGAACGCTTTTTTTGCCATTCCAGATGACTGTATAATAATAAGTTATTTGAGTCCACTGCACCATGACTTTATATTCTATACTATACTTTATTTCTGTTAAGAGACAAGACTTTTGTTTAAGCAAAGTCAGACCTTACTGTCCTAATTAAATAATTAAGACTCAAGCCATGATCATGTTTTATTTTGGTAAAATAATTGTAATCTAGAGGCCTTTGCCTTTCATATAAGCCACTTCTGATAGCAAATGATCAACTAAAAGTCAAGTTATTATTTACACATTAGTTATTATTATTAGTTACTATGTTGTTCCTAAAACGTGGATAGGTGACAAGACTTTTTGTCAGGTAGTATAAGTCTTATAAGATGCAAATTTGCATCAGAAAGAAGAATATTCCATATTTAATATAGTTCATTTAGTCCTAACCAAACTTGAGTGAGAGAGGGGAGAGAAAGAGCACAAAAAAAATGAGAAATATTGAGAAGTAAATGTTCAGATTGCTTTACATTGTTGTCAACTTGGTGCTTTTTAGTACTTCTCATTGTTAATCTATTTAATTGTACCCTTGAACTGAAAAATGTGTTTTGAAATGTGTTTGAAAAGTTTATGTACACTTAAGTGGAGATTAACCAGTAGACATAGATAGAGAGTGATCATCTCCGACTGTTTTTACAATAGAGTTAAATTGTATTATATTAATGACATTAAACAAAGAATGTGCCTTTGTGACGAAATGGCCAAGATGTTTGCCTTGCACTGGCCGGGATTCATCTAGTTTGAATGAGGATGGAGCTTCCTCAATATGAAATTTCACACTCATTGTCACTTTTAAACTGCTCAACTTGTAGCGGGATTCATTAAACCTCCCAACCGATTTGAGTTGCATCACATTTTACACAGTTTTCACGTGAATCTCACTTGTGTAGCATATATAACTTGATCAGTTTTAAATTTCTGACTTGCCTTCTATCCATCAGGTATATCAACCACTCCTGCGCACCCAACTGCATTACTGAGGTTGTGGCTTTGGAGAGGGGTCACAAAATCATTATCAGTTCCAACCGCAGAATCCAAAGAGGCGAAGAGGTATGTGTTGTATAAAGAGCTCTTCAATACATCGGTCTTTGACATTAGCTTAGTGTCCATAACCCTTTGACATTAGCTCCATAACCCTGCGTTAATGGAAATTTTTAATGATCACATTAGAAACGAGTGATGGAAATGCCACATTTCTTAAAAAGAAATTCACAAAATAAAAAAAAAAACATATACTTGCTTAAGGTGGTATTGGCGAAAAAGGGTATATTAAATTGTATGTGTACCGATAAGCCAGTGCTACAGTTTGATTTGGTTCACTGTATTTGGCCCAATGTATGATTCATTTGGTTTAGTTTGCTAGGGGCAGAGCTTGTGGAACACTGTTAGAACACTTGATTCACTTTGGACTTAACAATAGAAATAATTAAACTTTATTCACTACATGCTGGCTTCACATGTTTCTGTTTATTGCTGTCAGCTTATCTGTGTAAACTAAAATGAAATCTCCACAGCAGTGTGGTCAGACATAAACACTTTTGCCTCCATACAGTGCATTTTGAATGTTTCAAAACACCTTGTATCACTATGGATGGCTGTCGCAAAACTGACGTGTCGACACAGTGTCAAGATCCCAAAGCGCAAGTGTTTCAAAACACTGCACCGAAGCATGATCCGAAACACCCAGGTCTCATGTAGCCTAGTAGACCATGCGTGTGCCTGTGCTGCAATTGTCCCAAGTGGTAATCAAGACACAGAAGTTGTGACGATGTATTTCAATAATGTTACTTTTTTATGACTAAAACACAACATTTTTATTCACAAAGTGTTCATTCGGATGTCACACTAATGTTAAAACACAACACATTACAAGAACAGAGCATTTAAAGACTAATATCCATAACTGCATCACCCTGGGTTCAAACCTATTATCTCTGCATGCTACTCAGGAACTCTCATCTCTCTAACAAATCACTTGAATCCTCAACTCTACAATGTTGGGTTTAATACCTCAGTTTGCTTAACTGTTTCTTTGCTGAAGCTGTTCCAGAGCAATACAGGAAAAATGACCACTAGGTGTCACTGAGATGGGTTTTGAAACATTTTGAAGCTTCGACATTACACACATGTGACTCCATTAAACTTGCCTTGTTTACTGATGTACCAATACTACAATCAGCTGCTCCAACAACTTGATGGAAACTAATCTACGTCATATTTGGGATTTTATTTTAAAAAATTTGGCATTCTTTGAAAAGATTCTTTGCACATTAGGATGGAAAACAAAGTCATTGACATTCATGCTAAGCAATTAAGTGAACTGAATGAGTCTCAATCTCATGCTGAATCTGAATAGGTTCCACAATCAGAAACATTGCCTTTTTATTTCTTATTTTCATCTATGTGAAGCTGCTTTGACATGATTGATATTGTAAAAAGCGCTGTGGCCACAGCCCTGTCACCCTGCAGCCCAAGACCAGTTACTCACTGAAGCTAAGCAGAGCTGAGCCTGGTCAGTACCTGCATGGGAGACCACATGGGAAAACTAGATTGCTGTTGGAAGTGGTATTAGAGAAGCCAGCAGGGGGCGCTCAACATGCACTCTGTGTGAGTTCTAATGCCCCAGTATAGTGAAGGGGACATTATACTGTCAGTGGGCGCCGTCTTTTGGATGAGACTAATTGAGGTCCTGACTCTTTGTGGTCATTAAAAAAACCCAGGCCACTTCTCTTAAAGAGTAGGGGTGTAATCCCAGTGTCCAAATTCAGTCCATCATCACTTACCCATCATAGACTCCCAATCATCCCCATCCACCGAATTTGCTCTATCACTGTCTCTCCACTCCACCAATAGCTAGTGTGTGGTGTGCACACTGGAGCTCTTGTCCTGTGGCTGCCATCACATCATCCAAGTTTATGCTGCACACTGGTGGGGGTTTGGATTGTGAGCGCTTTGGATGTATGGACGTACACAATAAATGTGCTTTATAAAAATAAATACATTATAGAAATATAGACAAAGATGTAAAACTATTTAATTCTGCCAGTCGGAGAGGCATTTGTTCTCAAAACAATATACTAAAATGTAGCCTTCGTGCTAACTAGATTGACGTTTACCATTCCGGTCTCCTTTTTTCCCTCTCTCTCCCTCTCTCTTTCAGTTGTGTTACGACTACAAGTTTGATCTGGAGGACGATCAGCATAAAATCCCCTGTCACTGCGGTGCCGTTAACTGCAGGAAGTGGATGAATTGAAAGAGCTCTCCGTAAAGACGGAATCCATCATATGCATTCCTTTCTTAGACCCGAGAAATGTGCGACGTAGACCGCAGGACTGTAAGAGGGGGTCTAAAGGTATGGATTTTGACTCCAGCGTGTCTGTTTCTGGTTCAGTTGGTAAAGAGTTGACATAGTTTATGATCGAGCACCTTCACCTAAATTAAATGAATAGGCTGCACACTGGTAACTCTGAATTGCAAAGACAATGTAAATGTGTTTTTCCTGGATGAAAGATGAGATGGTGAGCGAGTGCTAAACAGGATTTTCAGGTGGGCTTAGGCTTGAACGTGCTGGCCACAGCCTTATTTACATATATAGAGGCAGGTCCTCTGGGTAAAGAAATATATACACAAATATATATATATATATATATATACACATGTAGTTACAGAAATGTAGACACCACTGAACAAGGAATGTACTGAGAAGACTTCCTTAGGGATAAAGCTAAGGGAATTATTAACTTGCACTAAAACAGAAAGATACCGTTTAAATACTTGATTCCATGAGTCAGTTTATTTGTTTCGTTTCACCTTTGCTTTGATTTCTGTAAAATAAGAGACGGCTTTTGTATTTATTAAGGATCGAAGCTATTTTTAAAGATGCGGAAGAGCAGAGTCGAGCTGCTGGGAAAGCCTGCCGATTGGACAGAACATGTTACTTTATACGATGTGTAAATATCCGTCTATAATGAAACGTTTTTAAATACTCGACCAAATGTTACCTTAACTTTATCATAGCTGTCTGAGTGACCTTTTGTTTGTTTTCAACAAAACGACAGAAAATAAAATAAAAAAACGATGAAAAAAAAAAGTCTATATATTTAAGAAGGATGTGGAGAAATCATTTTGAGAGTTTATGTATTGTATAAAGATGTACAGAATCTGTAAAAATGAAAGAATTCAGAGTATTTTTGTTGTATTTAGAATGTAGAATCAATATTGTCTAAAATGATCTGACCACTTGAAGAACTCTTTCCTTCGTTTTTTTTTTTTTTTGCATTTTTATATATATTTTCGCAATCGAGAACGAGCACCAATCATGCCGAGGCGATTAATCTCTTAACTCTGTTCATCAGATTAGTGTGCACTGTGAATTTCCACCCATAATGCGTTTAATAATGCTCTACTTAACTCTCTGCAGCCTAGATGAAGTTCCATGCCTTTCACGTTCAGAAAACTCCATGCTTCATAAAATGTAACGTACGCTTCTTTCTTGTTTACATTTAACCGATGAGAGAGGGTTTATTTTTAGTTTGTGGAAAACGTCAGAATCTCAATATGATGTCACAAACTCCAATTAGCTGAATAATTCAAACCTGGTGGTAGCACTTTGCAGGCCGGTTTGAGATGAAGTTTTTTCACGCGGACTGCAGTTGTTGGTATTCTTCCGCGGTCCTGAGCTTGTAATATACATGGCATGATGTATTTTTTCAATTTTTCGGATAAATCAATTGTACATAGTTTCTCAATGACTGGATGTAATTAAATTTTGTTCTTGGATATTTGCTTTTCTCCCCCTTCTTGTACAATATCCAGACATTTAACAGTATTTGTCTTTTTCTTTGTCCTGTATAGTAGTATCCGATGTTTAAAACAGAGCTTTTTTTTGGAAGTATACAACGTGTGGGTTTTGGAGTTTGTGGAATCAAGATTTAGAAACATTTACAAAAATAAAATATTTTACATCATGTTGCTTTTCTGTGTTCATTATGGTGGGGGAGGGGGGGGGGTCATCATGTTCATTTTAATTATGACATTTTATAATACGATATTGGAAAAATATAACATTGCAATATTTTGCTTTGCTGTGATATACACTACAGTTAGGTTCATAAATATTTGGAAATAAACATAATTCTAATTTTTTTGGGCTCTATACACCAACACAATGGATTTGAAATTAAACGAACAAGATGTGCTTTAACTACAGACTGTCAGCTTTAATTTGAGGGTATTTACATCCAAATCAGGTGAACGCTGTAGGAATTACAATGGTTTACATATGTGCTCCCACTTGTTAAGGGGAGGCACATATGTAAATATATGCCAAGTTCACCTTTCTTTCCCATTCTGATGATCGGTTTTAACTGCAGCAGATCGTCTTGTCCTTGTCTACATGCCTAAGTGCATTAAGTTGCTGCCATGTGATTGGCTTTTTAGTCGACTACAAACAAAATCTCAGTTATAAAATGGACAGTTCATGTCGTTGAGTCTGAGTTTGTCCTTGATTCTGCAGCTTTTGCTTTGGTAAATATTCTGCTCTCAGTATTGCGCCAAAGAAACCTTTATTTGTTTCATTTCTTGTGTTTTATTTGTGTGAAACCTTGCTGCTGTTAAGAAATAAGCATGAAGCTGTGGTTTATAGTGAGTTTATAATGGTACAGTACATCACTCCACATAAATCCCCCTTTTAAATTCACTGAACCGTTGCTTCTTTTGGCTCTCTGCTTTATTTTTGTTGTTTCTAAATCCTCACTTTAAGCCCAAAGTCATTTTATTTTGAATTTAATTCTAATTTAGTTTTTTTTTTTTTTTTTTTTTAAATAAATAAATAACTTAAAAGCTTTTTGGAGCTCTCTCTCTCTCTCTCCCCTCTCTCTCTCTCTCTCTCTCTCTCTCTCCCCTCTCTCTCTCTCTCTCTCTCTCTCTCTCTCTCTCTCCCTCTCTCGCTGGCTCTTTTGGTCAGATCAAATGATTTATAAAATGAAACGGATCAAATAAACAGTTCCTCAAGTTAGTACTGATATCAGATGCTTACCAAGCTGCAATTACTGCATGTCTGTGGGGTATTTTACAACAGCCTAGAACACCGCTCAGCCAATCAGAATCAAGGACTGGAGCAATTTGATTTATTATTATCCAGGGTTTTCCTGGTGTGGTATTCTGAGCATGACGTTTTGACTGCTTGATATAAATACATTTTGCATTATTGAAATCTTATTAAGCAAAACATTATCTTATTTACAAAAAGAAACTAAGAAGCTAACATTAAATGTGTTATTTATTACATAACCAGTGCTTGAGCAACACTTGGGGTCTGTCTGCCTTATTTTTGTCAAAAACATGAAACAAAATGATAATATGTGGCCACTATGTAGGAACATTTTAATTAACTATAGTAAATGTTACAGTGCTGCTCTGTTCCAGAAATTCCCTTTCTTTAACACCTTTATATACAACATGAATACACAATTGATGAATGAATGAATGAATGAATAAATTGAATGAATGAATGAATGAATGAATGAATGAATGAATGAATGAATGAATGAATGAATGAAATATCAAAAAAGTGAAAAACACACACACACACATACACACACACACACACACACAAACACTGGAGTCTCAGATTGGCCACCTGCATGATAAATGTGGGCATTGCATTAATTGTATGTAGGCTACTGTTCTAGAGTCAGCAGGTAAAACATGTGCCAGGGTTGTGTATCATTCACCGTGGTGACCCCTGATGAAGAGCTGGATATGCAGAGAGGTGAGTAAGTTGGACTACAATTGAATTACTTCACTAAAATAATTCACTGTTTGCAAGCATTGAAAACTCCACCTGCTGGCGACACCTGCTGGCCAAAACTGTGTACATGCGACCAAAGCTCAAACTCAAACGTGCATATTAAGCTCTTACAAACGGTTTATTGAAGATATTCTCTTAAATGCAATTAACTATAGAATAACCGTCACATCACGGAATAAAAGAGGTTACTGGCGGCAATAAAGAATTACACTAATAAAAAATAGTGAGTAGAGCAACAGAATGCATGTCTTCTATTCAATTTCACAACTTATGTACCTCTAAACTATTAATATTGTAATTATTAGTTGTAGTATTTTATTGTATTGTTTTTTCTTAAAATATGGTATTAGCTTTAGATGTTTTAGCAGTAAATGTTCTGTAAATGTTTTGCAATGTTTTTGTTTTTAAATTTTTTAAAGAAAAAAATACGCACAACATGTTTTAAAATGAATATAAATTTATTTGAATGTACTTCATGCTATACAAATATTACAAGAAATGGGAAATGCATCAATATAAACTCATTTAAAAGCATATATTGTGTTAATGACCACTTCAGCTATAACTACACATACTGTAGTGATGTAATAGATTCCCCCGCGCCGTCGTCATGGTTATTTCGGAACGTTCAGATATATTGGAGTGTTCTACTTTTTACATCATACCGAGTTGTCGAATGATCGTAAGTACATTTTACTCTGTGCTCTTTAACTTTTTTATGTTAATAAATCTGTTTTTTCTGTTAAAAATGTTTAATATTTCAGAAAACATGCTGTTTTTAGCTCAAATATTGTATCATAGCCGCTTTTCCGCTGTCCGGTTTTGGTTAAAGGTGTCTGGCAGACCAAAAACCCTGGCGGTGACCGGAGGTATAGGTCTTTACAGGCCGGGCAGTTGAAAAGCAGCTATTGATTTAAACTAACGTTACACGCAGTGAAATACACATTCACAATGCTATACAGTGGGTGTTTTAAGCGGGGATGAAAGCAACATTTGAATGTAAAAACCTAATTAACAAAACTAAATGTTTGTTGTGGTAACTAACTCTGTCCAGACCAGCTGTTAATTTGTATCAATGTAGAACAACTTCAATACTGTAACTTCACGTCAAACAAAAGTTGCAGATTGTTACTGGGTGGGTCAGAAGTAACACAATATTTGCTGGATTTACTGGCTTAATCTTGTTTATTTGAAATATATTTGACTATGATCTTGGTAATGTTAAAAAAAAGAACTGATATGAATTCTGCTCTTAAAAGCTGAAATTCAGACCTAACCGCAGGACACAGTCCTAAAATCAGTTGATATTTGGCAGCTCCATCAAGGCTTGTGCTGTTATAGCCTGGAAAGCAAATGTTGTCAGGGTTTTCCCATGTTACTTTCATCCTTGCTCTCCCCTAATGCTGTAATTTTCATGATTACTGTGTGTTTTGGTTATTTTAAGAGAATACAAACTGTTCAGAAGCTTTTTATTATTTACTAATCTCATTTCTTTGTTTCACAGTGCTTTACTGTGTGTTTGCCATCGTCATCAGTGTCTATCGATCTTCTACTTCTTCTGTTTCGTCATTGCGTTTGTCACCAGCATGTCGACCATTGATTTCAACCATCTTTCCAACCTGATTCCTGCCTCTCTGTCACCTGAGAGCGCAGAAGAGCTCGCCACGGCCCTCTCCACCGGCCGCTGGTGGGCTATCATGGAGGTGTTACACCCCATCGATGAGGAGCGTCAGTTTGACTTCACTTCAGATCACCAGAGTCAAACTGTGGAGGTAACTTACAAAAAATGAAATATTAATAAAACGAAAAAGCAAAATCAAGTTAACCTGAGTCAAATTAACTCATAATATATTAAACTGACTTAAGATTATGTCTGATTCTTCAACAGGACGAGTTTTCTGCGTCTGGTCCAGCAGAGACAGCAGATGCGTCCTCCGTCACTGAGGCCTCAGGTGAGCTCGCCACTGCCCTCGCTGCAGGGGCCATCATGGTGGCTGAGCGCCCTGTTGAGGAGCCTCAGGTTGACATCTCCTCAGTGCCGTTTTTGGAGGCACCAGAAACATCACCAGGAGCTTCTGTGCCTGAGAACAGGGAACCCACCACATCCCCAGTCCTCAAGAGCCAGCCTGGAGCTCCTGTGTATGCCGAGTCTGACACCCCGGGCTACGGAAATCAAATCCCCACGCCTGCTGAGCCAGCTTTGGGCCCACCTGTGTGTCCTGTAAGTCACTACTGCCTCTCGCTTTCACTTATCTTCAGAATATTAATTAAAGGAAGCTTTAAACTGGGCTATTAAGTTCTGAGTATTTAATTAATCTGTTTGTTTTTTTTCGATAGGGCAACGGATACATGTTTCAGATGGTTTCAGCAGAGCCTAAAGATTATAAAAGACTTCGAAGAGTTTCGAGGTGTCGCCGGTCTCCGACTCTGCAGCAGATAAGAGAGGCATGGGTGAGTTCCTGCTTCCTTTTAGTTATACTCAGTGTTACTGGGTGGAGATTTTAGTCTATACAGTAGTGAACATTTGAAAATTGAGATTGGGAGATGTTCAATAGTTTTAAAACAACCAGTGTTGACCACCCCACACCGAGTATACTATTATCTGCAGCCATCATTTAAAAGCTCACAGATCAACACATGATTTATCTAGAACCTGCTTCATTCATAGACTCCACATATAGAAGTTTAAATTGTCAGATCTTCAGGTTGTCTGTAAATCTGTTCAGAGTAACATGATTTTGTCTTTGTCTCCAACAGCTTAAAGAATAATTATATTATATAATTATATTTAAATGCCTCTTCAGAAGCAGCAGCATGTGGAGGTTGTGGCCAGTAGGGGACAAAATCGAATCCCTGAACCACAACCTGAAAGACCTCAGCTGACAGATGTGAACGAAATAATCCGTGAGCTTCTGTCTGGTCTTGAGCCTGCTCTTCCTCCCAAAGCAATGAGAGAACCGGTTAGTTCCTGCTTTCTGTTTTACCCAGTCTTAGAATTAAAAATTAGTGTTGGAAAAAGCCCTAAATGTGTTACTTGGTTACTTTTAAAAGCAAGTCATGTGACAAATGAGTTATATTTGCATTATATTATATTATTGCGTTGATATTACTGGCCTGTGCAAAAAAAGGTTTCCAAATGTTTATATGGAGTTTTATGGAGTAAATCAACAAATCACAGTGTGTGTGTCTGAATACACTCACTTAGGGTTTTGGTAGATTCAGTGTTAAATCATAGACTTCACAGTAGCAATTTGAGTTGACAGATCTTCAGCTTGTCTGTAAATCTGTTGAGTAACATGATTTTGTCTTTGTCTCCAGCAGGATGAAGCATTTGTCAATCAGATGCCTCATCAGAACCTGCAGCATGTGGAGGTTGTGGCCAGTAGGGGACAAAATCAGATCCCTGAACCACAACCTGAGCAGCAGCAACAGAATGAACCTGAGAGACCCCAGCAGAGAGACTTAGTAGTGAACCGAAGAGTCCGTGGGGTTCTGCGTGGTCTTCAGTCTGCTCGTCCTCTCAGAAGAATGAGAGAACAGGTTAGTCAGTCTTAGAATTAAAAAAAGAGTCTACACTGAATGTACTTTTCCAGGATTGTTTCCCAAAAAAATCAAGCATCAATCTGCTTATCAGTGCTGGAAAAAAGTAAATAAATGTGTTGCTTAGTTACTTTTTAAAGTAGGTGATGTAAAAAATATGTTATATCTGCATTTTTTTAGATTAAGATGGTCATATATGACTTTTTTACCCAACACTAATGCTTTTAAATATGCTCAAATGTTCTCTTTAACTCTTGTGTATTGTTATTACCCTTTCATTATGTTAGTGGCTGTTTTTGCCCCATTGACCTTCATTATAATGACACTTTTGATTGTAAAGCCTTGACAGCAAGTAATCATGTATTCTTGATTGTTGGTGGCTTTCTCAGTTGAGAAGAGGAAACATTTTACTGTTGATCATTAGTTTGCTCTATTAACCCTTTAGACAGGCCTGTGCAGAAAACTGTCAAGCTTTTATATGAAGTTCTATTGAGTAAATCAACTCAGTGTGTGTGTGTGCATAAATATTTACAGCGTTTTGGTAGATTCATTGTTAAATCATAGATTCCACATATAGAAGTTTGAGTTGACAGATCTTCAGCTTGTCTGTAAATCTGTTGAGCAACATGATTTTGTCTTTGTCTCCAGCAGGATGAAGCATTTGTGAATCAGATGCCTCATCAGAACCTGCAGCATGTGGAGGTTGTGGCCAGTAGGGGACAAAATCAGATCCCTGAACCACAACCTGAGCAGCAGCAACAGAATGAACCTGAGAGACCTCAGCAGAGAGACTTAGTAGTGAATGGAAGAGTCCGTGGGGTTCTGCGTGGTCTTCAGTCTGCTCGTCCTCTCAGAAGAATGAGAGAATTGGTTAGTCAGTCTTTACTCACTTTTAGAATTAAAAAAGAGTCTACCCTGAATGTACTTTTCCAGGATTGTTCCCCAAAACAGTTATTAAATGCGTTAATTAGCTACTTTTTAAATAAGTGATGTAAAAAAACTTTATATTTGCATTATTTTTAGATTAAAATGGTCATGTATTACTTTTTTTCTAATGCTGTTGCTTAAAAATAAGCTCAAATGTTCTCTTTAACTCTTGTGTATTGTTACTATCCTTTCATTATGTTAGTGGCTGTTTTTGCTCCATTGACCTCCATTATAATGAGACTTTTTGATTGTAAAGCCTTGACAGCAAGTAATCACACATTCTTCACTGTCGGTGGTTTTCCTGCTTGAGAAGAGGAAACATTTTTACTGTTGACCATTAGTTTGCACTATTACCTCTTTAGAAAGGCCTGTGCAAAAAAAGTGTCTAGCTTTTATATCAAGTAATATGAAGTAAAACAACAAATCATAGTGTGTGTGTATAAATACACTCACTTATAAAGTTTTGGTAGATTCCAGCCATTTGAGTTGACAGATCTTCAGCTTGTCTGTAAATCTGTTGAGCAACATGATTTTGTCTTTGTCTCCAGCAGGATGAAGCATTTGTGAATCAGATGCCTCATCAGAACCTGCAGCATGTGGAGGTTGTGGCCAGTAGGGGACAAAATCAGATCCCTGAACCACAACCTGAGCAGCAGCAACAGAATGAACCTGAGAGACCCCAGCAGAGAGACTTAGTAATCAATGGAAGAGTCCGTGGGGTTCTGCGTGGTCTTCAGTCTGCTCGTCCTCTCAGAAGAATGAGAGAACAGGTTAGTCAGTCTTAGAATTAAAAATGAGTCTACACTGAATGTACTTTTCCAGGATTGTTTCCCAAAAAAGTAATTAAATGCTTTAATTAGCTACTTGTTAAATAAGTGATGTAAAAAACTTTATATTTGATTTATTTTAAGATTAAAATTAAAATGGTCATGTATTACTTTTTTCTAATGCTGTTGCTTAAAAATGTGCTCAAATGTTCTCTTTAACTCTTGTGTATTGTTACTATCCTTTCATTATGTTAGTGGCTGTTTTTGCTCCATTGACCTTCATTATAACGACACTTTTTGATTATAAAGCCTTGACATCAAGTAATCATACATTCTTCATTGTCGGTGGTTTTCCTGCTTGAGAAGAGGAAACATTTGTCATTTTTACTGTTGATCATTAGTTTACACTATCAACCCTTTAGAAAGGCCAGGGCAAAAAAGTATCTAGCTTTTATATGGAGTAACAACAAATCATAGTGTGTGTGTGTATAAATACACTCACTTATAAAGTTTTGGTAGATTCCAGCCATTTGACATGACAGATCTTCAGCTTGTCTGTAAATCTGTTGAGTAACATGATTTTGTCTTTGTCTCCAGCAGGATGAAGCATTTGTGAATCAGATGCCTCATCAGAACCTGCAGCATGTGGAGGTTGTGGCCAGTAGGGGACAAAATCAGATCCCTGAACCACAACCTGAGCAGCAGCAACAGAATGAACCTGAGAGACCCCAGCAGAGAGACTTAGTAATCAATGGAAGAGTCCGTGGGGTTCTGCGTGGTCTTCAGTCTGCTCGTCCTCTCAGAAGAATGAGAGAACAGGTTAGTTCCTGCTAAGAATTCGTCTACACTGAATGTGCTATTCCAGAATTGTTTCCCAAAAGAAAGTTGTGGTTAAATTAAGACTCAAAATCCCCCCAGAGTGAATGAAACTCTCCTCAACAGCACACGAGGGTTAGAAGTGTTGTATCTGAAACTGAAAGAAAAAGATTTTCATGATGATGTCTGTTCTTCAGCAGGAGGAAATTGTTAATCTCCAGAATCCTCCTCTCCGGCAACCCCGGCCTGGTCCACCGCCTACCTACATTCGCAGGACGGTGGTGGGCAGCATTGGAGATTTTGCACGCCATTGATGAGGAGTCTGAAAGATCAGCCTCAAAGATGAACTAATAAATCAATAAAGAGATTGTAAACAGAGTTCTGGAACTATATTTATCCTTTTTGTCAATGCCGCAGCCTACCTGAGTATTGTTACTGACCATGTCCATCACTTTATCACCACAGTGTATGACCATACGTGTGGGTTTCCTCCGGTTTCCCCCACAGTCAAACGCTATAGGTCAATTGAATAAACTAAATTGGCCGTAGTGAATGTGATTTTCTCAGTACTGGGTTGCAGCTGGAAAGGTATCCGCTGTGTAACATATCCTGGAATAGTTGGTGGTTCATTCTGTTGTGACGACCCCTGATAAATAAGGAACTAAGCAGAAGATAAATGAATGAATGATTACAGAAGAGCACACTGACAGTTTATTAAGCTCAAGGTAAATCCAGTGATCATGAAATCAAACAGAACTTGATAAAAGGAAATCAAACATCAGGCTTATGTTTATATATATAATGCTAAGAAATGTTAAATTAATCATTAAAACTGATGAACATAAAATCTAGCAGACTGTGATTATATTTAAGACGTCTTTACAATGAAAATAGATTTTCTCTGTGCAAATAGTTTACATTTCAAATAGTTAAAACGTACAAATACTGAGCACGATTCTTTTAAAATACTCTTTAAAATAGTGTCTGAGTAAAGAAAATGGGTCAAGAAAGCGTCAGACCAAGGCTTCAAATTCAAAGTTGAGATCAGGACCTCGATGACGCGACTCCAGCATTCTGGAGGGTCTGATGGCCACGTCTGAGTTGCCGGCACTGTGCTGCTGCAGTTCAGTCCTCTGTCTGAGCTGGATTTACTAGTGGCTCTTCACTACCAGCATCCTCAACCCTCCAACTGCCATTGCTGAGAGCGGGAATCATCACAGATCGCCATGGAAACATACCCTTTGATGCTGAGAGGGTCGCCCACAGCCAAACACTGCCCCACTGACACCTGGTACAGCCAGTTCTTTTTCTGGGAGGGATAAATAATAATAATTATAATTTTTGCTCAATACTTAATTTTTTTTTGTGTGCAAAACTTATTTTGCAAGTATATATGACCTAGATCTCTAAGATATGCAATGTCAGATTGCATCATCACGGTTGCATCCAGATACTATTGGAAGCAACCGTGCCTGGAAACAAAAGTGGTGCGATGGGTTCTCTTTGAAATAGACTAGACAAAAAGCGATGCTCGTGCATCCACAGTCCTGCTGCTTTCAAGAGCTCAAATTGTTAAAAAAATAAAATCTTCTTTTGTAAACAACAGCCGTTGCTGCTTTCGCTTTAACTATTCAACATATTATTTGCCCTAATGTTAACTGTGTGTGTGTGATCATCCTTTCGTTTTCACACACAGTATGTTTTTTTAACTGCTTTCTTTTGCTTACATTTATTTTAATTAATAAGGTTCATGTTTCATTTTTTTTACAACAATTCTGCTTTAATAGGAGATTAGCCGAACCCCCCACTTATGTGTAGTTAACTGCTGATCTGAGACCTTTAGAAAGGACAGATTACTGTGTATAGTTTTACTTACATGACAAGAATTCTTTTTTTTTAAAGAACAATAAGCAAAAAGAAAAGTTTTAGCTAATTGATTAACTTTTAATACTTTTAAGACCCCGCAGAGATCCTGCAGAAGGGAATGGACAGACTTTTCTTGAACTTTTTCCAAAACTTTTTTTTTTTTTTTTCAGATTAACCTGCAAGGATTATTTGTTTACCTAATGAATAACAATAGAAGTAAAATAAAGCTAGTACAATAATAAACTGGCAGATACAGCTGTAATGTACAGGTGATGGAAGAGGTAAAAGCAGTGTCGTCTCTCACCCCCAGTGTCCACTGCTGAGATCCACCAGAGCCGTGACACTTCATGAGGCGCGGCGGGTCGGAGGAACGAATCTCTGACATGTCCAAACACAGCAGCCCGGCTAGAACCAACTCATGTTCCTCATCATATGCCCATTCCTGCAAAACAGCACACAGTTCAACACAAAGCATTTACACAAAATAAATACCAAGCAAAAAGCTAAAGTTGCTTTATGTAAGACTTTTCTAAGTCATAAAACCAGCATGTGTTTACAGATAGAAGCGTGAACATCTGAAAAACAATGCTAAAGTCACTTACTCTGCTTTGAAAATGTGTGTTCTGCATCAGAATGTCTGTCTTTGTTTTGGTCTGTCTGACTCCGCCTACTTACTGTTTACCCAATTATATTTCGACACCCCGGGTTGCCTTAATGCAAAACACAGCGCATTTCATTTCAGTCTTGAAGTCTGCCTTAATGCGTGTGCGCAGCTAAAAATACAACCTTTACGGACAGCAGCAGCCTCCGAAATGAGACGCAGATTCAGAGTTATAAAAATACATGAGATGGCTTTAAATGAGGAAATAATACAAATATTAAAAATGTAAACATTAGCTGATAGTGTAAGGTTTGATCATGCTTGCTTCCTGTTTGTTTCATCAATCTGGCAACCTGCGCGTGTGTCAAATCATCGTTAGGGGACAAAAACCCTCACCGATATTTTGAATTTAGACTGCAATACCTTGTTCAACCACTATCCTACATACAGCATCTTTAAAATACGCTCTTCAGATGTCTGTAGATATAATAGTGCCGCAAGTCTGCAGTTTAGCCATGTGATTGGGCTACTTGAGTTTGATTTAACCTAGATGTTGATGGTAGACCGTTATCTAAAATCTGTCTGCTAGCCAAGAAATGTAGAAAAAAAAATTGAATAAATGTAAAAATATATAAAAAATTCTAATAAATAAATGGAAAATAATATTACAAACAATATTTTTATGAGTTTGGCAAATTAAGACATAAATATATACAGCAGAATTTCTTCAACTTTTGATCAATTTAATGCTTAATTAATAAATATATCAATACATTTTGAAAACAATTCCCAGTTACTATTTCTACCAAAGAATAAACTTTAAATCTTCAACTAATGAACACAAAGATGTGACAAACTGACCTGCTCAGGGTCCTGTGGGTCACAGTCTTTCACCACCACAGCGCCCCCCTTCTGACTGGGACGGCCCTGTGCCACCAGACACTTGTCAGCCAAGAGATTACGCAACTGCAAGAGAGCAGAAAGACGCTGGTATGAAGAGAAAATGCTAAAACGATTTATGAATGGTAGTAAGTATTACTATTAATTTAACGATAGATGTGCAAAAACATTGTGCTTCTTTCTATTTGAATTTATTTATAAATAAATGACATTCAAAAATTACTCAATAATGAGATGCCACTTTCTAAGTTATGATGAGTTGCATTAGTTTGATTTTGCATGCATTAGTGATTATAGTGATAGATATATATATATATATATATATATATATATATATATATATATATATATATATATATATATATATACATATAGAGAGAGAGAGAGAGAGAGAGAGAGAGAGAGAGAGAGAGAGAGAGAGAGAGAGAGAGAGAGAGAGCAGCATCCGGAAAGTATTCATACAGCTTCACTTTGTGTTACAGCCTTATTCCAAAATGGATTAAATTCATATATTTCCTCAAAATTCTACACACAATAGCCCATAATGACAATGTGAAAAAAGATTTTTTTGAAATTGGTGCAAATTTATTAAAAATAAAAAATCTGAAAAATCACATGTACATCAGTATTTTCAGCCTTTGCCGTGAAGCTCTAAATTGAGCTCAGGTACATTCTAGCTGCGTCCCAAATGGCACACTATACACTATGCACTCATGCACTATGTACTTATGCACTCACACACTCAACAGGACAATATATGTATGTAGTGTCATCCCAAATGGCACACTAATGTTTTTTTACTAAGCGGAAATTCAAACCGTTTCCCTGATGACGTCTGATGGTTGCCAAATTTCAAATAATACAAATAATACCTGCCGAGAGTATTGCCGCATTCACCATCGGGAGGCGCTATAATCACTCTCGTAGGAGAATTTTGCTTTTACCATCCAAAATAAACAAAGTTATTCAACATGTGCGCCCGATAGCTCCGCCCCTTCCGCTATGCAAGCAAACCTGCGGTCGTTGAGTGCGTGAAGTGTCCATCATTACACACTTCATTTTAGCGGCTGAATGAGTGCATCATCCGTGTAATTAAAGTGCACTTATTATTTTTAGAATTTTCAGTGTGAACACGCTACTTACACTATTTATACTACAAAATGACGTAGAATAGTGCATAAGTATGCGATTTGGGATGCAGCTTCTGTTTCCACTGATCATTCTTGAGATGTTTCAGCAGCTTAATTAGATTCACCTGTGGTAAATTTAGTTGATTGGACGTGATTTGAAAAGGCATACACCTGTCTATATTAAGTCCCATGGTTGACAGACTACAAGCAGCCAGAAAAGTGGTGCGTTTGTTCTTTTATCAATATTTCTTTTATTGTGGTTGTATAGTGAGATTAAACCACAAAATATTAAGGGGGCATGAAAATGCTGGAATATTCCACTATTTTTCATGCTGTTGATGAAAGAGTTGCTCTACTGCCCTCTGCTGTTTCCAAGACTGATGTCTTTTGAAATACAGTAAATGATGTAGAGCAGAGGTGCCTAAACTCACTCCTGGAGGGCAGATGTCCTGCAGATTTTAGTTCCAACTCCAATTAGACACACCTGAAATAGGTCAGCTCTTTCTAGGTATACTAGAAACTTCAAGGCAGGTGTGTTTAAGGAAGTTGAAGCTAAACTATGCTGGACACTGGCCCTCCAGGACCGAGTTTAGGCATGAATAGCTATGTTTCCATCCAAAGATGCAAATTAAATGTATGCGCATAACTGGAATATGGTATAAAAGAAGTGCGAATACAGCAGCGTTTCCATCCAACGAGTCAAAGACAACAAAATAGTCACCTCCTGATTAACCGTCAATCTTTCCCTTATTTAATAAATGACTTGCCCCTCAGAAGTCAAATGCCGACACAAAATTAATATCTGGTGGTATTTGAAGGCATGAGACGCGAAGCACAGACGCTCTTAACAATTCTGGAGGTAATAATAATATAACACTAATA